TGCTGCCAAAAATTTCATCTTTTGAAAGTTTTTTTTGTGGTGTCTCTGACGGAAATAATTTTTCACATAGACAGTTTAAAAACTCCCAGTATAGACAGTTTGAGTAAAAATGATGGGATTTTCACAATTAAATGTAAATTCCAACTTTTATTTCACTTACGCAATTGCATTTTTCCGAGCCGTGCTGCGTTTTTGCGAATCCTTAAATATTGGCGCGTATTTTTATAATATATAACGTACATAATTCACCAGCGCGCGATATATTTCCACATTATTATATGCAATTCATAAAAGCTTTTATACACTACACATACATATACATATACGTATATATATATATATATATATATATATATATATATGTGTGTGTGTGTGTGTGTGTGTGTATAAAAGATTATTTTATTTGCTCAAATAATCTCATATATTATATATAGTATATTTTCACTTTAGTACTAATAACATCCATCTTGTAACAACTTTATTTTAATATTATCTAAAATATGAAAATTTCATACAATCATGACGCCAGTATTTAAGAATTAATTCAAACGCACGTGATATGTAGTAATCTCCGAATTAAAAAGATCAGATTATGGCTAGCGTGATTTGTGTGATGCAAAAAATTGAGCATACAAAATCACATTTTCATAAGAGTCGTAAAAGTAGTCGTAAATACGTATATATAAATCTGAGCTTAATGTATTCTCTCGTATGGGACTCCTATTTGTACTTTACTAGTTCATTGAACGCCCATCGTGTTGGATTACATTGTAGAAGAAAGTTTGGAAAAAAGGCATATGTCTTTTTTTGTGACGCGCCCTAATCTCTCCGAAATCAATTGTATAATTTCTTTGTACGCTTTAATGTGTGTGAGTTGTGTATGTATGTGTGTCTGTGTGTATACACACGTGTATGAATGTAATCAATAAAAGACAACGTATTTACGTGCTTTCGCTTTAAGAAACATTTAATAATATAATGTATCATCTTAAAGAGCGTGATATTGCTCCAACAAAATCTAGAAAAAAAAATAATTTGTTTTTTTTAATTATTTAATCTCCTTGTTATGTTCGAACGAGAGAGATTAGTAAATGTGTTTTACTCAAAGTGTCCTTCCTACGTAAATTTACTTGTTCATTCTTATAAACTATAAATAAATGGTATCTTTCATGTTCACATGTTGTTCATATGTTTGTTCATTACAAGACCCCTCTTTAATTCGCACTGATCCTTTAAATATATACAATATATAATGTGTTGTGTTAAACAACGACATTCTTAGCTTATAGTAGTTTCCAACGTGTGCATATATATATATATATATATATATATATATATATATATATACACACATCATGTGTCGATGTTAATTTAACATTACTATCAGCTGTCATTATGACAATATGTCACAATAAAAGGCTTAAATTTTGGAAGAAATGCTCACGAATGTTTTCAATTAACATATGCGTATATAATCGATTTTCTTTATTTCAAAACATTCGTGAGCATTTCTTCCAAAATTTAAGCCTTTTACTGTGACATTGTCATGACAGTGACAGCTGATAGTAATGTGCAGTAATGTTAAATTAACATCAACACATGATATATATATATATATATATATATATATATGTATATGTATGTACATATATATGTTAAGACAAGAAATAAATTTACAATATTATTCTACGCACAGGCAGAGACTTATTATTTTTCAATAATTTACATATACACTGGTTCATACAGAATTCTTACAATTACATTTTACATTATAAAAAAATGTATCAATATATTGTACACACTTTTCTTCGAGAATCTTTGCAATAAGCAAAAACATCTCGAGACGGACATTTATGTAAAACTTGTACAAGATATACAATTGCACATAAAAGTAAAGAAATACTCTTGATATTGGCAATAAAAAAATTATATATAAAATTACTGAGAGGAATAGATGAAACGCCGTATGTCATGCGTACATACGCATATGCTAGACGTTATAAAATCTAAAAAAATTATTTTAAAAGTCAATTATTTAGATAAGATTCATAATAAAAGTTTTGTACGCAATTGATTATTGATTCGTAATTAATGAAGTTCCAGACTGAAATTTTTATTCCTTATTGTATCCGCACTTTCTGAACTTTGAGATTTTCTTTTTTGTAAATTCTATAATTCACAAAAACAAAAATTTCAAGATCAGAAATTGCGGATACAAGGAATAAAAATTTCAGTCTAAAACTTCATTAATTACGAATCAATCAACTGCGTCTAAAACTTTATTATAAATCTTATCTTAATAGATAACTTTTCGTTGAAGCATTTGAATTTTATTACAAAACTGGCAGTTGAAACAGCTTTTACGTTAAAAGAAATCTGAACTAGTTACACATCAACTATATATAAAAAGAACTAAATTAAATATATCTATTTTTGCGAATAGATAATTTTCATTAAAGTGATATGACATGTATAAAAGGTAAAATATTGATTATCGATATTCTTTTTTTTCGCTACAAATTTTAACAATTGCACTAGGACCAACTCAACTATATCGATTAAAAATTCAATTAAAAAAAACAATCAGAAATATTTTATCGAATTCAACTTTTAACATTTTATATGTATATCTCTTTCCAAATAAACTTTAAATAATTCGACAAAAAAAATAAAATCAGAATTGAAAATTGATCCCGAGGGTGTCATACGTTACCATTATTTATATATATTTTACACTTCTCGAGTTTAATTTGCTAAAAGTCTCTTATATTTCGAATCGTTAATTATTCGAAAATTATTATATATATCATGTCCTTTTTGCTAAATTGATAAGAGATTTTAAAAAAACTGTAATAGTAAAGAATATCAATATAGCAGGTCCAATCGGACCTACTCTCTACATATCATGTAAAAGTAGATGTGTTATCATGACCAAAAATGCCTACCTAATAAATCTTGGAATACTTGTAACATTTTTAACATACATTACACAATACATAATATTGTGGTAAATATATAAAATTATAAAACAACTCTCCATGTGTATTTAATTACTAAATAATAATCGATCAATTAGCTGCCCTTATATAATATTATATATAATAAATTCATAAAGAGTGCCTCTTCTCGCATGCTAGATTACTTGTAAACTATCTTTGTCGCAAAGTTGAATTGAGAATGTTGCAATATTTTTCTATAGTGAATGCTATACATGCCTTATCATAAACTGGAATTAAACGTACGTTTTGGAGAGCGTATTTAAGACATACGCGAAATAATAACACTTCTACTTTAATAATACACGCAATTTACAAAACATCTCGATATTGATTTACCTATCAACAGATCATTTATCGCTATAGCTTCACTAACTTAATACGAGACTTTTTCAGTAAATATCGAACGTATTGTAATATATAACATTATCCAAATTATCGCGACTAATATCGTTAATTTTGGCACTTTTAAAATGCTGAAAAATGCATTTATACTCGCGTTACACTTTTATAAAATCGCACAATTTCTGTCACATATATCTTATTATGCTACAATGTGGCCAAAAGATTGTGGCGGATTATACTCGTTATATAAACATGTGTGTGTATGTGTGTGTGTGTGTGTATATGTACATATACATACGTATACGTATAATAATATTAACTATGGCAGTCTATCAAATACACATATTTATACAGCCAATAGACAATTTTAATTACAAAATGGTCAATAAATGGACCAACATACATATATTTAATGACGCGACTCTAACGACAAACAATAAAATTAACAAAACTACTTATTATTATATACTACTCAATCTTGTTAGCTGCTGTAATGTATATAAAGACTAATTGGTAATCGATATTAACATTGTTTCAAAGTTAGCGCTGATACGATAAAATACAATTAAATTTTCATACCGCAATTTCGATTGAGTGCACATAGTACACATTCACTCAGTTTTTTATATTCCATTTGATAAATATAGTGTGAAAACTATGTATGATGGGCGTACTTGATACACCAGTGTGCTTTCAATTGACGCTCGTTAATAGATTTTACTATTACTTCATAGTATAAATATTATAATTTGTCTTTATACAAATTTCATAAATTCCCATCAGTATATAATGTAATACATTTATACGCACTGCAGCTAGTAGAAAATGGAACCCGAATATTTTATACACATCTTCGTTGCAATTGAATATTATTGAGAGTAAATTTTACAAAATCTAATTTTACTAATTGAATTGAATGAACCAAATTCGTTATAGCGACAGTAAAATCGCAATTTAAACCATTTTCAAACTATATACTTTATTAATATACCTGAATTATAATACTATATAATAGATTTATTCGCCTTCTTTCCTATTAATATTAGTGTGATCAATTATCTTCGATAAAATATAAGACAAATAGTACTTTTCTTTCTACGAGATTTAAGTGAAAGAAAAATATCCCCTACAAATTTGTTCAACAAATTTTGCAAGTTTTTTTTTCTACTTGCTTATTGCACATAAGAAATAAAATGTACATAAATTCGATCACACTTCTTTCTTTCTAAAACTACAAGTCGTTAATTGTTTTTTTTTACAAGAATGTTAAAATATTCGATTTAATTAAATATACCGTGAATTATATCGAGATTTCATTATTAAAAACAAAAATAAAATATCGATTTTTTTTCTTAATACATATTTCTTCTTTTTAAAATTGATAAAACATATTATAAAAAGACGGCAGTGAATCACGATAAAAGCAAACTGTAGAATCATAAAATTAGAAAGAGAGCACATCAATCGTAAAATGTTTGTAGAATATGATGTCATTATCCATTATTTCATGTTTGTATATAAAATACATATAAATAATATTCGATCAAGTTTTGATATTAATATTATATTTGTTGAAAGTTCAATCTATGGAAAAAATAAAATAAAATGTTTCAAATTGAAAAGAGAAATTTCAAAAATATTTCAAAGAATAGAGAATATTTTTTTCCTTTTATCTTTTTTATCTCATATCTTTTACTCTCTTTTTACATAGAAAGACACTATATTTTCTACAACCGCAGCACAATTATACGTTTGTAATTTGACACAAATATATCTTTACATATTTAAATGCGCAGACACATTGCATACTTTTTTCCATCTATATTTTATAGTGATAAAAATTTACTTGATAAATAAAGAGGGAGAAAACTATTGCAACTATGTAAAGATAAAATAGGAATTTTTGTCTACAAATTTTATGCTTTAAAAACGATCATTCTATGTTATGTCACAAACGTATTTGTTCTTATGCACTTTTTATAGGTAGATTATTAGATAAAGTCTATATAAATTTAGAAAGCATTTGCTTAAGAATCATCATTAAACGTATATAAATAATACATGTTCAAAACAGCATAGGCTTTATATCTCAAAATATCTGTTCATTTTTATATAATCGCACATGTAATGGCAGTGATACTTATACATTATGTCATGTGCATTTATCGGTTCGTAACTCGTCAATCCATTAATTTCAATATCGTTATCCGATATACATATACATACATACATACCTACATACATGCATACATACATACATACATATACATATATTATACTATATAATATTTTGTGTGTGTGGAGGGGGGTGTGTACATACGTATGTACATATAATTGCCGAAAGATACTAAGAAACTAATCGAGTTTAAAGCAAATCGGTGGTTAAATATAATATCACGCCTCATGTCGCGGGTTGTATAAAACAAATAAATGTAGTACGAAAACTTGATGGCTGTGACTAGGGAGGTAATACATCCAGTTTTAGGCCTGTCTTCGGCTTACAAAAGCCACAATAACCGCCGCATTTACCGAGAATTCGCTGATTATTCTAAATAATGTAAATATAATTTATTATATATACATATAGACAAGTACAAGAAATATCAAAACTTATAAAAGCAAATAAAAATATTATATGCTCTTTGAAATAAAGTTTTAATTGATAAAACGCTTTAATTGATAAAACAATGTAACAATATATGCAATGCTAATGTTTTTAACGTGACAAGTGAGAGAAATTAGAGATTATATTTTTTAAATATTTAAATATGTTAAAAAAAGCTTAGTACACGCGATATAAAAGAGATAAAATGATTTATCTCATTTTTATGTAAGTTTAAACAAGTTATTAAAATCAATTCTTTAAACAGAATTTAAAAAATCTCTTTTATAAGAAAAATATATTGCAAAAAGTATATCGAGAAAGAAGGCCAACAATATGACTGTTGGTCAATAAAATCTATACATATATATAGCAAAACTTCAAGTTTTATTTTCGCCTCACATGATATGTAAGGCAAACCTTTTCCTATTTACTTACAATTTTATTGATCGCGAAAAAAGCGCTCGACGTTTCCGTAACCCATGTAACTGCTGGCGATAATCCCAAGGCGGTTCCTCTTAAATTGATGCTGAAACGTCCTTGCGGACAATCAATGAGACTATAACAATCACCGGCTTTACCATACTCTACGCGTTTCATTCCTTTCGTCCACGAAAACGTGTAATCATTTGCTAAACATAAAACAATTCAAATGTATAAATATAAATATCAATTCTATATGAGGTAATTTATTTTATGACCTATACCCGTGCATAGAGATAATATGGAAAGAAAATAATATTTCGTTGCAAAGTTTTAAAATAACAAATACGTTGCGCATACTTTCGTTGTTGCAATATTGTTATAAGATTACAGAATTGTTGAGAAAATTTTTTCTTTTTAAACTTTAAGCATTAAATCGAATAAGTCACGTTATTAATATATACATATATGCATAATATACTGCATCATATATATATTGTATGTTATATTTTCCTGTAAAACTAACTAATTTTTGTTCAAAAAGCTTCTGTGGTACAGTATTATACAAATAATTCGAGTCATAAATGTTATACATATAGAAATACCATTTTTTATATAATAAATCGTGTAAATTTTTTAAATTACTTACCTATAATATAGAGTCTCGTAGGATCAATGCGTACTCTTTTAAACATTGTTTTACCAGAAACTGTTCCCAATTCAGACACACAATTACAGCTATCATTCCTTTGACCATTAAACGGACATGTGTGTGGATTCTTTAACCTGATTTATATTAAATTATTATTAAATAATATCGCAGGAGTTTATTGATCGATAGGAAAACAATATAAAGAATAATATTTCGAGAATAAAATGCAATATATATTCATTATTCAAAATAAAGTGAAATAGTAGTAAAACAAAATATTTCGAATAAATGGATATATACTGATAAATAAGAATTCCATTCTCTAAATTCTAGAATTTAGAGAAAAAAAGAGAAAAGGATGAGAGAGAAAAAAAGATAGAAAGATAAAAATTTTTTTTAAATGATATAACAACATATCTCTTTGTAGACTAATAGCAAAATACGAAAAAAGAAAAATATGGATACAAAAATAAGGACAATACAGATTATATATTATGTGTAAAATAAATCGACGTAATTAAAGAATAATAATCCTTCAAATGAAAAAGAATAGTTTACCAACCTTTTGTCGTAAATTTCCGCATAATTTTCGCTGTCGCCAGCTAGCAATGTCAGATATTCTCGTGGCTCGACGCTCGACATTCCATGACAATAAATTGTCATATTTCTCCCACCAATAAATAATGGATATTCACCGTCCGTGGTGGCTTTGAGTCGTTTCTGAATTTCGAGGCAAGTGACTGGCCCACATCTCTTCTGATTGCATTTACGCTTCCGTTGCGGTTTATATTCGACTGGACAATGAAATCGTGCAACCTTTTTGCCCATTACATCGTGACAATAAACTTTACGGATTTGTCGGCCTTTCCGTCCACAAGGATGACTACACTGAAATAGAAAGAGAAAGAAAAAAGACATTAAAGCACTTTTCTTTGTCTGTCTCCTTCAAACTCTTAGATGAGACAGGATTTATTGAATTAAATAGAAGAAGATATTCCATCTAATTTTATAAATAAGTCCAAACCATGATAAATTTGTATAAACATGAGACATGAATTTTAATTTTTATTACGTCACATATTTTACTTGATATTTATATAATTTTTTTTATATAAACAACCAATATATAATTTCTCTAAATGTGTTAAATAAATCAATTTTTTGAAAAATTAATACTAAAATTATGTCTCCTTTCCTTCAACTTTTAGTCTTGAACCACAATAACCTGTATACAAGTTGTTTTTCATTATTTTTACTTAAATCACTAAAATTAATTGTAACAAAGATATTGTACAATTTCTTTGAGGAAAACTATCTTTTTCTACTATAATTGCTAATAAATGTACGCGATATAGTAATGTCCGTTTTAATGAAAACAGTATCTGCTCACTTTTCTCCATGTACCAGCAACCCAATAATATTTATCGCTACACTCTCGTAGCTTACAAATCTGTTTCTCGGCCGGTTTCTGATCCATTGCACAACCTTCTGTAGGGGTTGGATCGATCCATCCATAGCGATTTACTCGATGGCAAGTGACTACACGATGTTGTATTCCTTCTCCACATTCCACCGAACACTTGGAAAAAACACAAATGCATTTATTTAATTTCGTTTTCATTGTCAATTATTAAAGTGTATATTTATAATGATTATATATAAATTATATATATTCCCATTAGTTACAGCATATAGTACATTAGTGATTAAAGAGTGCAAAAGTTGCTGGAAAATACTCTTAATTTCTCGACAAATATGTGATTAACAACATGCGTAAAGAAAGCTTTAAAAACAATTAAGTTGCAAACACATCTCGCACGAATAAACGGCCTTCCATCATATGTATCTTTGCATAATACATTATGATTATATTGGAATTTTCTACATATTTCCATTTCCTAAATATATATTCTTAATATTTCTTTCGATCAAGATCAAATATGAAGTAATCATTATTTTCTCTTGCTATATATTGTACATACACAAATGTTCGTGCATGAAAAAAACTCGATTTTACTTTATGTTTTAACTCGCGTGCTCAATTTTAATTTACAAAATTATAACTAAAACATACGAAATTGAAATTAATGAGCAACATTCGAATAATGTAATTGCAACGCTGACAAGTTTAAGATACCTCCGACCAAATTTCTTCTTGCCAGATATAGTCACAAGCAACGCGTTGGCACAATCTCTGCGATTTTGGCTTGCGTAATTTCGATCTCGAGCATTGTTCGTCCTTAACGGGTATTTCCGGTCCATGACTGCCTCTTCTCATTGTACATTCCACCCTTCGCGTTTGAATCCCGGTACCGCACGATTTCGAGCACTATAAAATATTTCAATTTGATATAAACTAATCAACTATACACTCATGGTGACAAAAATTAGCACTGCAACAATTTCGATAACATCACGATGTCGAAAATATCTGTAGGATCCTGCCAAACATTTTTCTTATTATTGTTTGTATCAGTCTGTTGTTCACTGACTTGGGGGTATTTGAAAATAACTTTCTCAGTACAAATGCCTTGTATGTCAACATAACATTTTTTAAAACACCTATCCTGATCATTGATATTTTCGACATTAATTCCTTAAAATTTATTATATATTTAACGCGACAAATTTTTGACTGAATCAAGAATTTTATCACATTTTAATCACTTAATCATTTTAAAGAGCATGTAGCTTTGATTATTCGCGCGTCTGATTTACTTCTAGATATTGAATAATAGATAAATGAAGAAACAAATATCTTTTTATTATGTTATGTTTCTTCTACGACACTCCTAATTAACGTTACTCACGGGAGTCCAATTAGACATTTTCCATCTACGGACGATGTTAGATTCCAAATTATTCTCCCTAATGTTTTTAGGATTAGTTTTACAAGATTCTTTCTGACATCTCCGCACATATTTCGGTTGTTCATCAGTACATTCCTTGTCTGGCAAAGTTTCGCCACGATGATTTTGGCAGCGAACTTGGCGATGTTGAAATCCATTACCACATCCTACGTTGCACTAAACCCATTCAAATTGTAAAAAAAAATTATCAATTGAGAATATATATCATTATACATATGTATAAATATTTATTTATATTGTACATTCAAGAGATATTCTGTGTAAATAATTATACACGCGCGTGCAGATAAAATATATAAGTTAATTTTTAATTTTTTATATAACACACAAGAAGCATATCCGTAAATACACACACACACACACACACACAGATATATATATATATATATATGTGTGTGTATGTATGTATGTATATTATATATTTATGTCTAACAAAAATTATTTCTATCAAATCTGAGATGCCGCATGCGTCACATACATTCTAGACATTAAAAATATACTATAATATGTAGAATAAGTACATGAAATTAAGCTTTCATACCTCGCTCCAATCACCGGTATTCCAAATTGGGCACGGATGACGATTGCATGCAATTTTGGTCATTGGTTGTTGATTAGAGTCGCAATAATAATCGGGCGCAACTACTCCCGTTTCTGAAGAGATACACTTTACTATTCTACTTTTGTATCCAGCATTGCATTTTCGCGAACACTGTATAAAAGAAAATGATAATAAATATATTAATATGCAAAATATTTTTAATAAATCATAAATAATAAATCTATTGAAATAGTTATAAACTACATACAATATATAAACAAATATATATTTGAAGAAACAAATTTACGAATAAAATATAAATAAGCCCACCTCTCCATAAGATCCTACATGCCATTTGTAACCCGAATGGAAAGTAATACCATTGCTATCAATTTCATTGTCTTGTTGGGAGGGATCTTCGCGCGGAGGATTGGATGAATAAACGACGGGCGGTGGACTCACCTAGAAAAGAGATAACGTAAATATTTTTTTGTTTACAAGCATTATGTCACAGTTATAAAAAACAAATTTTCAATTTCAAAGTAATAATAATTTCTCTTTTCAGATGTGTAATATTGATTGTTCCCTTCACGGCCGTTTTATCCAACTAAATCTACATTCTTCGAGTTTGTTTCCATCTTATACATTATAAATTACTAATAATTTTACACTGATAATAGTTTTACTAGGCATTTGGTAAAGATTTATTATATTGTTTGTTTATCTAATCATTACTATTATACATTATATATTACAATAGCGTTATTATTATTTACGATATATTCTTGTGTCCGATATTTTCATAATTCTAATTATGTTATTGCCAAAGGATTATAGCGTCGTCAAGAAATAAGTAAATAATCACAATATATGTAGGCACATAGACAAAACTTACAGCACTGATACATGGTTTCAGCGTGCAAGCGATCGAAGTCTCCGGTTTCTCGGATATGGGACATGCGTCGCTCATCATACCATCGGCATTTTGGCAAATGACTTTTCTGCGTAATATTCCTTCGCCACACGTCACCGAACACTAAACATAATAATAAAAGATTAAATTCAATAATAATTCAATATAAAGATAATTAATAAATGCCTTTTTTGGGGAAGGGGGGATGAGGATAAAATTGTCCAATATATATACTATACCGGACTCCAGTCGCCGGCATGCCACTGATAACAAGGACCAGCAGCGCAGATTTCTGTCGTTACGATTGGTGTACCGCTACAAAAGGTACGCGATACTACGCGATTCTCAACTTGGCACCAAGAGGCTCTATGCCGTTTTCCCACGCCACAAGTCACGGAACACTGCACAACGATATTTATCGTACTGTGTTATTTTATATCAATTCAAATTATTCAAAAACAGTACCGAATGACAATAATATGACATAGACAAAATAATTGTTTTAAAATTTGTATTTTCCTCGATCTCTAAAATTTTAATATTAATAAAATATATGATTCTATTATGAGATTGAAACATTTCATCTAGAGAAACATAGATATATAATCTATATATATATATATATATATATATATATATATATATATATATATATATATATATATATATATATATATTTATATATCAATATATATGGGGCATTCCATACCAAATCAACAACTTTTCCCCCCAACCATTTTTTATTTGCTTTATTTTTTTTTATCTTTTTGTATCTATTAAAAGTAGCTTTCATGAATTTTTTTAGATTTTTATCTTTATTAATTTCCGAGTTAAATACTTTTAAAAACATTTAATATGTTTATTATTTTTTCAAGTTAAAAATATTTGAAATTTTTTAAATACAAAAAAATCAATGTTCTTAAAAATATTTAACTCAGAAATTAATAAAAATAAAAATTTTAAAAAATAGATGGAAGCTACTTTCAATAGATACAAAAAAAATAAAAAAAAATGGTTGAAGAAAAAAGTCGTTGATTTGATATGAAATGCTCCATATATATAGTATATCATCTTTGCACGTGTATATATACATATAATTCGTTTTTGTTTTTTTCCTGTACTTACCGGACTCCATTCTCCTAGATCCCATTTCGGACAAGCCTCTTGGCCGCATATCCTCTTGAGATGTTTTTCTTGCCTAGCGCAATTCTCGTCTCGTACCTGCCTCTCATTCGAATCAACGCATATCGCGCCTCTCGATTGTACACCGCCACCGCACGAGGTACTACAGGTATTCCACTCGCTGTAACTCCAATGAGCGTCGTCGCACGGGCCTATGCACGACTGATGCTCGCTTGGTTTTTCAATGTGTAAGCAGGCGTGCGCCGGTACAGGTCGCGGAGAATGGGACGGCGAATCTAACAAGATTTGAACGCATCGCCAAGTAACGGTTCGCAAGCCTGGACCGCAATGATTCGAGCATTCGGATACAGAAGTTATTTGCCATCTAAAATAATATAATTTTTGAAACTAAGTGCGGTATGTACATGTGTATGTATATAAAATCAATAAGAGAAAAACAAATTATAAAATATTGACTACATTTAACTGTATACGGCTAAAATTAGATACTCGATTATTGGTATCGATTATCGATTGAATACTCGATTATCGATTAAATTGGATTATCTCGAGATAAGCGCAATTAAAATCTTTTCCAAAATTATAAATATATATATATATATATACTTACTGCAGCATGCAATATGCGTTACAAATCTGACTGTCTTCTTGCGGCTTTTCCTCGCCTCTGCAATAATCATCGGGTACTTCATCCTTATGCTCGGTGCTCCTACATATACTTTTACGATATTTCATACCCTGACACATTCGATTGCAAGTTGACCAATCGCTGAGCAACCACGTAAAGCTGTTTAGAATTTTTTTCGGTACAGTGTACTCGTACGTAATTTGCGGCGGATACACGTTTCCTACAGATAATACCTGGAATATTATATTTTCCTTTGAGAGTCACATTTCTGAATAAATTGTTCTGAATGTTAGATTAAATGATGTAATTTTAAATGTAAATTTTAGACCTGCCTCTAAAATTAAATCGATGACAATAGGCCGGGAACTATTTAAACGTTCTACAACCGATTCTGGTCCACTGTATTCGATGGTGATGCCTGGATGCACAATCACCTTACGATGCATTACCATAAAGTTGCCGTTTAGGATATATGCACCGTCTTCTCCGATTCGTAACGCTGCGTATGAAAATATATTGTTTGTTCGGTTTGGTTTTCAATAATCAAATTGGTATAACTTTTTTATCAAAATTAAAAAGACGTCTAATTTGTTATACAAAAATTGTTTTTCAAAATTCAATTTCATACCGCCATTATTATATTTTATGTATATCTATGAATACATGACCAAAATACGATAAAGAATTGTTTGTTTTCTACTCTATTACATCATGCACCTTAGCAATATATAAATTTTCTTTTAAAATTACATAATACATTATCTTTATATACATACATATACATATATACAATATATATATATATATATATATATATATTTATTTATTTATTTATTTATTTAAATTGGATTTCATTTAGAGAGATAAAATACAAAGTATATAGTAAATAATTTTTCCGAATAATAAATAAAAACATATTGCCAATTCTTGAATGACATTAAAACGAGCTCATTTATAAAATGTGATGCGTTCGTTAAATAAAAAAAACTTTAAAGGAGACAATATCTGTGCGCGGAATGCGCAAACATGTATACATATATTTTGATAATCTTACCAAGATAGTTACTGTCATTATGAGAGCCTAGCCATCCGTATTGTCTAATGTCGATGTAGCTGCTACCGGCAGGTATTTTTGCAACTTTCGTATAACCGTATACACTGGCGTTGTAGGAGCCTGTAATTCTCTGACAAGTAGAATTATCACCTCTACAGACCCCACAAGTATCGAGCTCGGCCGTTGAATTCAAAACGTGATCGCATCCAGCCAGCTTGCATTGGCCGTTGACGCATATATGAAAAGTATCAGGACCACAGGGTGTCCCGTCGATTACTTTATCACGTAACATGTAATACTGATTGCTTTCCACTTGGCAGTATAGTTTGCAACGGTCTTGCGGCAGTACTGTAAAAAAAGAGAGAAATATAGAGATAGAGAGTCGCTATAATATAATATATCCAAATTATTACCATAAACCAAAATTATTTTGTAAACAGCACGAGTGATACGTTCTTTTTTTAAATCGCACTGACAATCGCAAATATTGGAAAAATCTATATTCTTACCTTATTAGATACTTGTTAATAATGATGGAGACAAAATGTTTACATATATATGTATATATAAATGACAGAAAATGCTGTGCATATATGCAAAATTATCTACGACGTTGTCGTAATTCGTAAAGTAACTGCTGTTTACGCGTGACTATCAAGTATCACTCAAGCTATATGTAATATGCCCTAATGTTGGCGAGAAAGAATATCTCTTTTTCATTACAAAGTTATATTATTTTATACGATAAAAAGAATATAACAACATATTCCAAGATGCGGATCTTTTTCGTTGTTTGTTCGACGCAAAAGTCAAATCTTTCTCTCCCAAAAATTGGAAGATTAGACAAAGTCTTATATAAGTTAGATGCGTAAATAAAGATAATATATAATATAAATAATCGCTTACTTCTAGTATACTTTGCATGCCACTTGACATCTCTAGCAAGATTTTGAATGTTGAAATTGTTGTTGTCGAATTTCGAGCATTGTTGTTCTCTGTAAAAGAAGAGAAAAAAAATGTGTTTCTCTTCTAACTAACTATATATCATCGTGTCACCTCATTAACAATTTTATTTTCAAAATGTCAGTTAAAATCGTAATAAATTTTCGCTTTCGAGATTAACATGCTTTTTACTGTTTATGAGAAGACGCCTTATTACATACACAATACTATTTGATGGTGTTAGCACATATGTACCTACCTAAAATCGGAACTGCCTGGCGGACATTCTCTAGTGCCACAACTGCGGTATTTGACGCGCTCGCCGATACAGTAATTGCCGCCGTTTTTTGGTGCTGGATTATCGCATTCGCGATACTTTCTTTTGATACCACCGCCGCAAATCCGCGAGCATTCACCGTATCTTCCCCATTCGCCCCATTGACCGTCCACCGGTTCGAGATTCCTGCGCGAGACACACTCGCCGCGATGACACCACTTGTCGACACCACAGGATGTACCGTCGGCCCAGGGCATATGCTGGGTGTGACATTGCTGATGATGGTCCCACAGTGGCGCGGTACACCACAGTCTCCTACACACTGCCTGGCCGGTAACCAACCAAGCCTCCAATTTACTTCGATTCTTGAGCGAATTAAGCGCCGTTGAGTTTAACATTAATAAAGTGATAAAAACTCGTACAAATCGAATTGTTTTAAATTCGGAATATTCAAGCAGGATCATTACTGATGTACAACTCCCCTCCCCTCTTTCTCTCTCTCTTTCTCTCGATCTTATTATTTTATTATTGACTGTACAACGGCCACTTACCATCACTCACCATGTGAGGACAGATTCTAGATCCTTGCCCAAAAACAAGTTCGCACTGTTTATTTTCCGAATAATCCTCGCCAGGTAACCGACCATCCTGTCTTTCCATCGTTTTGCTTGGTTCGTCTAACAAACAATTGGCATATCCGGCTCTGAAATAAAAGTTGTTACTTCATTAAAACATTTCCTATAGACTTTGTGCGCGTTTGTTGCGAAGGACAGTTCTTGAACGATTCACGTATATATTATTTGAGTGATACACATTTCATGACATTGCATAAAACATATAAATATAATAAGAGAATGCTTATGTGGCTTACAATTAGAGTAATTTATCACTTACACTGATAAAGTATTCATAATAATCAAACAATTTTATTTATTATTGAAAGTTATTTTAATCGCGGAAGAAAGTTTCAGCTTAAAGAATATAGACTAACGCGGCCAATAACCATTAATAAATTAAAGATTTAATTACATCGCTATATAAACGAAAAAATGACGAAATCAACCTAGCGACAAAACCTAATATGGCATTGCATGCTGTATCAAACAGAGGTTAATTACTAACGATCTCTCTTTTCAGAAGGTTCCACCAACACGTCATTTATAACCGAGTCGTATGCCAATTAATGCGACTGACTCACTCAAAAAATTCGGTGACATAGTATCGGGAACACTTGGACCATTCCCAGGGAAAAGTATTATCGTCCAGCATGCGAGACATGACGTTATGTACACCCGAACGATTCCTGAAACCCGCACATTTGACATCGTCGTCGTGCGGCATGTTGAGCCTGTAATTCATTCCAAATTTTTCTTCCAAATGGCTGTTGAAACAAGAACACATGTCATGCACAAAATATAAAAAAGGAAAAAAGGAACAAAAAGAATTTCTTAAGAGTGAAAATTTATGAAATGTCCATAAAAACACATCTAAAGTGCATAGGAACAAGACATCCTTTGTACAGTATATATAAATGATATACAATGTACAAGTTGCAAAGAAACAAATAAATCGCACATATGACCTATAGCTAATACTTACACATGACCAATCTCATGTGCGATAGTAAACGCCGCGGCTAATCCATTATCCTGTACGATGGCGCACGAAGAACCTGGCGAGCACATTCTACCCAATTCAGCCAAGCCCAAAGTATCGCAACGTTTTTGACCCGGATTGTGGCATAAATTTTCTCTAAAAAAAAATTTCCTTTTTATTTAAACCCTCGATTTCCCGTTTATTTATTGAAACTATGGACCTTGACAATTATTGTCTATAAAAATATATACAATATATACAATTATATCCATTAAAAAAATTTATCATTTGCAATTATCTATATAACTTTAACATTAATCTCGTTATATAATTAGAAATAAGAAATTTAAAATTTTAATCGTTTATGATTATAATTAGCCAAGAATTTTATTGACTTTGTTTTAGACGAGAATAATAAAAATATCTCAAACAATTTTATATCATACCTATCATAAAAGAATGTATATTTCTATAATATAGAGATTTCTGATACAAACCTGGTTAAAAGAAGCGCAGCATCGTGATGTTCGGGCGAGGGTTCATCTGGATTGTTACGTTTCTGCCACTGGCAAAATTGTTTCAACATTTCGGCTGCCGCAATTCCGTCACTTCCACTATGCTTGATACCAAATACCTCGTCAGTTTTGATAATCTTCATCACAGCTATACTCACTGGATTGCCGATAGATTGGTCCTTATAGATACGTGAAACCTATCCTTCCAAAAGAGTAAATAGCAACATGTAATCTTGTATAATTCACAGTTAAATTATACTGACAATGTGCGTATAAAAATAATATAAAAATTAAAAAATAAAAATAAAAACAAAAATTTACACAATTCAATTAGATTCCATCTTTTCCTAATTTGATATTTTTGGTAGGTTCTTCGACGTGCTTACAGATTGCACTTTTTTTCTTAAATAAAAATCTAATCTTTTTATGTGAATCGAAAGTCAAGTCCAATTCATTAGAAAGAACAATATATCGTAATTATACCGATATTCAAACTTAACTGTATATATTCAAACATAATGTAAAATGTAAAATGTATTTATCTTATGATATCGAATTAAAATTCTCTCGAGATATGCAAAATACAAGAGAAATCACTTGTAAAAAAATGTATTATAAGCGTAATTTCAGTTAAAAAAAAGAAACAAATAATATACATTTTGCAACTGTATGAATGCATAGCTGATGTAGAAAAAAAATTTAATAATAATCGATAAAGATTAACACAAAATACGAAAACGTCAAAAATTATGCCTACAAAAGTCACTCAAATCACACTTTAAAAAAATAAAAAAAAAACATGCATAATACAATAGATTGGAAAATATAAGATGACTAAAAAACGTGCAAACTTATGATGGTTGACACCGTATACATATAAAAATGAGACATTCATTTTAATCTTGTCTATTTTTTCATTCATAAAGAAATCATGAATCTTAAAATCAACAATTAATAGTTATCGAGAAATACGATTGAATCATATATTGAATGAATGAGGAGCGTGGGTTCGTGAAAGCAAACTCCTCGCAGGATGTTGCCCTCGCAAGGTAAGGTGTGGCCTTCGCGTGGGATACATAACTGTGGCGTAGTGTACTCGATAATGACCGCTATGACGAGACTAACTGTCGAATTACATCGAACGGATATCTGCTATTTCCTTTCTTTTCTTCTTTCTTTATGTGTGTGTGTGTGTGTGTGTGTATGTGTTTTACGATTACGTTTTATCAGAAATTTATTTCGCAATTACAAGCTTATTTTATGCGTTTTTCGTTTTCCATCTTTTGACAAAAGATAAAGAATGCTGTTTTATATTGCCCTTGATCCTTATTGATGCATTTGAAAATTGTCATCCGTCACAATAGTGTTTATCTCAATTTATTGTTGCATGTTTTTTTTAAATTGCAATTCGCCATCTCCACAATTTAGAGATTTATCTTTAAACTGTGATATAAAAAAAAATAAAAATTTATCACATCTTTTCAATTTTTAACATGGTATGTCTGTGCAATAAAACTTTAAATTAATGTCTTTAAGCAAAGGTCCACTCCCTTGAAATCAAAACTATATAATTATATTTTTATTCATTTGTTTTTTTCTCGAAACTCATATTCTATAAATCTTTGCCATAGAAACTCTTTCAAACATTAATTATAGAAATACTCGCTGAGTACTTTCGCTGTTGAAAAAATCCATTCCAGACTGTTAATAAATACTATTATTAAAAAGAGAAAGAGGAGGGGGGAGCTGAGATTGCGAGACCATCCTATGTAACATAAGAACAAGAAATGATACCAATCATGTAATCTTTCGTGAAAAGATCAATAAAGAAATATACTTAATTGCGAGATATTATCATAGAAATTTTACGTTTGAAATTGAGTACATGATATTAAATCAAAAATTATATGAAAGAATGATATATGTATATATATATATATATATATACCCACCGTGCTCATTAGAACAAGAATGTAATTGACTAAACCATTGCCATGATATTCCACCATTTTTGCATCTGCCACTACCATAATCTCAATAAAATATTCACGCGGTAAAGCTCGCCGTGGTCTCCACGTTACGAAAGAATCCGAGTCCATTTTTGAGTCCTGAGTGTACTCCTCGTTCTGATAGCTGCATTTATATTACACATTATAAAACTTGAGATTGATGTAACGAACGATATAAATGCGTTTACATGCACGACACATAGAGAAGGAGAGAGAGAGAGAGAGAGAGAGAGAGAGAGAGAGAGAGAGAGAGAGAGAGATAAATGAATTAAAATAATATATCTGAACTGTCAAAAAATTCAAAAGGCTTTGCGTGGTTAATTATTACAGTCGGGATAATATATGTATATATATATATACATATATTTGGAAAGTAAATATATGAGGGTACGTTTTCCAAAGTTGCATATATATGAAATTGATTCGTATCTATACCTGTCATCGTAATCCACTTTGTGAAAAAAATCCAGACGGTGCTGGCTCTGTTCTGTGAATCGTTCGTATTCCTGCTCTTCTTGCTTCCGTTCCAACGATGCGGTTTTTCGCGTCGACCTACGTTCTCGTGAACGCGCTCCGACATCAACTTTATGAGCAAAAGTATCGTCCGTTAACGAGGGTCTATCGTCCGACTCGTAATCTGTAATTAATATATAAATAATGTACAAATTAATATAGATGGAATCGAAATTGCTCTTTCAATTAAATAACATCGACAAAATTACATTTAAGTTATTCTTCATGCCTTAGCGGCGAGTGCATCCGAGAGTATATCGTGTACATCATTTTTTTTCTTACATTTAAAACACACACATCTTTGACATTGAATTGCAATAGATTGGATACGGTCTCGACAAGATCGAAACACACTTTTAAGCTCGGACAAACTCGAAACGCTTTAGAAGAAATTGTTTTCTGAAAGGAAAAATATGTCAGTTAATAATTGTATCGCGCGACCAATTGAAAGAGAGACGAGCGTTATTGAAAATAACATTGCAATAACGGTAGATGGATAAAAAGAGGTGAAGAAATTTCGACACGGATGTAGCATCGACGACTTGGTTTTGTGGGCAAAGTACGCACGTCGCCAAGCTGTCTCGATGGAACATCAGAATCTGCCTGAGGGAAGACGTAAACTTGTGCCTGAACCTGTTTTCATACAGGTGGTCGCGGTCGTGCCGAGTATACATAGCGAGTATATGAAAAGACGCGACGCCTTTTCCTTCGAGTTTCAAAATATATCCAAATATCATATCGTGCGATTACGTCAAATAAATTCATATTGTCAACATCATCAACATTTAGTTTATAGCTAGTTTAGAACGCGCAGCTTGGTCATACCTTGGTCGATTGTATTGGCGGTGAATAATAAAACCGTGCTAGATAAAATGATAAAGAAAAAATGATTTCGATATATATATATATATATATACAGATGTAGTAAAATAAAATACGACTTACCCATCACTCCACAGTTGCGATTCTCAACTTTATCTTCAGGCATATTAAAGTTGGAATTATCGTTCGAGTTGGATGTCGCTGTCGCGGATACGCGATAGATCGCGTGCTGCAACGAGGACTCAAGAGAATCCTTGTCATCCTCGCGCCAATGTTCGGTGGGTTTAATAAAGTAGCTTCCCATTGACGTTTTCACGTGACCAGTCTGGAAATTGTCAATTATATGTATCATATTCGCTAATATTTTACATCCAAGTATAGGTTGAAATTATTTATAATAATGTGCGGTGTGCATTACGTAAAACATAATTGGACGGAATATTATTGCACATTGCACACGTTTATGTGAAATATAAGACAGGATTTAGTTTTCGTTTATTTAAAGTAGCGATGACTTATACAGATTCTATTAGAAGAGTGTTATTTACAAACGAAGCGCCACTCGTTGTTATCCTATCCGGCAACTCCGATATACGTACTTTTAGATTAAACATTCAAACGGAGATGAACTCTCTCTCTCTCTCTCTCTCTCTCTCTCTCTCTCTCTCTCTCTTTTTTCTCTTTCATTTATTTATTTTTTCGCGCACGTGCTTTGCGAAAGTAACGGCACAGGGCTCATTTATATTTCAAACACTTGTAGCTTCTAGTACGTAAAAAAAAATATTCAGATACATGTGTTCTCTAGTATTACAAGCGAGAGAGAAAGAGAGAGAACCAGCCAGGCAGCCATTTATCAATGAGATATTGTGCATTAGTTTCTCGGTGCTAAATACAATAGATTAGAGTTAAATAAATAGCGTGAATGAAAGTTTGCACGACGCTGACCACCGGCTAGTAGGTAGCGTACCGGCATCGAGCAATATGCTCGATTCACTCGTGTTTGCAATTTGCATTTTTGTAGGCGTGCGCCTTCTCTATTCCGCGCGAGGCACAAAGACGCACTTATGAGTATTACCGAGAACTGCCTGGCAAGAACGTCTCTTCGTTTTTTTTTCTCATCTGTCCGCGTCTCTGACCCTTTCTCATCTCCCTTTTTGCCTTTTCGAACAACCTGGCTGGTAACGACCTCGCTATTATTCGCTCCAAGGAATTCATCGACCTTTCGTCGAGATGGATACAATAATTGATTCGTCGCGTCATTCGCGTCTTATTAATTGCGCTTATTAAATTTGAAATTTTTTGCAAAATCTTCTATTCCAAAAAATACTTAAATTAATTTAAAATTATCTAGAATGCACACACAATTAATGAGTATCTTCCGATTATACATATATCGTTTATGTTATCGTCACAAATGCCTCCGTTATTATTTGCGAAAATATTAGAACGAGAAATAATTGATAGATTAAATAATTTGCTCTAAGGCTGGGAGCTTTCAAACGTTTTTTTTCGCAAATATTTCTTCAAACGTTACGAAGAAGCAATCAGATCATGAGTAAGCAACTACTCTGTTGCAACCGTTGCAACTGCTTGGCAGACTATAAATACGCTGACCACATATCCTATCCTTCGCGCCCATAGCTTCACGCTTGTTTTAAAAACCAATATTTGCATTTTGTTTATGTCGTAATTTGTCTCGACTTATTTTGACGTGTGCTTTCACGAAAATTCTGTGTTTATGTTAAAACGTCAGATACCATTGCAGTCGTTGCGTTGCGACGACAGGATTTCGTCAAGTTATAAACGATATTAAACAAGCAATAATAAAATACCGAGAAAACTGCGGTGCAAATGGTACTAAATTTGCAAGAAAAAATTATGCGAGACATCGTACACGTGCATAATGTTTCACGTACACAGAACCGACCGTTAAATTAAAGATGGCTGGGTTCCCGGGCCAGACCAAAGTCTTATCTTTATTTAGATTCCATTAAATACGCGCAGAAAATAATATATCGTAATAAAGTGATTTCCGCTTTAAATATCTCGTAAAAATAGAAACATTAATAATTTCAAAATCAATTGCAAAAACGCACACGTGAGTGTATATGTATTTTTTTCAAAAATATAAAACATGATAATCTTTTGAGAGTAGTTGATTATTTTCTCCCTTAAACTCTTAAATGTCTTTCTTTCATAACGTAAGAAATAATACCATATTTTAAAGCACTTTATTTAAAAAAAAAAATTATCTGTTCACTTTTACGTTTACTTTTGATGTTAAAAAAATGTTTCATCTTATTGCTAGTGGATTTTATATCTTATAAAAAAAAGTTCTTATAATTTACTTTTAATCGTGCAAAAAAATGATCAAGGGAAAGACAAATTATATTTATAAATTGCGCCACGCGAGATGTCATCGCTAATAAAATATCTCCAATTAATTCCACCTATTATATTTCACACATTTCTGTCAAGGTCGTCGGGTCGATTCAAAACTGGTCATACCGGCTCGAGTCAAACTCGCAGATTTGCATTTTTATAATATCGCGCCGCATCCCGAAAAATAATGTAAAATTCATTCCTTGGTTAATCGGATAATTGACGTAAATATTTAAAGAATCCAGCAAAATTGCTTTCAAAACATGTAATCTTGCGTGTCGTTTTTTCTTCAAATATGTAAAGATTAAGAAATGTGAGGTTTTTTTTATATTGTACTATGCTAGATGTGGAATTATTCGAAATATGTCTATTATGCGTTTGACACTATGTTGAACGTAGAGGTTGAGTGCAAATTCCCAACAATTTCGTTTATTTGCGTTAAAAAAGTATGTAAAAGCGCACATTAAAGAGATTTTGTTCATAAAATTAATTTATATGTATTATAAACCTCTTCTCTTCCTTTTCTCTCCTATATGATTGCAAAATTTATGTGCGCGAACAAAATGGTAAAGAGATGTATTATATATAATATAAATAATACACTTTTTAATCAAAATTAATTGTAAGAAAATTAACTCGATTATACAAATATATATATATATATACAGACATAATTGTATTGAATAGAATATGGTATAAAAATGCTGAATTTTATTTTTAAAGAGTTCCTCTTAAGAATATATATAGTTTAAAAAAAACTAGAAATTAATTTTTATATTTAGATTTGTATGAAATACATTTTATGTTTATAAATTAAACATTCTCATATTTATAAATGCATGATAAATGTGAAAATATTAATTAATATCGTCGTCCCCAACATAATCTACAAATCGATAATCTACTATCATTGTGATATTTCGTGACTGAAATTTAAACAAATAAAAAGATACACGATGATTACTGAATCACGCAAAAATAAATATTTTGCATTTCTTGTCACGCGCCCGCGTGTTAATTCTTAGCACACAATCATATGTCAAAAGATATTAAATTAATATACATTACGTATATATTTATATAAAGTTTGCGCAAATTACCAGATCGATATATTTATTTACTTATTATCGCAATTTTTCTCATTCAAATAAGAAAAAAATGACAAACTTATATAATTTTCAATTAGTTTTAAGCAAAAAATAATTTGTTTGTAAAGATGGATGTTAAAAATCGGTATAGTAATACAAAAATGTAATATCAATGAGACAAACCAAGTATATCGAAAAATAATGAAGAGAAGAAAACAAAGTATTCGCGAAAGCGATTCACCGTCTCTCGAATAATTAGATCAAGTGGCTAGGCTCGCTATCTAAAGTAAAGACATCAAGGCTCGACTAACCGGGCACTTACTTCTTTCTATTTCTACGTTTGAAACAGACGGCCGATTGATTAGTCTAACCTTGCTAACCATGGCTAAATTAAAATGTGATCTAAATCAGTGCAAAGAATGTTCGACGAGCAAAAACTAAAAGTTTTTCCATTTTATTCTCGCTTTCCCAAAAAAGAAAAAACTTAAAGAAGAGAGAAATTTTGAGAAAAATAAGGGAAAAGATTCATGTAGTAAGAGCCAAAACACCAAGCGTTATTATTAAAAAAAATATAACTAAATAACGACCTAAGTAACACGATAGTCTCTATCTAATTGTATGTAAATCTAAAATACAATATATTAATCAAGGTGGAAAAAAAGATCTACAACTGTCAAATAAAACGTAGTGACTTTATGCTAACCATCGAATCACACGCTACAATGGAACACAGACTCTGGCAGATTTATTATTCTTGTAATCGGTTGCAATTAACTGACTTGTGTGCGACGCGTATAAAGAATCGCGAGACGAGACATTCTCTAAAGCTCAATCTGTGTGACTCACCATTCCGTGACAAAGGCTGACACTGACCGCTGAACTTGGATCGCCATCGACTGACCCGCTGTAATAGCAACCCAACTGATGACCAGCGTGTTCTCGTCTAGTTGTGTTCTCGCTCATATGCGTCACCTACGTCATCGTCGTGTAACGAGTAATTAAGGCTGTCGATTAACTAGAGGAGAGAAATGTTACACGATCCATCTTTTTCTTACCTTTATATCGGGAGATACAAAACTGGCGTCGTGTGCCAATCTCAAACGAAATCGTCTTCCAAAGGCGGTAAATTCATATTGCGGATGAGGATCCCAAACTTCGGCCGACGCATGTCGAAAGTGACCACTGTGATGTCTCTTTGCCGTGGAAAATTCTTCGGCTGAGAACAAGAGACTTTTCAAGTAGAACAAGTTGTAAACTAAAAAATATGGAAAAGGATAATGTTAAGAAATGTTTTGCTCGTTCATTTTACAATCTCGTTACGATACAATTTGATCATTTCACTGCGCATTCTAGATCCGAATTATTACATATATATTGTATATGTGTATGTATGTATGTATGTATACAATTATTTATGTAATATTTAAATTTAAATTGTCACTATTTTTCTGTGTTGGCGCGCGAATGATAAACAGAGCCGCGGCGTGTCAACAATAACGCGCTGCGAGACGACATCAAGGCCGAATACTTAATATTATTATTAATAATTTGTTGCCGAAATATTTTACGCGCTGCTGAGGATACATAGTCTGTGCAATATATTTCACAGTCTCATTGTCATTTGTATAATAAGACTCGAGCGGGAAAGAGATCGATTATTTTAAAACATTCGTATATAATTTAATATCCTGTGTGTGTGTGTGTGTTGTAATCTTTATACTTATATACGTAAAATTATTTCGACAATACTTGTAATCGAATACATTTCATCCGATGCTTTATCGTTATCGTTAACTTATATATATCGACTATTAATCTAACTATAATAATTAATCTAACACTATATAATATTCAAACTGAGAACGTGCAGCAAACCTATGTATTATACACAAAGAGAATTTTCTCTTAAAATATACCCTAAAAATCATAATCGTGGGACAATATGGTATTCGAATAAGAATTTTATAAAAGTATCTCTGATTAATATTACCAGAATATAAAAAATATTAATATCTACTACAATAAGATATAAAATATGTCCGATTAATTTACTGTGTACGTGGTAAAATTTACTATGTATATATTAATATTTTTATTATGGTAAATATTAATCAGAAAAACTTTTATAAAATTCTTCCAATATCTTATTGTCCCACAATTACCATAATTTTCAGAGTAAATTCTAAGAGAAAATTCTTTCCGTGTACATATATGTGTCATATATGTACATATATTAAAAACTTGAGAAAGTTATAAGATTTGAAATGAGGAAAAAGTTTGAAACTGTTACTAAGAGTAATCAGTAGAGAAATATAATGGATATTTTCATTACTTTAATTGCGATTGATTTTCTTTCTGTATGCCGAAACAAAATTGATATCAATGATATACGCTCGTCGTCAAGAGCGTGCCATTATACAATTAATTGTCCGAATGCATTATTTAATTATGGTTGGATAAAATTTTGATATATTTATGCGTATTAATTATTTTTAATTTCGGATGTCATAGCGATCAAGGATCACAGAATACAAATATACAATATTGAAAAGTAACTCGCAAATGGATTTTCAGTCCTCAAATTGTCAATTTTTAATTTCAAATAACTTGCTTTGTGTTTGCTACTCGATATAAAAATTAGACATTTATACACCTGTATTTCAACTTTATTATATATTTTAAAATTAATTTAAAACAAATAAAAGCAAAATATAGGCGAGTATATACCTATTCAATTTTATATTCGTCAAACAAATTAATTCAAATTCTTTTACATCTGACAAAGCTTTGCTAAATTTTAAATTAAAATTGTTAAAGATATTGTTTTTTATATTAAAAAAAAATACATTCGTCCCTCTTATTGTTGATATAATCTTCATTTAAAATACTTACGTGGATCTTCATATTGATTTTGACTAATTTTGAAAGGCTTGACGTATTCTAGATTACTCTTAGCGAATGGCAACACATCGACCAATGATGCATTATTGCGTTTCTTCGTATTTTGTGGTTCCTCGGGAAGCACTGAAATTGTACAAAAATTCTATTAAAGATTAATTATAATCACACTTGTTTTCTCTTTTCAATTTGTTCAAATTTTTTTGTATATTCGCTGTTTTTTTAAATTGATAATTATTTACACAATAGGAAGTTTACGAAATAAATGTAAGAAAAAAAATTAAATGTTAATCCCTAAACAAATTAAATATATACCAACTATTTACATTTTAATTTTCTTTCAAATTTAATTGGAGCTAACAGACATATACATAGGATAGAATATATTTATAAAATGGTTGTAAAATATAAATTTTGAAAAAAAAATCTGAATAATTTTAAATTGAAATACTTAAATGTCATTAAACAATCGAATCTTACACAACGATAATGATAAAAAGAAGAGTCATATAAAAGTTACTAATTTTTGTATTGACATTTATTAAATCGATCGCATTCCAATTTCCTTAGCAGATGCATTTATGGTAATATTTTAGCGACATTTATGTTTTTACGCTCACGGTACCTACATCATTTTAATCTCTGACTAATTTCATATTTTATTTTTGTTTAATAATAATTTCAACAAAAACTTTGAAAATCCAAATTTCAAAATCCAAGCAAATTTAGCGGAAATTATATATTCCAGCCTCTTTTAATTTATATCAGTAAAGAGAACTATTTTCTCCGTTTCTTTCATTCAAATCATATTCCAGCTATATAACATTTTTCTTCTGATATAAATTGTTATATACTACTGACGGTGACACACATGAAATAATTAATTGTAAATTAATTTCTCAAGTAATAATATTGATAAAATCGAAATGCAGCTAGAACGTACAGCTTGACACTTGAAAATTGAATGGAAGGAACATTATTGAATACAATAATTGATAGATTGAATAATTGACCGTTTAAACTAATTTATCGATATAAATTGAATAATATTGCTTACAATTTTTCTGATAAATTATCAATACATTAAAAATCCAGGCGAATTTTGTCATTATTTTTTTACCTTATTATTGGAATTGATTATAGTGCGAGCACAACAATGCGATTGTGGATATTCCTCTCTCTCTCTCAGATATAATTTAGATTGAACGGCATAAAATAAGAAATGGTAAGACCTTGAAGAAATTGTTCACACACTAAACAGCAGCCTCGTTTAATTATATCGTGCTCTACCTATAACATGACCTCGGTAGTACGCGAAACACATCTGGAGAAATACATAGCACGCACACACACACACGGTTCTATAATTACGCATGACAGTTTTCACAAGACGTATCGAATGTCAGTTCTGAATCACGAACCATGAGATAAACGTGAATGTTCTACAAACCGAGCATCAAATTTGCAACATCTTGCTTTCTATATTATAGAACATATAGTGGACAATACGCACGTATATTTTGATACACGATCATTTCCTCGAATAAAATATCGATCGAAATGGTGGATATGAGATTATTTCTAATAAACCTGTAAGTATAATAGCTATGTCGATTCATAAAATATAAATTCAGAAAAAGATTACAGCATAAACATAATACATATGTGCAAAAATATGGAGCAAAGTGATACGAGTAATTTTCTCTCTCGTCTTTTTTCTTGCAGACACACAAATAATTATAATTTTATAAATAAGAAATATAATTAAAGTACACAACAACGTATAGTTCAACTTAATATTCGATTCATAAAATAGCAAGAAATCAAAGTAAGAATTAACTTATATACAACATGAAATAATCTTTGTTTATTCTGTAATTTTTCAAGTGTGCGTTGTAACATGCATATAATGTAATAACACACCTTATGTAAATTTTAAATTATTAATTGTCAACTAAAGAATTCTATTTTTTCTTGTAATATAATACAATGTAAAAATGCAATAAAAAATCATATCTAAAAATGTTTTTTGGTGTGCATAATATCCTCTGTACATCTTCGTGTACTTATTATAGTATAATAGCAATATACATATAGAATAGAATAGAAACTGCCCCTCACACACACCATTGTTCAAGAGAGTATGTCAAGTACGATTAAAATTATACCAAAAGATGTTTAATATCTTAAAATGTAAAATCTAAAAATCCAATACGTTAAAATGTTTACGTTTTTTGGCACGTCGCGCGATAAATTTTCTTGCCGTACGTTTACTGTTTGTCGATGCAGAGTAATAGTAATTATCCGTTTTAACTTCCTGAGCTCAAAATTCATTTTGCAAAGCGTAATATTTCTGAAAATACTGTAGAAACGTGCCAGACGGCACTATATCGTTCCAAACAATACGTTTGCTTTGCGTACTGAAATTTCTAAAAGAAATTTCTTTAATATAGCAATAATCCACTACTTCTGCTCTATATTCAAGTCAAATGTGTGACTAATGTGTGTTGGGTCATAAATATATCTTTCAAGTGCAGAGTGCATGAATAAAAGCATATTAGAAAATTTTCCGCAACAATTTGGTACACGATAAAGAAAAATTAGTATATTATCGGAAAAAAGATAAGAGATGCATAAAATATTTCTTTATAATGGATTATTATTATTATTATTGTTACTATTTTTCACATTTATGTGGAAATAAAAAAAGTTAAATCTAACTAAAACGATAAATCTTCACTTACCCTTTTCCATTCTCGCAAAAACTTGTAAAAAAACGATTTAAAAAAACACAAAAATTATAAAATAAAGTATTTCTAGAAAAGTTTTCATAAATCTTTTGCTTACATAAGTAAAACGTCAATATTGTTCGTATATATTTAAAAAGAATTTTTTTTAGGTACTTGTAACATTATTTTCTGCATTTCTCAATACTCAATTGAATTTATCGAATGCCAACAATTTTCTCAGTTAATTAATTATATTATAGGTTGAAATGATAATATACTATAATAGAGTTTTTTTTATATCATAAATATAGCAACCTCGACTGTCAGGTATTAATCTAAAACGAATATATATAATGTGTAATCTTATATTATAATATTATCTACATGAGAATACGCCAAGTTTGCAATGTTACACCTATATAATCATATATTTGCGATTGTGAAAAAAGAAAAAAATAGATTAATATTTGATCGCAAATGCGCCAAGTTTTGCTGTTTTGAAGTTTTCTCACCCTTTTCATTTCTAGTGCTAATGGAAACAAATTTGAATTTCGGTACAAATGGTAAAAATAATTTTACTTATCCCATAATTTATTTTTCATATAATTTATATCGTGTACGCTTTCGAATCTATTTTTTACGAAAGAGCAGCGTTATAATTCTATTAATATCTATTAAAGTTTGATCAACTCTCCTAAACTTTTCTTATAATCTCTTATAATACCGGAAGTAGAATTGAAAAATTTATCTTTATATTTTACATATATACATATATATATATATATATATATATATATATATATATATATATATATATATATATATATATATATATATAAATCCGCGCGAATAAACAATCTACACCTAGTTTCTGCGTATTGTGTACTGTAAACTACAGCATTGTCTTTCTAATATAAGTATAATAAAGATGCAGTCTCATTACTGTTTTTCTCGGATAAACGTTTACGTTTCGACCGTCTCGTCTCGTCGTCTGACTTTGCGCCGAGTGACACTGACAAGACTTTCTCGTCTTCCTCTTCCACAAGGCGGATACTGTATTGGTAAGAGAAAGATCTTTTACAGTGTCTCGCATGTGTTGCCATTTAATTACAGTATCGAAACATGAGTCTGGAAATATCCGAGTCTTGCAGCTTCGAAACACTAAACATGACGTGTAATAAAAATAATCTATCTATCTATCTATCTATCTATCTATATATACATACGAGTATATATATTTTATCTCACATAAAATACTTGCGCACAATTTTCAAAAAATTAAACAAATCTTTAATTGTATCATTGCTAAACTAAACTTTAAATTACTAAACTTGAGCAGTATTATCTTGCCAAATATATCGGGCAAAATTATTAAATTAACATATCTAAATTATATATCCAAATATGCTATATAGCATTATATAGACTATAACATGTTATGCCTTATTTATAACGATGTGCAAAATTATATTTGCGTTCATCTCCCTCTCTCTCGCTTTTTCTTTCTCTCTCAACTACCGACTTTTAAGGTACTGCCTAATATTAGACAATGGAAAAAAATGAAACATTGTCAATAAACATGATGTCGGTGATTTTTGTTAATAACTTTAAATGTACAACACGATAAAAAATTACATCTCATTTTTCTTCAACATTAATCTACTGTAACATTAAGCACATAGCAAATAACTTTGGAGCACAAAAGAAAGAAAGAAAGAAAAACGGGAAAAAGGAACGGAGAGAAAAGAAAGAATATAGTTTATCATGAAAAATAAACAAAAAAAAATACTTCTGTACCATTAAATACATAGAACATGATAGAATTAAATCGCTCCGAAATTATGCAACCTGTCATATTTTTGTCATATAATCAACTTATCGATTTTATTTTCTCCCCAATCTTTGAGAGTATTCATGATAATAATAATATTAAATTTAATCTCGCATTCATCGAAAAAAAGTTTCTATACTTGAGAAAGAATTTTTAAAAATAATTTTAAAATCATGACAAAAATTGAGAAAAAAAATGATATAAAGAAAGATGCGAGTTTCATATTTTTTGTATTCATATATGTATGTGACTTTATATTTTAAAAATCTAATGAAAGCTATATTTATAAAATAAATTTGTGATACATGTAAAAACGAGAGAAAAAACCAGATGGCAAAATGTACCAAAAGATCAAACTAAAATCCATTAAAAACGGGATAACCAAGTAACGATGGCGTAAAATTACAAATGGCATTGGTGCAATAAGGTTCAAGACCATTGAACGTGTTATCGTATCATTCAGAGTGCCAGCTGGCTTTAGCTATTTTAACCCGAATGGTCTTGGTCATAAATTATGGTTGGATCGACCGATATATCCTGTAACGGACCATAGTGGTCCGAGTTCTGCGAGTCAAAATGTTTACAGATAAGATGCAAAGTCTGACAGCAATGTCGCATCCTGTGCATTCGCGACTTTGTCACGCGAAACAAACTGTTCCCCAGAGCTTCAAATATTATTCAGTTGTAAAGTTATGATATTTTGTTAATCCAACTATATCTATCTAAATATTTAAACGATTTTTGCCTAGCCCAGCCAAACAATAAAAATGAATTTTTCTCCATATTTCGAAAGAATCGCCAAAGTTGATTTGATTTTGTATCAAACTGAATAAATCTTTTTGTGCAAAAAGTTTCTTTGATAAATTTTCAAATTATTATTTTTTTATATATTTTATTTTTTTAAACACTTAATTCTTTATAGTATTTGACGATTACTTGTAGGTATTTTTAATGTTAAAAATATTAAAATTTGACAAAAGTAATTTTCACTGACAATGAAAAGAAATCGATATTAATCAAATTCACAGATAGTCAAAAAATAAAAAAATATCAAGAATCATCGATCAAGGAGGAAAAGAAAGATCCTAAATGAAAGATGAGCCAATCTGTATATTAAAGAATTATGAATAAAAATTTTTCAAATAATATATAATAGTAAACAATATTTTTCTCTTGTATGCATATAGCTCGAGTGTGATTAATTTTCTTTGAAGAAACCAGAGAAAATTAAATATCTTTGTCTCAGATGACGAGCTACCAAACACTATTTTAGAAAAATATATTGACATATATAAGGATGTATACATATATGTATATACTACGCAATATTTCTTCTCCTTGATAAATGGATTTATTACAAATTCAGATAACATAATTGAATTTCAAGAGTCCAAAGATTTCGAAAATAAAGATTATATAAATTGAATTATAGAATAAATAAATAATAAATGGAATCATGCTGTTGCATCTAGCTAACTCATTGTCAGATAACTTTGAGATAATTTAAATCAGTTCGCTTTAAAAAAAGTTAATTACATTTACATTTGTTAGTCATTGTTACAAAGAAACGTATGTCTTTACTTCAATGTTGCTGCTTCACGTAACATTAAACATGGATTAACAATCAAGGTCTAAGGTCTTTCTTAAAAGATACGCAATATCTTAGAGCACAGTTCAAGAGAAACCTGTATACTGAAATGCGACTGCATTTTGCAATCACACACAAAATATGTTTGAGAGAGACTATAAAGTTTATATAATAAATATTACGGCTATGCAAGCACGCAACATTTGTAATATTTGTAACATTTTGTGTTTAACATCATTTCACGTATCGCGAAAATACAAGTTGTTCGGCATGGAAGAGAATTGGAGAACATCTCGATATATTAATTTTTTTTTAACAACATGAATATAAAGATTTGCAGATTGATCATCAATCGTTTGCAATCTTACACACCTATATGCCTTCATTAAAACAAAACATAAATAAATAAAATTACATATATAAATTTGTTATATCTGCAATTTTTTAAACATAAAATTTTTAAACTCTGCCAACTATTTTTCCTCAATACTCGAATTTCTATTACTTTTATACAATTAATAAAAAATTCAAATTTTTTTCATATTATTATACGTATGTATAAAATGTTTTAAAAAATATCACATATGTAAATGTGGAATACCATATTACACAGAGAAGATTACCATAATAAAAATTATTAATACCTACCACAATAAGATATGAAATATGTTGGATTAATTCGATTTAATTATGGTAAATATGAATTCAGAAAAATTGTTGTTTTAATAAAATTCTTCCAATATTGTCCCACGATTACTATAATTTTCGGAGTAAATTCTAATTGTAAGAGAAAATTCTGACATCTCTTCAAGTTTATCGGTTTGGTAATTTTCGACAGAGTTGTATTCTTACAGTAAAATCATAGCTACAATTATCCGTGGATAAAGAGTCGAAAACAAAAGCAAACGCGGCAAAAGAGGCTTCCGAAGCGAAGCGAAGCAAAGACGAAGAAGGTTGTGCTCGGTTAAACGCGTGATGTTCGCGTTTGCTGACTCTAACAGAAACACGAATCCTCATGACGTACGCACTTTTAGGAGCGTTTAGCGTTCACTGCTCGCACGCGGCTACACTTTTATTAAGTTAAGTCACACCAACTTGAGTTTCTCCTCACTTCTCTTTTCTGTCTTGCACATCGTTCACATTTAGAGAGCATCTCTCTATCTCTATCCGACTATATGCATACTCGCGTAGGCGCGATGTTTTTGTGTCATGCTGCCAACGTGGCCGTGCAAAGAGAATATATACGTTTTATCAACACGCTCTCTCACACGAAGCAGCCCCGTTTGTGCGTTGTATGCGTTTCGTAACGTGCAAGCTTGCCGGCAAATTCGCGAAAACGTATATCTCTATCTACCTTGTTGCAAATGATATTGTTTCTTGGAACATTTTGCTTGGAAAAGAAGCAAGATTGAGTTTCGTGACAATCGGATCGTATATGTATTTCACTTTCAACCAGACAATTTTAATTACAAATCACATATTTGAACCGAGTGTGTGTACGCGCAAAAATACTCGAAATTCTATCAAAATTACGATACTTTCCTTCTTCATCAAATTAAAACCTAATTTTATTTTATCCGTTTTCATTCAAGTCATTTTTCATTCATGTAAATATATCAATAGAAATTTTGGAATTGAAAAATTTCCATTTTGGACAAAATTGAGACAAAATTATCTAAACATAAGATAGCAGCGAATATATGAAGTAAAATGGAAAAGCAACGTTTGCATAAACATGTTTTAATATATTATAATATACAATTTCTCGCTTTCTCTCAAGTCACGCTCATTTTCTTCTTTTTTTTTTTTTTTTTTTTTTTTTTGCAATTTGTCACGCACGTTTATTCGAGTCTGTTTGAAATCTAAATTGAAAAGGGATGGAATGAATAAAAGAATAAATGTAATAAAAAACTCACCCTCGTTGGTGAAATTCTGGTCGATCGATTCCAATGTCGTGGTCGCAAGACCGTAGTCGGGCTGCTTCTTCCTTGCTTGATCGACGATACGATCGAGCGTTGAATCGTTTCGTAATCGGCCGATCCTGTCTACGTTGCGTACGTTCGACCACAAGATTACTAGTAATATCACGAGCAAAACGATGCCGAGGGTCGCGCTAATCGTGGCGACGCGATTCCAAATTCGCGACATCTCTGCAATTCCCACTGATATACACGTGCATCTATTCGTTGTAAACGTATTCAGCGTTCTCGCGCTACTTTCGACAAAAATTTCTAATCACTATATATATATATATATATATATATATATATATATAGCTATTTACCGAGAGATCGATTTCGCATCGATTCCGATCTCGTTGGCACGCATTGCTCGCGGCATCAATTAATCATCCCGCGACAGAATCACGTCATCAGACTCGAAAGAATAATCGCGTACAGGCAAACGCATATTTCCAAGCATTCGAGAGAGCCGAGATTATTTCCGATATCTTGGTATATCCGTATAAACCCTCCGCGGAGAGAGAGGTCTCAAGGTCTCTCTTCCTCCTTTCGAATCTTGTTTTCTTGGCAAACGACGTCTCGTCTCGACTGAGAATGCAACTTGGATCGGCGGCGCAGCGTCCATTAAAGAACGGAACACAATCTCGCCAATCTTTCTCTCAAAGAACCTCGACCATACCGTGCTTATATGTGCTGTGCGAGTGTCGAGAGAGTGCGCGTGCCGCTGCGTTACTGCTGATTGCGAGAGACGAGTCGGCCGAAAGAATTGAAATGCTCATGCCTGAATGCTCAAGAACGGATATCATGGCTCGTGTTGTTTGTCGATTTGTCGAACGCGATCCAATTTATAGTAGATGCCTCTAATTCATTTCGCGATTGGCGCCTTTACGCGGCTGGAAGCTTATGTTTGTCGCGCCAACTTCGTCGCGCTCCTTCTCTCGAGGATCGCGCGAGAAACATTTCCGACAAGTCGAAGCGAAAGCAATTTGCAATTTATACTCGTATTTATCCACACCGTACGATTCGATCCTGCTTCGGCTGCTGCTGCTGCTGCTGCTGCTAAGCGCGCGCACCTTCCTAAAATTAAATAAAGGACATTTTTTTTAGATAAATAACCATTTTTTTAATTATATATTTAAAATTACACAATTTCCCTGCCAATAATTTCTATTGTTTAAAATTCTCATCGATATGTCAGCTCCATACATTTTTTAAGAATATAAGTGATAAAATAAATGCAAAGCTAGAGAAAGATTGTGTATTTTACAAAAACATTGAAAATAAATTCCACACAGCATATTGAGCTAAAATCAAATTTAAATTTACATATACAATCAGCTTTCAGAGATAGCAACTCTACTATTAATATATATTATTTTTCGATACATGGTTATTGTTTTTTTTTTTAAGTTATAATTATACACATGCTATGTGTAACGTATATTACACATATATTCGGCAACATTTTGTGATACATATTTAAAAGAAAAAAAATTAAAAATGATTGGTTTCTTTTCTAAATAAATACATCCTCAATTCTATAAGTTAATGCGAAATTTCTAACTTCATAAATAATATTAATAATCGGAATCTTCCTTGCAATATTAATCAAACATAACTCTCAAAATTCTAGAGCCAAGAACATAACATTTATATATGTATATTTTTTTTATTTTTATAAATAAAACGATTGAAAATAATTCCATAATTACGAGGATCCGACTAGAAAATAAATTTATCAAAGTTTATCAAAGCAAAAATTATATCATTGTTAAATTATATCTTCGAAATGTATGTATGTATAACGCGCAAAAGTTAAACTCGAAAACGTTGCTATTTTTTCTATATAGTTTTTTATCGCTATGTAAGAAATTATGTGTATCCGACATTTCTTTATCTTTTCTAGAAAGATAATAATTTTCGTCGAGTGCCGGATATTTGGAAGAAATGTAATCCAAAGTTTACAAATCAAAGCAAAGGAAAGCTAAACATTTAAAACCAAGCGAACGGAATATAAATAAATGTAGCTTTTTTTATTCAAGGAGTCTCTTAAAGAGAATAATGGTATTCTAGTAAAGTTTCTAGTAAAGTGTCGGAAAATTTGAGAAAAAGAAGCTTAAATTTTCGCGGTATCATCAAGGCTGAGGGCGAATGAAATATAAAAGTTATTGCTCGATGCGTGGCTGTCGACCTCGGAAATCTCTTAAGGTCTGGGTCAAACTATTCTCGTCATACGCGCACGCACCGAGTTTGATCAATTGGTTAGATGATCGATAAATCTTTGTTTCCAAATTTCATCAAATTCGCATAGTATAATCATCTTTCTTTCTTTTTTCGACATGTAGCATGCAATACTTGCACAACGATTTCTCGTTCAACAAGATTGTTCAATCGACAATCTGCTCGATAATACTGAATATTTTAATATGTATGTACATATATGACAATAAATATATACATATATATTTGACATTTAATGTAAGAAAACTTTTTATTTATCAATGGTATTTTAGCGCAACTACACAGAGAAAATTTTCTCTTAGAATTTACCTTGAAAATCATGCATGATAATCATGGGACAATATGGTATTGAAAGAATTTTTTAAGAGTTTTTATATTTACCACAATAAAAATATTAATATCTACCACAATAAGATATATGTAAAATATATTCGGTTAATTTTATTATGTATTGTACATAGTAAAATTTACTATGTACCTATTAATATTTTTTATTGTGGTAAATATTAATCAGAGAAACTCTTATACAATTCTTCCAACACCATATATTATCCTACGATTACCATGATTTTTAGGGTAAAGTCTAAGAGAAAATTCTCTCCGTGTAAAAAAAAGAGAGGACAAGAGCATCTCATTTACAACATTATTTTATCTAATTAATAAATTTTTGTTTGACATAAAAAATTCTTTTAATTTAATATATGTATAATATTATTTTCATGATTTAGTTGACTCATTAAAGTTAAATTGATAAAATATTTCTCTTTTCAATCATTTATACGGTAAATTATAATAAAATAGAATCCAAACATCTTCGTCTTGAAATATTATTTTTTATTAACTTATATAATGTTTTAGATACGATAGGAGAAAAAATGAAAGAGATCGTTACCTTATGCATTGATACGATTTAAGTGATTTTTCTATTTATGATTATAATAAATAAATTTGATGATACTTTTTAACAAAGTTCTTATATCGAAAAAATAATCAAAACTATATCATACAACTGCGTATAAATAATATGTAAATAGTAGGTACGAAATATACATACATATACGTACACTGAAAAAAATTGATTTGACTAAACTTTTTAGTTAAATTACTATTTTAATTGAATATATATTAGTATTTAAGTCAAATATACGTTTTGTTAGATTTAATGTTATACGTAATTTAAATATTAATTTTTATATATTCATTTAACAAAATAATATTTACTTGAAAGATTATTTAGTCAAGTTAACCAATTTTTTCAGCGTATATAAATAAAAAGATGTAAAACTTTAATCTGTCAAACCATGCCTATATTTATTATGTGTAAGAAAAAAAGTAGATGTAATATATTTATTTTTTCTCTAAATTAATAAATTAATATACGGCTGTCATGTTTTTTCGACGATAAAATAAAATTCGGCACTTCTTCCACCACGATGTATTCACGCTATAAAAAAATTACGAGGGGGGGGGGGAGGGTTAAAGAGAACCATTCTTTATAATACAATTTGGTTAATTTAAATTACATTATCGCTCTTCTCTCTATCTCATCATTGAAATTTTTCGGGCAAATACTTTAATCAAAAAATTGACACGAAGAGTGTCACGTGTAGCCTTGCAATGCTGCAGACTGTAAAAAAAATTAACATTCCATCGCGTTCCTTATCAAAACTTTACCACATAAAGATTGATTCACAGTATCCGATACGTAATTATTGACAAAAATTAATATCGGATATTAACAAATCTCTTTGTTCATTTACATCACTTAAAAAAAGTGAGTGAAAAGGTTTGAAAGACGAATTTAACTTTTAGTATTTACATTAAAAAAAAGAAAAATCAGAGAAAAACTATAGACGGATATATGCTCGTGTTAATCTTTGTCGTAGAAAAAAATATTATTTAACATTCTATACGAGAAAATGTAATAAACCACATAAAATTTTCAATATCTCTCTGTATAATAGTTCACTATGTAACAAATTATCTTTAATTAATTTATTAAATTAAAGACTTAAAAATTAAGAAACAAGATTACAGTTAAAAGAAGAAGCAATCGATTAAAAAAATTACTTAATTTGTATAGAAGAAAAAACAACTTTTTCGCGTGTATTGTTTATACAATCTCAATTTTTTGAAATGTAAGTGCTCATACTTGACTCGACGACTGAGACTTGATTGTTGGCACACGGATCATGACCTATTGATATACCGATTGTGAAACAATTTGCGTTCAACAGTATCGAGACCATCCTATTATCAATATCAATTCGTGCATATATCGATGAGAAATAGAAGAAATAATATATACACAATTATTTCTATATAATCTGCATTGTTCTTTATATACATATATATTGTTTTCTTTTTTTCATTGTCGTCTGATCTAGATACCGGCAATTTTTGGATATTAATATATGAATCGAGCTTAACGTTAAAAGTCTACCAAAGAATCTTTCTTACTCCACCTGACGTGCACACGCACACACACGCATATACGTGCGTACGTGAGGGACAAGATCGAATGAGGTAAGGAATGTAACTACATGAAAACCGGTAGTGTGCATTTTCAACTCATACATTGTCTGATTTTAAATTTGTGTAAATTTACACTCCTCTGTAGACAGACAGACACACACACACAAACACCCACCTCTTTCCACCTGCTTTGTCACGTACTGCTACGAACGTTGACTCCAAATCTTTGTTTAATGCAAATAGTAGTGAGCGATAGTAACCGAAACTTCAACTCCGGTGAAAGATTATTTTGTAAGCTTGCTACTGAAAAAAAATCACGAATACGACGATCGGAATATTTGAAATTTTATTCAAAATATATATTAATCGAAAAATTGTTTCCAATCGCTTCTTGAATCGAAACAGAGTTTCGAGCAGTCTTGATGAAAAAGATAAAAGAAGATGAAAGAACAAGAGAAAGATTACTACACCAGCTCTTCATAGCTTCTTAACTATTCTCTGCTTTAAAAAAATGTTTTCTCAAGTTTGTTTAAGGGAGGGGGGGTAGGGAAGAAACGGAACTCGTGAATTGTATGGCGCGACATGCGCGCGCGCTCTAAACCTAAAAATACAAATTTAAATATTGCGTAACGCGTCGGTGTCGGTAGCAGCACTCATTTTCACGGACAATCGCTTCCGGGGGAGGTGGAAAGGGAGGGGGAGGGAGAAGGAATAGTTTTACCTAATATACGATATGACATTTGACAATCTTATACACGCTGCCTAATATTTTTGCTAGTCGTTATATCACGATACACGTAAAAATATATTATCACATCATGGCGTTATAATATAAAACACTTACCGCAGCCTCAATAGCAGATGCAGCTCGGAATATCACTATTTATTGTGCGTGCAAACAAACTTATCCGCAAACAAATAAATCGCGACGTCCGCGTCCACGAGATCGAGACGATCAAGTCGATAATATAAAGTACCTCCGCGAAGAAATGCGCGAAGAATCGAAAAGCACGATGACGATCGACACAATTCAACAAGCACCGACCGACCGACCCGACCCACTCGCACGCACCAACTGAAGTCAGTCCCGAAACGCCAAATGCCCCGCGCTCGCACGACCTACACCTCCTCACCACCACCGTCCCTAAGCGACAGCGCCGGGCAACGATCTCGCAGTCGTATAATCTGTGCTATTATTCCGTACTCTGCTACCATCTATCGTCTATAGTCTATAACAACTTTTGATAATACATGTACCGCCAAAATATCTATGTGTTGTCAAGCGCACCAAATATATGTATATTAATTGTCATGCAAATTCATTATGTATATATACTGAAACATTTTAACTTACTTTTTTCCCTTTTAATCGTTATTCTAAATTCTATGAAAATAATGTACTTACCACATACTCGCTGCATAATGCTGCATGAAAAATCACTGCACTCAAACACTGACGAGGTACTGTTACTCGTCAGTGACTCAAATATGGCTATCGTAAGACAAAAAAAAGAAAGAGCGACTTTTTTGTCCCGATAATTTTATAAAAAAGAAAAAAATGTAAATCTGAATATCGTTAATGCTGTGTGCGCAAATTCGGACGAATTTTACAAGCAGACGTAACAATTTTACGCGATCGACACAACGAAGCAACAACAACGACCGATTAGGTGCACTCGCATACACCGACTGAAGTTGACCCCAAGCCACCAAAAAAATATTAGTTCCAAAAAGCTAACAACTTCATACATATATATTTACCGCGAAATTTTAAAATGTTTTCTGCACTATAGAATAAATGTGTGTACAAGTAACAAAAAATAAATAAATATTTACAATAGAAGTTATCTGATTTTTTTTTTTTTTTTAGTTAGTGTGATTATTTGTTTGTAACATCGAAATTTGCTTGTAAAGAAAAATTATATTTGATATTTACGGTTCACATAATTTTACTCTCTCACATAACTTTGACAATTCAATTGAATTTCTAAACAGTGTCAAAGATTATATATAAACACACGTTTTAAAAAATAAATAATAAATAATGTAACATAAATGAAAAAAATTTTAATTTTAAATATATTTCAACTATTGTCACACATAATAAATCAAGTTTTCTATGCACGATACACATTTAATGTCAAAATTTCTTTATCTATTTATTAATATCTTTTCAAAGGCATATAGCCTGATGTGTTCAAAGGTGTCATCTATTCTAATATATATATATATATATATATATATATATATATATATATATATATATACTATATATATTCTTTCAAATATTAATGTTTCTCGTGTATATGTGTATGCGTGCATATTGAATTACATGCGATAAAGGCCGTGAACGGGGAGATGTTTTAAAGCATTTTGCATTAAACAATCAGAATAAAGAAATCTTTACTTTTTTATCCCGAAATTAATGAATCAAACACTTTAAAGCATTCTAATCTTTCTCCAAAGTCAAATAAGCAATTGTATCTGTAACAGTAATCTGATTAAAAATGGTAATAGTAAAAAAATAAAAATAAAATTAGATAAAAAATGAAAATGAAAAGCTATCTCAAAACAATGTAATTTTATTCGTTCATATGGTCGATTCATATGAAATTTACGTGTACCAAGTATAGCTGTTACAATTACAAAGAGCAATTTTTGTCTACGTAAGAAACGTAACCAACGATTCATTCGGTTTTTCAAGATATCATTTTAGTCGTTCGTTCAAAATCGACATAGAACACGTACTATTATATTAAACGTTATGTCTAATGATGTATCTAGATCGTCATCTCGATCTTTAGATTAGGACAAGTCGTCGTTTAGATTCGGTCAGGATATACCCTCATCAGAACCCTGAATTATTTGCACCCTCAAGCCAATTTACATCAACGTTATTGTTTCTTCTTTACATTTGCTCGCTTTACATTTTAGCAAGAAATTATGAAACATTTATCGATTACATCTCGTGCATTATAAAGTGAGTAGTAGGCTTAGTAAAGCAGATTTACTAATGTAACATGTAACTTGAAAAATAATACCATGTTTGAAAACTTAAAACAAATATATCTATCTATTTGAAAAGAAGGGAAAAGAAAGAATCGCGTTGAAACATGTAGATCGCATTGACACGTAGATATCGCAAATGTACACAAGGGAAAGATGTATGTACTCGCATGTATATAAAAGTGTGTGCGTGTGATATATACACGAGTTTTAATCATTCATAAGATAAAGATTGTTTGAAGAATGGACATGTTGGCCCTTAAAGCTTCTAATAACATTTCGCGTGTTTCTACATTCATCATGTTTTGGGGATATCAGTTTCTTGAAAGATGCGGAAATTGGCAGTAAGGAGGAATCAATAAACGTGACGTTCAAAATTAGCACGAAAGTGCAATTAATTATAAGTTATGCTACATAAACGAGGAACATGTATAATAAATATCGAATAACAGTTGTAGTACTTATGGTAGTAGTACGAAGTAGTAGAATGCAGCGTACACGTACTATAGCAGCGGCTATAAAAAAGTATCTACTACGCACGAGTTTGTTACATTCGCGCTACTTATTCTCTGTTTCTATTTGTTTTGCTCTCTCTTTTTCTCTTTCACACACATTCGTTATTCTCATTATTCTCACTCATGCTCACTACTTTATTCATTCATTCATTCATTCATTCATTCATTTATTAATTAATTAATTTATGCATTCATTTGTTCATTCATTTATTCATTCTCTTCACTTGCTCTTTCTTTCTCTCACACTCATGCAGCGCGCGCGTGCGCTTTCTCTGCACCATAAATCCTTTCTCATTTTCTCACTCTACCTTTCTCACACCTTACATTTGTCTACCTACCTACATTATAATCACTATCATCATTGTAATCATCGTCATCGTGTCGTTATATATTCGGTCGAGAATCGTAACTGCTTTCTTTTCTAACGACTTGCCAATCACCATGGCGGCATAATTCAGCAGCAATCGGCACAGAATATCTATGTATTTGATTCATCAGTCTATTGTATCGTCATTTTCAATGTCCGTTTGTTCATCTCATAACACAAACAATAGACTCTTTTCAAAATGTCCAACAATGTCTATTAACATCCTTTAGCTATTCACACATTTTCGAGACCATCTTTTCCATCTCGACGTCCGTATCGATGTCGTGATGCATGTGACTACTCGCACTGCTCGAAACTATATTGCTGGTAGTGATTGGAGTAGTTGCGGATGCCGCAACCGTCGACGGTGTATTGGGTGTTGTGCCTGGGGTCCCTGAAAGTTCGATGGGCGAGCCTGGCGATGCGAGAGGTTCGGCCAAGTCCTCTAATCCTTTGGGTGTTGGCAGTTTATTTAGTTCTTCCCTCAATAGCCTGTAGTGTCTCTGTAAAACGAAGAAAACATTCCTTAATAAAGTTATATCGCTATAACTGTCTCTGTGCGCAAATCTTCAAACATTCTTCTCTTAGAAAACATATACATATGTATATGATACTTACCCTCAGAGACAAAGCATTCAGAGAAATAGTACGACCTGATCTACGGTCTGATCCGTGCATTTCCATATCTCTTATCCATCCCTCTAATTGCGCAACGATTTCGTGCCTTTTTATCCAAAAGTGAGTATGTATAACCTGTGTCGCAAAATCATTTATAAAGTTTATTTATAATAAAGTGAAAGGAATGCGTTGTAAAAAAGCGGCGGAAAGACATTTTTTATTTCGATAATTTATAGAACTTGAGAAATTTATCCTTGTAGTATAAATAACAAATGATGATGATGATAATAATATAATACAAATTATTATTATTATTATTATTATTATTATTATTATTATTATTATTATTATTATTATAGGATTAATATGATAATTTATTGCAACATAACAGAGAATGAAGAGTGCACGCTTATATAAAATGAGAGATCTTAAGATCATTTCACAGGTCAATTACCTACCTCCTTAAAACATGGACAAGGATTACGAATTTGATCGAGCATTGCCCATTTGGCAGTAGCCTGACAAATATTCGCATTGTATTCTTGACTAGATTGAGCACCGCTCGACGTGCCCCGTGATCGTTCGTATCCAGGCTCATTAAAATAAGGTTCAGATACTAAGATTAGCGACTGTATCGATACCAAGACCTGTGTCCAACAAAATTATAATTATCGAATCTTGTATACATTGTCATTATCGAATAAATATTAATTCATTAAATTAAAGAAAAAATGACAAAAGAAATTGAACCAACAAATAAGTCTTATTTTCAGAAGTTTACCTGGAGGAAACTACTCGTATGCGCATTCCACTTTTCCTCGGGCCGACCGTGCCAAGTATTTAACACACTGAGACAGACCTTTCCGTCATTGTATAAATTTGGATTAAAACGTACGGTGTGACGACCGGTTGTCTCTAAGTTTATTAACATTGGGCTATTAGGATAGTCGGGAGGGAAGTATACGTCAAATTCAAAACAGCCGTTTGCGTACGGTGTTTCTGCTGGCCCCGTTATGAGTACCTTTAACAATCGTATATATCGTGTCACATTGCGGTGAATATAAAAGTCACAAATTGCCAATTAATTCTTAATATTGATTAATATTATTGGAACAAGTGAGATATTTCTTTTACACATACGTTACTGTTTACTAAAATTACAATTAAAAAAAAATCTCAATCGCTTTTACGCGTTGCCTTTTTATAATTTCTTTTTATCGCATATTGTTTATATAAAATAAATTTCACGCATTTACACATACACACACAGAGAGCCTTTGATTTGAAACATGATGATAATTAAAGTGTTGTGCGTACATGAAATAAAAATGAAACAAATAAAATACCTTCATGATGTCTAATCTATCCGCATCACATCTTACAAACACACTGCTGCTGTAAGAGAGAGGTAATGCTGTCGAGAGCGTGACGGCTTCTTGGGCTAATCTTTTTACTCGTGTGGGATGACTCCTCTCACCTGCAGCCCTCATATTTGATTCAAAATGATACGAAACGGTGAATTTATAACCTCCGCCGTCTGGATTCTCGGTAATCATTTCATAGGTATCTATGGAAAAGGAAAAAACGAGTATTAATTGCTAATTGTCATTACTTTATTATTACAAGTACTATTAGCTTTAGTACCATTAATTTTAATTTCTTAGCTATTTGCAAAAATTCTTGATAATTATATAAATGAGAAACAATATAATATATTAATTTACAGAGATTACTTTTAACAGTTTTGAAATTTTCAAAAAAAATCTTTTTACTGTGCATTTTGTAATAATAGTTTGAAGAAATAATCAAGAGTGTACGAGAAACTTTTCGCTTTGTATAGTTGGAAGTGTTTAATATTAATTATTAAATCAAAAATAAAACTGCAGTTACAATATAATGTGTATATATATATATTGTATATCGAGTAAAGAAGTTTTACGTTTAGCAAGAGACTTACCAAATTGCAGATTTTTCATAACTTCCAAATAGCGGTGCTCGAGACTCGAGCGCAAAGGTAATTCAGACACCGTTGGACTCGATCCGGGCAATTCCTCCCCGATACCAGATAATCGACATGTAGCGTTTTGCACTATACTCGCACTTTCTTGTATATCGGGAATCAACGTGGCCAATCCTTCGTCTTGTTCGGTATCATCGGGATATTTAGAAACGGCTTTCATATTCGTTTTATTGCCTCTCGTACGATTGATCTTATTCACATACGTGTCTACACACACTCTCATACTTGATAAAAGGGACACTACGGATGGTTCTCCAGCGGATTTAGCGCCGCGTGGTAGTAAGAGCGGTGCCAGCTGGCTAGAGAGAGCCATGGCTCGGAGCAATTGCAAAACCGCGCGATACAGGGGAATGTGTCTGGCCATATCCAAGACAGAATCGTTTCGCAGGTACGACGATAATGCCGGCAGTAGACAGGAACGCGCGAGTAAATCTGGAAATGGAGCGGGTAGCTCGTGCTGCGGTTGCCCGCTTCCCGACGTACCGATGTAACTAGCGAGAACCTGCAGCAACACCGTTACATGCTCGTCCTCGCACCGTTGACGTAACAGCGCCTGCTCGACGTTCCAAGACTGTTGCGTAGATCCGGTCCCAAAGCCAGTACCTTTCGCCCAGTATAGGTGCGAATTATCATCGCTGCGTCCTCCAACGCCGTCACTCTGACTCGTTTTATGTTCGCCCGAGCCATCGTTCTGCCCAGTCTGATGCGTGAATATCGCCAGGCAATTTAACAGCAATAGCATGGCGCCAACTTCTATAGTCGTCCCTCGTAAAAGCAAACCGTCGTCGGTGCTCGGTGGCGTAGCGTCTAGCAGTTGCTTCAAAACTTGGAACGGCAGGGTCGGCAACGACGCGGCCAACGGCGAGGACAACACCTCGCCGCCCTCGCCATCGTCGGAAACGCCGAGAGCGAGCCGCAACAGACATTGCGCCCGTTTCTTGTCTCTCAATAGTACCTCGGCGTAGCCCGGTAATCTTAGAAACAGACCAAAGGCCGCGAGAGAGTGCGGCGGTACATACGGAGCGGGAACCGATGTCTTTGGTGTACAATTCGTCGTTCTACCTTCCTCTAGAGCCTCATAAATGTCGTCGTTTGTCTCTAACTTTACCCAATCAGCGTCCGTCTGTTCCGGCGACGGTGACTTCTCTACGAAAAACGATGGCCTACCGGGATCCGGATATATCAGCGGCAAGTGACGCGCCAACACTGCCAAACCACCGCCGGCACTGAACACACCCAACGAGCTCTCTATGCTTCTGTAGTTTAACAGTTCACTGTCATTTTGTTTCGTCGCGTTTACTTCTTCTGTAAATAAAATATGTAAAAAAGCGTGAATAAAAAACGCAAACGTGATTCACAAAAGTGTATTTGTATCCTTTCAAACGATTAACCCTTTTTAACTTAAAAAGTCTTTTTTTTTAAAAAAAAGACGCGTACTTGATAGAAACGCGTATTGCGTTGTTAATTAAAAGCTTTCGATTTGGAGCAATCAATATTTTAAATTAAACAACAACAATAATAATATATAATACAGACACATAGACGAGAAAGCTTAATCAAGTATCAAACAGCTAATTAATCACAACAGCATCTTACAATCGATATGTAATATCATATCGTAGTTGTAACTTAATTAATTAATTATCATTTTATTAGATTCATCCGTCTTCAGATCAGATGATACTTTTAACAAAATTTATAGAGGCTACTCTATAAACTCAATTAATTGTATGTATACTGTACATTCTGTGTACTACGTTAACATCTCTGATATTTTATTTCAATTAAATGCATTATCAATTTTTATTATTGCACTTAATTGTTATATTTCAATAAAATATCTATATCAATAAGAAGTTTAGAAGAAAGCGACAGAAATCATATATATACCTTTAGAATCCTTATTACGTTGACGCAAGATGAGGTGTAAGCACGGCTCGGACAACGATACTCCGCTATCCTCGGCGATTGCCAAAAGTTGTGCGATCGTAAGTTGAGGTGGTAGAGGGATATTTGGACGAGATGAATGTATTAGGTACTGCTGATTCGTCGTGTTGGCCGGGTTTACTTGTGCATTATTAGTAGAGACTTTGCTTGTTCCAACTGACGGTCCATCTACAGTAATACAATCGTTTAGTTAAGCAATAATGAGAAACATAGTATACAATTTTATTTGAAAAATAAATGATTATCTTTTTAACTTAAATACAGCACATGCAGTTAAATTCACACTAGATAGATACAGAGTATCCTGTTATCGATAATTAAAAATTTGTATTGTATCATTTTTTAAGTTTTAAGAAAGCAAAGAGTAATTATTATAGCTTTTAATTGCAATTAAGTATTACTAATAATCAAAACGTACCGGAAGTTAAACGTGTCTTTCTAATGATAGGACCACGAGCTTGCGATCTATTCGATACTTCTTTAGCTCGTTTATCTTTCGCTGTGTTTCCAGCAGCTACACTAAGCGTATCTACTACTAATGCCATTCCAGATTCCCACAATTCACGAGAACGATTATTTCCTACATTGGAACTTGTTTCGTTACTCTTGTACGTATTTGGAAGTAACAAAAGAAGCCATGTTCCTTAAAAAATAAATTTTATAATTTTATAATACTCATACAGGGGTTTAAAACATACTGATATATTTTCTGCAATAATTCGCATCTATTTTCTACTCGTGCAATTTTACATATTTTATTTCAGAGAAACTTTTACTATAATTATATTATTTTGTTATCATAAGTAGTAGATGTGCATACCTGATACTTGTTGTAATATATCCGCGACTGTTGCTTGCGTCGACATGTATAATAATTGATGATAATGACCGAGAGGATGAGCAGGATGCGGCGGCATAGATGGCATACTATGATTAGCCGCGGTTGTTGAAACTTTCATAGGAGCTTCTGATGTTACAGAAACTAATACCTTTTCTCCCTCCAAGAGCAATTGAAGAATTAATCTTCGTGTAAACCCGGAAATGCCATGAAGATATCGCACATCTGATAATGTAATAACATATCGTTACTCGATAAAGATTGATTTAAATTAATTAATTCATTATGGCGTTATTAACGAAAGAGAGAGATATACCGAGAGAAAGAGAGAGAGAGACAATTTAATATTATTCAAGTTACAGTATGTACACTTACTTGAAGTAGTTCGTTGTTGAGAAATGACTTCGATCAAAAGTTTTGCCAACAACTTTTGATTAGCAAAGTGACACCAACAACATCTTGATAGGAATTTGATCATGGCACTTTCCAAGGATGCGTACGATGCACTTGTTTTCGAACAACTGCAATATGTCATAATATATGTTATTAGCAAAAGTTTTTTATTATCCAGAAGACTTAAAAATAACGTATAAGACTATATAGTAGTTACGCGAGCACACAATTCCGACAAATTGTGAAATATTACTTCATAAACTAATTGTATTTTGATGAAAAATCTTGAATTTACGAGCCGACGCTTTTATATATTTTATTATAGTTTTATATTATTTGCATCATATAAAGAACATAGTATTGTAGTCTTTATGTGTTTTTTTCTGAATATTATATATTGTCTGAAACGTTTGTTAACGTAAACGTAAATACCTTGATGCAGCCGCGGCTGGACTTTCAACAGGACGATTACTAAGAAGAGATAAAAGGGGCAACCAGAAACCATGACCTTCTTTACCAAGCCAATCACGCATTCTACCTTCTGAACATACAAGTGTCAAGAATTCTATTACTATTGCTATACTCTCTGGTTTTGTCATGCACAGTCCACCTGGAAAAAATAAATAATATAGTATACATATTCATGTAACATCTGTACAAAATAGCTTATTTCCAAAAACTTTGTAAAATCCATATTTTTTAACAGTGTCATTCAAAATTAATATTTTAATATAATTAAAATATAAAAAAAAATGATTATCACATTAATATGTTATATGCTTTTATATAAAGCCATATAATTATAGAAAACTGTTTTTTTAAACATAAAATAAAATTATTTAGAAATAAATTCTTATAATGTTCAAGTTATATATTTACCAGAATAATTATTTGAGCCGGAATTGGAATCTGCCGCTTTATCACTGCTCATCAAAGAGACATCCGCAGTCATATTATTTTCATTACTGTCACCTGATGCCATTTTACTATTTCGCTGCTGTTTTTTAAACTTTTCCGAATTGCAGAAATCTAAATATCAAAACATTAGCATAAAAAAGATATTGACTACTGATCCATTTTAAATTATCTTTTACAATTATCCATAATTAATAATTAAATTAAATTTTTATCTATATTTTTATATATCTGTGCAATGCATAATTATGATTATGTACAAAATTATTTTTCTCGTTCCTATTCCAATATCTACAAGCTATATACATTTTTAAATATAACTCGACCGAGCTAAATTAAATCTGATTGGATTCTCTAAATTTTCTTTTTGTTTTCAACAAGTATATTTTTAAAAAATTTTTAAAGGTGTAATGTGTAAAATATATGTACAAAATTATGTACATATCAGTGAATATAATATGGTCAATAAATATTGCAATGAATATTACATTTAACGTGTGCACGTATATGTGTAAAAAATATATATCAAGTAATTAAATTATATTCACAAATTATAATTTGTCCAAAGACTAGATATGAAATAAAAAGTTAAACCTGTGATGAATGCTGTCAATAATGCTGGAAGGCCGGAATCTATCAATTGTCGAATACCAGGCGGAGAACGTGCCGCTGTAGCTACAGTCAATAATTGTCCCTCTGTCAGATGTAATCGTTTATGTTTCAGCAACGCAAATCGGCAGTACCATCCCTCTGCATCAACATTAATTTCATTCTTTTTATCATCCGTCTGCTCCTCGCTCTTCCTGCGATCGTCAGATATAGATGTGGTTGGATCCGTCGCAATATTCGATGGTAGTATTTGAACCCATTCCAAAAGCAACATTAATAGTGATGGCCTCACATAACAGAAAGCGCATAAAACAGAATCGATCGCTTGTTTCAAAGCCGAATTGTTTCCGAGTGTCAAGGTCCATTTGTACAAAGAGCTGTTCTCAAAAAACAAAAATAAATGTTATTTTCTGTTCATTCATAATATTCAAAGTTTGGCTATATAGAGAAATGCACAATAAAATGGAAAATAAAATTTATATGATAATAATAATATTGCAAATTGATTAATAATTAAATATGCTTTAATCAATAAAGGTGAAAATATGAAATTAAATGGTCTTACTAGAACAACTCATCCGTTAGCAAGATTTGTAGATCGTAATTGTGATATTGCTGTTGCTGAGCCTTCCAAATGATAGAGGACACACAGTGTATGTATACTGCTGGTGGATTTACGGAATTGGGATTATTATTTGTTTGAGATATTCCATTTGTGGCAGATATTTGTAGCCATGTAAGAACAGCCTTCATGCGAGCTTCCGTACTTGAATCCGGAATGGAACACAATTGCTGAAGTAATTCAACAACCAACTGTATAATGGAAGTTTCCTGAGAAGTCACAGCCCCTGTCAAATATCAGCATAGTCATTAATTATAATATTACCATAATAAGTCATAAGTTCAGAAAAGAGAAACAAGATTACTATTCTATCAAATATTTTACTCAGAAGCAGCCTTAGTCTTTATTTTAAGCAACAAATAACTTTCGTCGACTATTAATATAAACTATAAATTAGATAAATCAAAGTAAATCTTTAATAATTAAAATAAGCTTTACTATCAATTTTACTCGCACAACTATAGAAAAATGATTATATTTCTTAATTTATTTCAATGTTTAAGTTTGGACAATAAATCATTTAATATATAATTTCAATATAAATTATTAATTTTTTTCTTCATATTAACTCTAAAATAAACATCAAAACACATAAGCGAAAACAAAGAATTTTTTCTTTTTTCATAATATATTATTGCTTTTATAAAGTGTTTAACCAATATTTGAATCTCCTTGAAGCGCAAAACCCAAGGCTATCATCTAATCTGCCTATATGGCCATCCCTGATTTTATTTGCGGAAAACAGAACAAAGCGATACCTTGAAAAAAAGGAGTAGACCTGTTGTTGAGTAAGAGACCAATGAGACGAAGTCCAAGCTCTCGAGAATGTAAGCCAAGTTGTAATAGAACCCTCTCCAAGTTGGGAGTAAAAAGAGACGGTGCTGGGAGTAACAAAAGATTGCAGCATGCCTCGACCAGGCCTTCCACTGAAGCCGCGGAATTAAGCACCTCGATGGCCAGATTACTGTTTAATGTGCTCACCGATAAGCACTGATGCAGTAATCGCAACCAACCCAAGCTACATGGAAAACATTATAAAAAATGAATTCTTTAAACTTGTACGTAATAAACCTTCGACTCTTTAATCTGGTCGTTTCATTTTTTTTTATCGCGACAAGAATTATGAGTTAAATAATTTTAATAATAAATATCTTTCGTTCAAATAAAGAGAATTGTATTTCATTATTATTTAAAAGAATTGCTCACATTAAGTGATGCGCAGATAAAGTGTACTAAACTACTTTATTTTTTATTTAAAATTTAAAACCTTTTAAAATATTTTTCTTGCTCAAGAAAACTTTTTAATTTTTCAGAATTAGAAACCTATTTTATTTTACTTATAATTTAGTATTATAATACGATTGTGTGTGGTATGAACACACACAACATGTAAACACGAGATTATAAAATATAGATGGATTAAATAACACACAATTAAGAATAGGCTTTGAATAAAAATTAAAAATACGGTGATTAGACTGTCGGAAAAATAAAAAAATAAAATCATTACCTAGTCTTAGTTAGTTGTTCCTCATCTATTGTATCATTTGGACTCGTTTTAATTTCACCGAATGCGGTGGTTCCCAACAATCTTATTTGACTGAGATTTATGTTTGTCGAGTCACGAGGTTTGTATAAGCGCACCAATACAGAAGTTGCGACTTCCGGTTGAGACAAAGTAACACGTATGTACGTTAAGCCCGCCGTTGGCATTGGAGGACAAACCGGTGTTAAGGGACCATTACTTTCTCTTGAAACTTCAAGCGCTACAGCCGATGGACATGCTATTAAAAACAAATACACATTATAAAAAATAAAGTTCTATCTGCTTATTATTTAATAAAATGTGTTATGTATAATATATATGTATATATATGTATATATATGTATATGTGTTATGTATAATATTTTACTCAATTTTCAGAATTCTCCTCTTATAAAATTTTTCAATCACTCAACTGAATATTTCGACACTTTTATTAAGAAAGAAGCAACTAAAAAGTTGATTCAAAATAAAAAATCTGCAGTTTGTAAAAACAATGTGTTTAGTTAAGGGATATTTTATATTGCTTACTTAATTAAAGTGTACAAAATTTCACAGTTGGTGAACTCTCTAATCAGATCGATTTGACACATGTTATTAATACAATGCAAATAACATAAAAGAAAAAAAAAGAAAATATTAAAACATACTGTCGGTAAAGGTTTATCAACTCTTGGAATTAGAATGCCAAACTTACTGGACAATGCTGTGAGATGTGGCTGTAGTTCCACCTTTCTAAGTAGAATAGCGCATGGTAAAGTGATGGTGAGATCAACCCACGCCTCGTCGGGATAAAAATGATACGACCACGCTGGTGTTCTTGCACGTTTATGAGGAGTAGCATTCTGTATGAGAACATCTGCTGGTTGTGCGGTTGGATTTAACCAGGATATTGTACCGAGAGGTGCAAAGTTGAGTAAACCATCGTCCTGAGTTTCTAACGAACCGACGCCTTTTTTACTACCACTCGCCATCATCTGTATCACATTGGGCGCGTTCGACAAGTGTTCCATAACAAGAGCGATCACTCCGGATGACGCGGAAGCACTGGTGACGCCACTGTTACTCGATCTCACGAGATTCTCACAAAGCACTTTTACGCCACCCATTGCAGTAAAGATAGATAACGATGATGCATTGTCCAATACCCGTAAGATATACCAAAGAAGCGGTTCTGACAGTTGCATAATTCCTAATTCAGTTTCCCCGCATGCTGTAAATAATAAAATTGTTCGAAACTATATGCATTTTGCAAAATTTGATAATATAGTATGTTCATCATCAAAGATAAAATTTAAAAAACATTCTATCAGTGAAGACAAAATAAATTTTTTTTGTTCGATTACTTTTCATGAGATAAATTCAATATTATATATTTAGCTTAAAATGCTTAAATTCTTACAGGAAGAAAGATAGTGGTAAAGCGGTTTGAGAACAAGAGTTGGGTCGCTAGCCTTTTTCGTAAGAGTCGTTAGGAGTTGAAACGTCGCATCCGGTATCGAAGCTGGATCACCGAGCTCGGTGGTCGATGCCGCGCCCGCACTCTCGCCTAAGAGCATGGCTAACGAGGATCCCGTACTATGACCGAGAGTACCTAGTAAACGCATCATAGTCGGTTCGTGCTGCAAAACTTTAAAAAAGAATACAAATTTTTTATTAATAAAACTTGGCACGTGATTTACGCAAAATGATATCTTTTATACATAAGACAGATAATTACCGGTATCAGCGAGACAAGGTACATAAGATTTACTAGTTTTTGGTTGTTGCAGGCGAAACGAAGTTTGTTGTTCTGCCTTACTTTCATCTGTTTGCCAAGTATTCATCTTCACTTGAGAATCATTCGCATTGCTTACAGAATTCCAAGAATTCGCTTCTGATAGTTCCATTTCCGCCGATTCCTCTAAATCATCTTGACAAGCCTGTAAAAAAAAAAATATATATAAAAATATATATAATACATATGTACTATGAAGATTAAGAAAAATAGATAAAGAATTGAGATAAATTAAAATATGCATAGATACAAAATATATGTAGAATGTGATAAAATAATATAGTGTACATACATTCGGTAATGGAGTTTGGATGAGTGTACACACTAATTTAATGAGAGCTACAATTAAAGTATCCCAAGATGCGGGGCGTGATTGTCTTGTATCGCCACCGAGTACACAAGCAAACAGACCACCGAAACCACTGGACTGACTGGTCGAATCTACCGCACCTCCACATTGCGCGCCAACTGTTGGAACAATTTTATGCATTGAGATCCTTGCCACTTTTTGCGACAAAATCAACTGCAACTATTGACAGTCGACATTTCAATTTATGTGTGTGTGCATGGAATAAAATTTTATTAGAATTTTTAATAATAAATAATTTTTAATGTTCCGAACATAGAATGTAATTTCTCAGAAAATTATACTAATTATGTGTATATACTTATATATATACATACACATATACACAATACAAACTTTGATAAATTTGTCTCGGATAGTTTTTCTATCTCTCTACACATTTATTTGCATTCTTTCTCTTCTTATAATTGCAGTTCATAGTGTATAAAAATATTCAATAAAAAAAAAGAATTCATTACCTCCAGATTCTTTGACATAGGTCGAAACCAACACACCAACGCATTCCGATATGCTCATGGCGGTGCCTAAGTCGGTATTGACATAATTTAGATTAACTACAGACGTTATTAGTTTGCACTGCGCATCTAAAGGTCCCTTTCTTGAAATGAGAGGTCCGCTTGGTTGCACAAGTTGGTATACCACTTGCAACAGAAGATCCTTTAAGGCATTACCTAAACAACTGTCTGTTGTAATAACATCGCACATCATTTCCAATCGAATGAGAAAATCATGCAGTGCTTGGCAAACTGTAGGGCCAGCCTAAAATGATAACAAAAGAAAGAATACAGCTATAAGTAGGAATTATCATAAAATATATATATAAATAAATATGTAATTTTTGAGTTATATATATGCATGTGTGAATTATTAGATATGTACATTGTATAAAAGTGATATATAAATTTAGTCGAGTATTAATTAATAAGTCAATTTTAAAAATGTTCACTTCCATCAATTATCTGTGATAACAAGATTACAATAGAAATTGTATCCTTACCATAATATATTGCTTATCCATCATATTAATATTTAATCCATTGCCGGAAAGTAGGCGCAACAACATAGGGCCTGTATTACGGTCTTTAACAATACAACTAGCTATAGATGGACTACTAGGTACAAATCCGTCTAAACCAGAATATCTTCGTAGCGGTTGATTGCAGACAATGGTTAAACATTGTAACGCAAAACACCAAGCCCGTAAAGAAACTCCAGTATGCCTAAAATTTATTTAACAAATTACATATATTGTACTCATTTTAAAACATTTACATTTTAAAACAGTAACAAATTATTATATTACAGTTGCGGCATCCTTGCCATTAAACTTGAGCTTTTAAATATAACATACCAAGAGAGTGCAGATATCAAGCTAGAAATGGCTGCTGGACTAAGTGGTATTAGAGGTGTTAAAGAAGGGTCAAATTGAGAGCCTGGATGTTCGGTAGCAGCGTCCATATTCAATGCAAACCAAAGTTGGAGAACGAGTTCCAAGTTTGTACTGTTATTCTGTTATAAACATAAAATAAAAACTATGCATTACATGTGTATATATATATAATGTATTCAGAAAATATAAACATAAGCGAAAAATTTTAAAATATTTACTAATCAGAGAAAGTCTTGAGAAATACAGAAATTATCTAAATAAAAATATGCAAGTTGAAATGAGCATTTTTTTTTAAACAAAAGGAAAAGAATTCTTTGAATGACACAAACACACAGCTAAAAAAATCTGTATAAAATTTTGATAATACAATGCAATTTCACTTACAATTACATGTAATAATAAAATTTTCACAAAACTGTTATTAATTTTTTTGTTTGCATTCAATTAAAAGTAGTTGCAAAGTATAATTTAAAAAGCATGTATTATTTAGTCAGTGAATTTGTCAAACAAAATTGAGATGAAAATTCACATATAATTTGGAGGTTACGTTATTAAGAAAAAATAATACATGATCTTTAGCATATATGTATGTGTGTGCTTGTTCCATCAAATTTTCAATCTTAAAAAAAAATAAATAAATAAAAAATAAATAAATAAATAAATAAAAAAAATAAAAAAAAGAGAGAAAAAACTTAAGTAATTAATAACTTACCCGTAAATACAAATCTGTGAACATTTTTTCAAAACATCTCGTTAACATGGAAAGATTAGAAGGAGTAGGGTCGGAAAAATTACCAACTTCCTGACTTTTATCGTTTGTCTCAGTACGCAAATACGATTGTGGACAACAACGATTTGCCTCCGATGGCATCTGTAACATAAAACTCTATTCACATAATGTAACCCAAATATTAATCTTGTATATTGCTCGCTCCTTTAAACATTTTACACATTTAAGCAACTCTGCCCTCTTTTAACAACCTACTAATTGCTAAAAATTGTTATATATATGCAAAAACATGACAAAAATAGTATGTGCTTAGTTCCTCATCCAAAAGTGGAAAAAGAATGATAGTAATATTCATCGAATCTTATTTATTTTTTTATAACTTAAAATTCCTCCATCTTTTTGATAAAAACAATTTTCAAAACATCTAATATTATAATTAAAGAAGAGCAAAAGTAATCTTCCTCGTTATTTTAAAACAATACAAAAAATAGCATATAAAAGAAAAGTATAATATGGGATAAACTCACATGTACTGTTGCATTTATACTGTGAGGTAGATTGTACATGCCGACTGTAGACAGTATCCTCAATGATATTTCTACACCCATTTCAACTCCGTATTCCAATCGTGCGTCCATCGCTAAAGAAATGCTCCTGTATAATATTAAAAAATATATTACTACTATTATTATATTTAATTAGAGAGATGTGTGTGTGTGTGTGTGTGTGTGTGTGTGTGTGTATGGACGCATTATTGTATATTCACGAGTAAAAAGTTAAACGTAGATAAAATCCCGCGTAAAATTTTCATAAAATTTTATTCATTGCAATGTTCATCAAATTCAAATGTTGAATAAAATTAAAAATAATTATGCATAATATTGTTTTTCACAAATATGACTTTTAATTTGGATATGTAATATCATAACTTTCTAAACATATTAACGTCTTTCGCAAGAATCAATTGTCGTGAATAAAAGTATAGGAAAAGACCAAAGGTAAATACCCAGTAATAGCAGAAGTTAAAATCTTCGATACTGTACTATCCTTCTTCAGCATATTTCTGCCACGTTCCAATATGTCATCCAGAAAGTCTTCCAATTCGCTATCGTCAGATTCTAAAAGAGACGGCAGATAACCGTTGGATTTGGATGTACTTGCTGTGGTCGAAGTCACTGCAATGTTATCTTGCGCATCTTCATCCGCGTCTCCTTCGACGAATCCTTCGGCTAACGTAGCAGTGGAAGGTACGCTGCTGCCTGCAACACTGATCGAATCCTCTTCCGTACGACTATGATTTTCTTCCGTATGGTTCCCTAGCGATTCCAAATTTTCCTCCGATGGACTGCTTTCGTGGGTGGAACATGCTCTAGGATATAATCGCCCTCCTACAAATAAAATTTTATTTATACTTTACATATCTCTAGTCAATCAAATTGTTACAGTCTACTGTACAGTATCGTATACTGAAAATATTTTCGTGTTTAGTCCCACGGATTAAAATAGGAATTGCATATGAGTTTTACTCCAAATTAATCTAACTATTAATTATTTGCTTCGTAATAATTATTTATAATACTTCTAATACAAACTGATTGTAAAGTGTACCTTCTAACAAGTCCATTAGAAGGCAGGAAACGGCATGCGACGACCAAGCAACATCAGATGTATCTGTTGCCAATCTGATTAATTTTAAGAGTTGTTCCTCGGTCATAAGTTCACATAAACCAATTGCGGGACGTGTAGATATCACTAATCTAGCGACTATCTATAATTGAGAAAAATGTAATTATGAACATATAAATTGTAAAACTGTAGAAATTTTAAGATTTTTTTCTTCTAATAGTACTGATTGCACAATATAAAGTGCAGGGTGTATAAAAATTATTAGTCACCACTTCGTCAGCTAATTCTCCTGTTCATGTTCGGCAAAGAACTTAAGATATAAATCTATATATATCTCTGATTTTGGCAGAGTCAGTAGAAGCTTACCTTACAAGCCAATAGAAACATGTCTACGTTAGCCGAATTGTGTAAAATGAGTGCGACGAGACCACGCGCGACCGGCAAGACATATTGATGAGATAAATTTGTCACATTGTACTCGACTTCTAAATCCATAACGTCCGATTTGCTACAATTATGTATAACAAGTATAAGTACATTTTTTTCAAACTTATGTGCTTATAAAAAAAACGAGACGAAAATAAGAACATTGAACTGACCTAGTACTGGATCGCGTTTGACTACAACAAGGATTACGAAGCAACGATTCGTTTCTCTTGAGAATATCCTTGTAATGCTTTGCAGAATGTTGTTTTAATGTCTTTTTGAAATAACGTTCTTGAACTTTCAGTGTCGCTTCCACTTTATTGTACAATGTAGCGGCATCGGACGAAAGAGTCATCAATCCCTAAATATATCACATAAAATTGTATTACTTTTTACATCTTTTTATGTAAAGTAAAATATTTCTAAATTTGAATAGCTATTCTTCTAGTCCATTAGACAATACAGATAGCTTAAATGATAAACATATTTTTTATTTATTTATTTTTTAATAATATTTATCTCGTCAACTATTTCCATGATTTTTTTCCATTTGATCATCTAAAAAATATTCTTTAAGAAGACATTCCCTTTCTCTCCTTTCTCATTCCACTCACTTCCCTCCCCCTTCTCTTTTTTACAAATTAAATATATAAAAATTATTTATACTTTGATTTTGTATACATACTTTGGATGCTGCAGATTTTTTCGCTTGTTCTAATTCATGGAGCTGCTGTTTATGATGCAATAAACGTTTTTGCAACCTTTTACGGTAACTACGAGAGGCGGATGATCGATTAGCATTAACATATTTTCTTTGCATGGCTGATTCTCCTTGAATAAATTCCCAACGAGAAAATAAACCTTCCAAAATAAAATATAAAAATTAGAATATTGTTATTCTGATAATAACTATGTATTTATTATTTCGTGCTAGTTTGCACATATTTTTTTCCTAACTATTAACATGTTAAAGCGCTGATAATATAAAATACAAAACTGTAATATATAGAAAAACACAGTTTAGAATATTCGCAATCTAGTTTTGCTTATCTTGTCGCCAACTAGCACGCTGATCAATTTAAAATATTCAAATTTTAAAAACCGCTAATATTGTATTGAATTATTTACTAGTTTTCTCGTGTATCATGTAGATTGCAATTGATTTTAACAAACAAATATATCAGACAATTTTAAACTTATATTTGCTGAATTTTCATCATAATTCCAAGTACACTAATGACTAACGAAGAAAACATTGTATGTATGTATACATATAAATTGTGTTATAGATAAACACGAGACATTATAGAAAATACCTTGTTCTCTGGTTTTCTCATGATTGTCTTCAAAGCAGGGTGGTGGAGCAATGGTGTCTAAGCATATAGACAAAAATAATAATACCCAGCCTATTAAGGTGACGTCCAGTCGATTAGAATCGGACGACTGTACATTCGTAAGTGGAGTCAATAATTTGCCCAATGTACGAACCATAGCTTCGATAACCGAAGATTTATTTCCTCCCGCTACTAACGACTTTCGTCCAAGAAATGTCAATAAAATAAACACCCTAAAAATGAATAAATTCAGCTTAAAGTGTCTTGTAAAATTAAATTCAAGTTTATCAATTTATGTTTTAAAATTCGCATAAATCTAGTCAATAATAAGATAGCCAGTAATAAGATATACATAATGATACGTAATCTTCCTAAATTAATTTTTCTATATATAGATTAGCACCTTTTTACATCCTGTATATAATATTTAAAATTTCCTAAACCTCATTTACCTGTCTTGCGGGAAAATGTGAATAGATGAAGACGAATATAGATTTATCAGAGTATTGGACAAGAAATTGCCCCACCATGGCTGATGTCCTGCCATACCAACTAAAAGCGCAGCGGCGTGAAGTTGTAAACGTGGGGCTGGCGTTACAACGCATATTGAATGGAAAAATTTTTCGCAAATTGTTGGAGTAAAAACTTCATATAATGACGTTGGTCGATGTATCTGTTAGGAAAAAAAGAAAAAGAAATAAGTCAAATTGTCTAATTTCTTTTAGAATGATAATCATGTTATTAACTTTAAGCGTTTAAATCTAAAATAACAATAATGCATACATACACTAGGTACTGGACCAATTTCGTACACGGTGTATAACAAAATGTCAAGCAAAGTTTCTCCGAGGACTCGTAATTTATCACTAGGTGCGTTCGCGAAAGATGTTGTTGGCACATTTCGCAAACCTCTCCACAATTCAAGACGTCGCCAAACACCTCGTACAATATTCAATTGATGTTGAAACATAATACATTCCTATAATAAATATGGATGAATTGATACATTAATCGTTTTGTCGATAAAAAATTTCTTGAATCATTCTTCTTTACTTGCAAAATGTCTCTAAAAATTGTGTTCATAATTATATCTTACCTGATATGTCGACAGTATCTTTGCCGATGGTTGTTCCTTATTTTCATTAAATATCTTATTGTAACAAAGATAATTTTGCATATGCATAACATTAGGAGTTTCTGAACACAGCAATGGATCCAACAGAGCTTTTAATCTTTCAGTAGCTAAACTAAATCTAAAAAAAAAAATATTTTCAAGAATTAACAAAACAAACTTTTAATAGTTAGATATTTATAATTATGCCAAAAATTGCTACAAATGTTACACAAGCAAATCAAAATATTAGAAACCACGTTTTTATAGAAAAATCAAAATATTTCAGAGAAAGAATATTTGTTCTGTAGAAAAAACAATTTGTTATCTAGAATTATTTTATTATGTCTTTTTATACCATCTTTATTATACAATACCTGCATTGTACATCCTCTGCTAAAGCTGACAGTATGTTACATTGTGTATCAATGGTAACTTGTAAAGAAGGATCAAAAATATTGGCATCGAATGACGAGGAATCATTCAACTCGGAATAGTCTTCTCCAGGTAAAACTACCATGTGTCCATAAAACACTCCTAATGGTATTTTACATGTAGTTGTTGACATTCCATAGCGTCCTATAGTAGTAATCTGCAATGACAAGATCAACTTTATTTAATTTATAGATAGAAAACGCGTGAAAATCGATAAATTTGTATAAATAAAATATAGGCGAGAATAAACGGGTTATGAGATGAATATATAAATACTAATTGATGAATAAAGAAATAAACGAAAAATATTAGCGAATAGAAATAAAAAAAGAGGGCATGGTAAAGGAAAAGTTTATAAACAAAATTGTTACACAATTATAGAAGTAAATTATACAAGTATTTCTATAATCTACGTTTTAAAGATATCACATAAAAGTAAAAAAGTCTATAAAGTAGAATAAATAAAATGCAAGAAATGATAAAATAATTATAAAAGTAATGCAGCAATTGAAATAAACAGATCTAATCCGTAATATATTTGGCATATATTTTACCTTGAGATATCTACACACTGGAGGTGGTTGAAGATCGCAGACAATCAATGGCTTACTACCGATATCACCAGCAACAATAAGCCTAGTGCCATCCGTTTCTTCGTTTTTAATCCAGATATCTATGGAGAGTGATACTAGATCATTGCACGAAGGAATCATTAGATCAGTCAGCAATATGGGCGATCCAAAATCTAAAATAACAAATCGACGAGCTCCCGAATGCATTCGTTCAACGACCAACGCTTGCTGAGGCGGCCAACACAGTAATCTGCCCCACGGAAATGTAATATCTTCTCGCTGTAACATTCACATAATTTATCGATTAGTAGTGAAATATGTAGTTGTATCCAAAGTTATACTTGTCAAACGCATTTGTAAAAAATATAAAAAATTTAAGTACTATTTTGTCTATTATGTAACACTTATTATTACTATATAGGAAATATGATCTTGTTTCACATATGTATCAAAATACATAATAACAACTTATGCAAAACAGGATGTCACAAAAATAATTTTAGTGATCAGATTCTTAAATTTTTTTGCACGACAAATAGATAACAAGACCATATTTTTCAATTAATTTCGAGTAAACATCACCTTGACGGAAAAAAATTTTAATAAAAATTAAAAAATTATGTATCATCTTTCCAGGTACTTTTATGAAAAAAGAAAAGCAAATCAATAAATCAATACAATTTGTAAAATGTATTGAAAAATTAATCATATAGTTTGTTATTAAAGCCAACGTCACATTAATGAGACATCTTGTATAGTAATATGCCTGTTAAATTAAAAGTTAAGATGTAAATTACAAATTAAAAATTGCAAATTAAGAATTTCAACTTGATCTTTTGGATATGTTTACACATATTTGCAAGTCTATCGAGATCTGTTTTTACATTTACAAGTTTGGAGCTTGTTGCAAAACTGTTACTCATTATAATTGATATATGAGTAAATGTGAAGTTTTACTTACTACATCAAGTTGTTATAATCACTAATCCTAATTGTGTCAAGCAATAAAAGCCAGGTAGAAAAGAAAATGTGCATTTCTCGCACACGACTTAAAAAGTGCAAACAACTGTTTATGGTAGTAGTAAAAACTAGTTGATAGTATTCCTTGTTGTGAATAAATAATTTGGAAAAAAGAATAAGAGAAAAAACCTTATATATGTAAATATACATACAACAAATAATGTAAGCAAAGATCGGGCCAACATCTAGTACAAATGTTTGTACATGCAATTTGTTTAACTGACATCATTCAAATACATGTGACATAGATGTAAAATTTTTCAGTAAATGAAAGAATGATCCGAATCACAACCAGCGTATTAACAAAGCAATAACAAAAGTAAATAACAAAAGACAGTATTATTCGACTTAAGAACAGAAATTGAAAAAAATTAAAAAGAAAAAGAAAAAAAAAGAAAATTATGGTGCATGTCTTCTTCGTCTAGTAGTAATCTACCTTTTTAGGATTGCCATCCTCAATTTTGTTTACAGCAGTATCGATATTTTGTACGCATGACTTTTCTTTTGTTACAATGGAACTTAACATGTGTGAACTGGGCATATTGTTTTGTGTATTATGCCAAGTCTGGTTGTCACTAGATATATCATTAGCTTCGTCACAGTCTGATTGTTCATCAGGTGTGAGCAACAGTTGCGGGGATGACTTCTTTAGTACTCTTCCCGTATACATACTAAGTAGATCGCTTAATGTAGCTGTCGATTTAGCCTGAACATGTGGTCCTAGCGATCCAGCATCCAAGTTCTACAATTAATATTTCTATCTGAATTAAAATTCTTCTACTCTGAAAACACCTATATAAACCACTTAAGAAAGTTTATGACTTTGAAAACAGACATTATAGCTACTATTAATTACGGAGGAACGTAATTCGCCTAATCTACAAATGCTGAAAATTTATATATTCGTCCTACTATTCCGTAGATTGCTACAATGTCGTGCTGGAGTCTTCTGCTGTATTATCTGCGGCATAATACCACAATTTACGAGTATAATATTATCATTGTTATCGCTGCACTTTTAATAAAGCAACAATTTATTATTACCGCTTTCTATCGTAATCCCCGTTATCGAAATAACTGTATCGTTTGGAAAGATGCGTCTAAATTAATTTAAATAATAGCACGCGGGTTACTTACATAAGTATGATGTATCGTTTTAATATCAGGTACACCATTGTTGGTTGTCGCTGTACTATCGTAGAGAGTAGATCCAATGTTAATTGTGCTCATGCCAGGATCGATCTTTTCCATCTTCGTACCGTCGGAGGCAGCATGACAAGTGAAGTGAAGAGGTTCGACCTAAAAAGTTATCGAAGTTTAAATATCAAAGCGATTCCAGAAATAATCATATTTCATTAAACATATTTTGTTAAATTAGAGTACCTCAAGGAGACCTTTCATATTGTGATTGGCACACAATGCTTTCAACTTGCTGGACACTACAAATTCACTAGCGGGATGCGCTGGAAGTGTGAGTAGATCCCTCAGATCAATGGAATCTTGCGAGTATATCTTGGAAGAATGTACGGCACTTGACGAAGTAACGGATGGACCTGTTTGCTCGCTGGCTACAACGGACGCATACGTCACAGGCATTGAACTAAATTTTGGTAGCATCGGTGGTTCCAAGTCAAAAAGTTCCATTTCAAAAGGTGTGTTATATAGACCAAATCTGAAAAGGGAAAAAAAGGGAAATTGTAATTACGATATTAAAATTATAATGCGACATAATTATAAAAATTACAAGAAAACATATATGTATACAATTGAGGAATATGCAATTCACCTTGTAGCGAGCAGCAAGTGGTATGGATTTACTCTATTAGATATTTCAGCAGCTATTTGTTGCACCAGCGAGATACACTTCTGAGCGATACTGTGATTTCTATCTAATGGCAAAAATCTAGTGATAAGCAATTGGAGCCATCTCAATGAACCAGCCCAATGTACTTCCACAATCGATGGCAATAAATTGACCAAAACGGAAAGCATAGCTTCGTCGAAGGTTTGAGCCGGTGAATCTTCTATATTATAAAATCCTCTAAAAAAAATTAAATTTTATTATTTATAAAATCTCTGTATCATAACCAGTAGGTTTGTTTAATCTGTATATTTGTAATAAAGCAACAATTTTGTAATTTCGTTTTGAACAATCAAACTCACCCGCTACAGAGAACAATCAACTTGACACATTTGTGCGCTATACTTCTGCCGGCGTGCAAGAGGCATGTTTGTAATAAACTGGATAATCGTCCTTGCACGGAACGTATCGTCTCCAATTGAAGTGCCTTTATTTCAGCGTTATTCTGAGTGCTACGCAATCTCGTTAATCTTATTGAAACTACCCATATTAGAATGTCAAGAGCTATAGATTGTACAACAGGAGATCTGCAAATGTGTTCATTTCAATGTAAATCTGATTTTTGAGAACTAAATTTGTTATTAAGCTATTATATTTCTATCGTGTAGTTACTCACTCGATAGGTCCTTGCAAGCACGCAATGTTTAAAAGATTATCAACAAAGATTTTGGATTCTAACATGGCACACCTTTGTATTCTTTCATTGGCTATGTTGGTAGGATGTACCGATCTCACTGTGATGGAGATCTCATGAATCCAGTTGCAACCTCAAATATAAACAGGTAAATGTAAATATACAAAGGAAAAAGTATCATACACATACATAATTTAAAAAATGTACATTTTTTCATAAATTATATAAATAAAATATATAAATAAAATTATATAAATAAATTTTCATAAATTATATTGTATTGTATATATAAACAAATACCTATACACATATGCATATGCTTTAGCGCATAAAAAACAGATAAATTATATCGAAATTATTGAAAATTTTGTGTATATATATTTTGTTTTGTATATGTAACAAAATTTTAATATTTATCCATATATTTTTATATATTTTATTACTATATATATGTACTATATATATATATATATGTGTGTGTGTGTGTGTGTATAAATTTTTATATATTTACCAATGTAGCATCCTAACTTTTTACTGCTTGTACCTTCATCAAATCGTTCCCCAGCATTAGAAGGTACGAGCGGTCGTACCTCAAATATTTTCAACTTTTTACACGTAGGTGGTTTACTTTCTGCTAGATTTGATTTTGATTTTGCAGAGGTCTACAAATAAAAACAAACATTTTTATTCACATCAATTTTATCGCATATAAAAAGAGTAGCAATTCTCCAGAAAGATTGACAGATGTTACTTACTCCATCTTTTTGATCTATTAAAGCTTTAATATGAACGAGTAACGTTCTAGCCTTTGAGCGAAATAATTTTGGACTTGTCAACGTTACGCATCCCGAACGACAAGACAAATCCATACATCGATGTAAATCGATAGGACCGCAAAGAATCTCGGTGTTATGTTGACGTTGATATTCCTCCGTGATGACTGGATTTTCGCTCTTTTGTTGGTCAGTTCCTATATTAAAGTCGATTCTCTCGTCTACGGGAGTAAGCGGCACTTTCTGATGACCAATTCTTTTTATATTTTGTTTCAACAAAGTAACTTGAATAGTCGGTAATTCTTGACAAAATGCATGCAAGGTAAATCGAACATCGACATGCCCTATACTTCCTGATGCATTTCGAGGTAGAGTAAGTTCAAATACGTGTTCGTCCCAAGTAGTCCTAACATGAAATACAAAAAGAAATCATTTATGTATAATCTTATATAATTAAACTTGCCTTTAACCGCCGATTGTTTATCCATTTTCGTATCAATCATAAAAAATTTTGAAATTTTAAATAATTGAAATTCTCTCCGAAATGAATAATTCTTCTCTGCTAGGAATAAATACCGTTGGAAATACTACTAAGTAAACTATTTACTTTAATATTTTTCAAAATACGATTTAAAAATTTAATGTACAATTCAATACTACTCAACTTTTGATTTTTTAATTTTTATATTTTTTTTTCAATGTATAACTATGAATTAAACTAAAATTTTAATAAAAGTAAAATTTACTTGGAATTGTTTGAATAAGAATAAAGTTTTACAGATCATGGAAAACAGATTATTATAAAAAGCTCTTTGTTTCCTCAATCATTTATAAATATAGTGTTATTAATGCCTTTTTTTTAAAGAAACTCTCGCTCTCTCTGTGCTCTCTCGTATACACTTTGTTCTTGTATTCTCTTGAAATATTAATTATATTAATAACATCAATAATAAATTATATCGACTTACGCATCATTCTGCAATCGCCAAGTTCTAGTATGATGCTGATCTTCCGATTGATGAAGATGCTGCGGATGGCGTCTCTGTCTCTGAGCTTGCATCATTTCGCTCCAGCATGGAGGGACAGTCGCACTGTACGCAGGGGAATGTCGATCGAATCTTGTAAGTTCATACAAGATCCGCAAATCCAAGTACGAAAAATTCGATTTATGCGCCAATAGCTGATCGCTGAAACATACAAAATACATGAATAAAATTGTGCAAAATATTAACAAATACGTTTTTACATGCACGGATGAAACAAGAGATATAATACTTTTATTAACGTTTTGGATTGTTGCGTGTAAATACATATATATATATATATATAACAATGATAAGCCGTTTAATTAGAACATGTATAAACTTACTGGCAAATGGACGATGTTGACGTACTAGGAGCTGCATTTTCGTTAGTGCAACTTGCCTCGCTACCCATATTCACATCGTCGACATCCTCTTTTTCCTCCGTAGAGTCCTCTTCTTCCGCCGTAATGAAGAAATGCAACGTGCCATCGCTCGTGCATGCGCACAGCCTTTCCAAACCTGAAAGCGTTAACGATCGTAAAGCACAAATGTTTTCTTTCAAAACGTACAAATTATTTTCTAAATTTAATCAAACCCAATTCTCGCTTCTTATTATCTTTTTTTTCCTTGCAAAAATATACTTACTGTTGCAATAAGTCGCAGAGATAAATTTTTTTCCGTCTAATCTCGCTTCCGTTATAGTCTTAAGCGTACTCAAGTTTAATAATCTGACTACGCCATCTTTACACACTAGGGCAATTTGCCCGGCAGGTTCCTGAGCGGCTGAATTAGTAGTGGAATTGGTACTAGAATTAGTAAAAGACGTCATACACTTTGTTTGTTTCTCCTGAAGAGGAAGAAGCACGTGTTCTATCGGTGCCTGTTCCGAGGATAATTCACGCTTCACCAATGGTTCCGATACCACTTTCACTACCGGCCCCGAGAAATCTAAAGCGTATACAAGCAGCACGACATTCACGGTACTGGTCTCATTACTACGGATTTCGCCGTTTATCAATTTGCTGGACTGGCTGTCATTGTGGTCCCAGTACATGTAACTTTTCTGTGGGAAGAAATCGCTTTCATCGTCAACGTCCATCTGATTGGTATTTAACGAGGAAGATTCGGTGGAAGTGGCATTATCCGCCGCGGGACACATCGCGACGTACAAGTATCTTCCGTCCTTGGATGGAACTATATACGTAATACGAAGAGACTCCGGGACGTTTATAGCTAGCGTCTTCACGACTACTGGTTCCGTTTTGCTAATCTTCATAAGATCTAAGCTCTTTTTATTCATCGTTGTCAAGTCGGATGTTGATGCAAAATGGGCCGAGCCGTTGATAGGGGCAAAATTGGGATCGTAAGGTGCCGATGTCGTTGGAGCAGGACCGATGGGAATACCGATAGGACTCGAGTAAATGCCGTTCGAAGATGAGGCGGTTAGGGTGGTAGTTGGGAAGATGCCATCATAATGCGGGCCGACCACCATATCCGAATCTACATCTTCGATAACTGGCACTTCGTATAAAAATTTTCCGAGGAAGAGCTCCTGATACAAGCTCTCTTGGCGACCGCCATTCGAGCTGGCGCTAGTTCCTGTCCCGGATAGGGTCTTCTTAGTTTTCGAGTCTTTAGAATTATCTTCCTTGATGGATTGCGTCGTCGCGGCTTTATGATGAAAGTCGTACAGCACTAAGTAATGCAATCTCGACGATATGTACCTACTGTCACCCGCTACCTTCATTATATCTAGAGTATCACTGGCGGCACTATTTACACTGTTCATCGCGCGTACCAACGACGACGAGCTGGCTAAATCACTCGAGGCGGCCCATACGTTTTCCAGGGTTCTCAATTGCGAAGGATTGTTGTTAACTGTCACTGTAACTCCGCACACTAAGCACGGTCGAATTTTATGCTCCGTCGTCTCGGTATTTATAGACGACGACGTTGTAGAGTTGGTACTTTTCATTTCTTCTTTCAAACTTGCTAGAGATCCTACTACCGAAAGCGCCGTGACTTGCACTTTATAAAACGATGAGGATTTATATTCTGAAAGTGGATCCGAGTCCGAGCCCAAATTTGTTAAATATGTAGTCGTCAAATTCCGTGCGGCACAAAACTGTATCGATTCCTTATTGTTTATTTCTTGATCCAAAGTAGATATATAAAATGATACTTCTCTCTGCAAAAGTTGTAACAGTTTATATTACATTAATTTCATGAAAAAAAAGAAATGCAGCAGTAATGTTGAGCTTTATTTTTCAAATAGATAAGCCAATTGTGATTATTTATGATTAATTGTTTAATATCAATAACGTATAAAAAAATTTGTATTCATTAATCCTTTAAACTCTATTTAATCTCTATTTTGTTACCATTCGACTATAAATTCAGAATTGAAAGTTATTTTATAAGAATAACTGTTGAACCTTGTACAAATTTATTTCTTAATCACAAATTGGATTTTATTGATATTATTTCACTCTCAATTTGCCATTTTTATCGCAATTTTATATATGTAAATTAATTATATACATGTAATTGTATAAATTAATTATATACATATATCATTTTTACATTTGTTAATTTATTTAAAAAATATTTTAAAGTGATTTTCAAATTTTAATTATATTTTCAGCTTTTTGTTTTACTGGTCTCAATAATTATAAAATATTCTCGAGCTATTACAGATATTATCATTTTAATATTTACAAGAATTATTTTGTACACAAATATTACTTTGCTTTGTTCGATAGATAATTTTTGTCTAACGGTGGTAATACAAAATACTTGTAAACATTTACCTTCAACTGATTCGTCATGTTCCAAATATTTACAAAACCATTGAAAGAGGCTGTAGCCGCGAGGCCCGTGACATTAGTAGTACCTATGACGTCCACTGTATCGCCCACTTCACGAGCGGGGGCGGTTGCAAGGGTAACGGATAGCGGAACATTCTGGGTGTATTCGCCCTTAACAAAGGGACACGCAGGCGAATGTCTCTCGTGTTCTGACCATGGTTCGTCCGTGGGTTCCCAACATACCAGACACACGTTACAAGTGAAACACATTGCTCTGTCATCACCTGTAGCATTCGGTTCGTGATAAAAACCTGCCTGCGCCATTTGATCTGGTAAAGCCCATCTGAAATATATTCAGTTGCAAAAGTTTTACATAAATCTCACGTGTATTTGTTAAGATTTCAAATCATTTAAGTATTATAGACACATGTTAAAAATTGTAGAAAAAAGAAAGTTGATTCTGCGTACAATATGTAATATTCTACATTTGACTTAACAGAAACTGACATCCAAAACAGTATGACACATTGCATACTTGTAATTCATATGTGGCCATTTTGGAAATGTATTACGTCGCGCTGCTTCGCTAAACATTAACGCTCTATCAGTGGGACCACCTTCTAGTGCGAGACTAGGCAATAGGCCATTTAATCGTTCATTGATCGCGGAAGCAATAGGCAGTGCTGCTATATGCCGATTTTGCCTCTTTAATTCCATTACTAAGCCAGAGCATACGAGTTTCAAAGATCCGTGCGGTAGCTCCAAACATATCGTATTCCACTGCAATGAGAAATTTTCATTATTTTTGCATATAGAATTTCAACATTGGAATTAATACAGTATATTGGTGCTATCAATATATTTAAATATACAATTATTTCACAAGTATTATTTCCATAATTTCACAATAACTAGAAAAGCCCAAATACTAATTTACAATATAAAGATTCTATTATGTGGAAAAAAATATTATCAATTATGTATTTGTATATGCACAGATTTTCATATAATCATTAAGGCATTGTAAATCTGTCGTATATTCCTCCTCATTTTCCAGTAGATAATAACATATAAAGTTACATGGATAATGAGTTTCCAATTCTATTACCAATAATTTTGAATAATGGATATACATATTACAAGTAAAATTCACTTAAGATTAGAATCGAGCAAAGTCAAGTACCTATGTACCTAGTTGCCTATGTATATTTTTAAGAATTGTGTTATGTAAAAATATAAACAAGTCTTTCTTACTTTTTCCCTATAAATATACAAAAAATATAGTCCAATTTTAAAATAATTTTTCAAAGATCCTTTCATCAATCGTCTACAATTTACACTAGTTTTGTGATGTCTTACATCAAGCATTGTATTAAAAAAATAACAAATTAATAAATTGTACTTACTTTTTGAGCTTTAATACCTTTCTTCTGATTTGCTTGCGCCACAACAATTTTACTTGAAAGTTCTTGCAATACTTCTAGTAAATGTTCTACCCCAGGCAATTCTACACATTGTAAACATTGAAGTAATATTGTAGCCTCTGACAGCAGCAACTCCAACTTTATTACATCTTCGCTTTTAGAAATTGGAGTTTGCAAAATTGTGTCCAACAATAAGACCCCATTATAATCGCTACGTATACCAATCCCTTGTCCATCTGTATATAATACTTTGTCTATTCCATCCGATAAATATACTCCTTGCAACTTTCCATTTAATTTACCTATAACAATTGTAATTACAATATAAATGAAAAATATTTTATCAATTTTTACTTATTTCATATCAATTATTTATATTATTATTATTATTATTATTATTATTATCAAATAAAAATATCTTTATATCTGTATATCTTGATAATAGGTTACAATTACTAATAAATAATCGGTAATATCAAATGTATCAACATTTATTTATATTTATATTTTATGAAATTGTTAAATATATAATTAAATATGACAATTTTGTTTGGACAAATAACAATTAATAAAATTGATTTACATAAATCATATTACGTAATAATACTAGTAAGAAAATTTTTGAATATTTTTTATACACAAATTTTTAAAATTGAAACAAAAAATACATTGATTTTAAATGGTAAAGACAGTTTTCACAAATTTGTTTCTCAAATTCAAAATGTAAAATTGTACAATATCATCACATATGCTATAACTGTACTAGATAAAGATACTTGTAAAAAAAACTTAATCTTTAGATGCTTCATTAAATTATGCACATAGCAAGACAATTTATTGAGATGACAAAAATGGTATTTGGGAAGAAACAATAGAATAATTGTACTATTAGAATGTCCATTTCATAGAATTAGACATATTTTTATTTTGCATCATATTACTCTCTGAAATTTACATGTCTATACGTGAAATAAGATAAAGAAATGCGGGAAATTGTGTGTGTAAAAAGTATAAAAGACGTAAATATAAAAGAATATATTACATTTTAGATTTAAAGGGAAAAATGTAGAGGGGAGAAAATGAATAAGGTAAGCTACATCAGGGTCATTTTTGATCTAATTTTCTTTTATCAAAAAATCGGTGAATAAAAGGAAATATCGTCGTAGAAGAGTTAGTTGAAACTAGGTGCGAAATCTGATGTGCGAAAAACGTGCGCGACCTTGACTAGACGAAACATTATTGCACAGTATTTTGCAAACATCGACTCGGTGAAAGAGAGCGCGAGAGAAAGGCGAGTTTTCTCGATATCGTTGATGAAAATGAATTCGACGACGATATCGGTATACATGCTTACCAGACAGAGAACTTCTTTGCAAGATCACGCCGGAGTTGACATCGAATACGTATACTTGTGCGCTACCAGTGGTGATGAGTAGAACGTTTAAATTGGCGTGATAGATTATGCTCTTGCACTCGGTGTCCACGTTTAAGCAACCGTCTTCTTTCAGTAACCACGGATCATCATCAGCCATTTTGCTTATAACGAGAGAATCACACTTCTAGAAAAAAAATTTCTCTAACGCTCGTACATCACAAGAAACATGGCGCACGCATCAACGCCATCTTTGAGTAGAACGTCAGCAAAATGCTCTGAATGTAGCTGACAATCGTCTCGTGACGATCGATTTATTAGATACATATCGATACAGCCTCGAACGAGGATGCGATTTCACGGAGCAGAATAGCGCAACAAGCGCAACCAATCGCGAGCGTTTCGCCATTTTCATTGGCTCCTTCGCATGATTCCAATGCTCGCGATTGGTTGCACTCTCGTTCCGCCATTATTCAAAAAATTTTACATTTTCAGATTAAATTAATTTACTTTTACATGTAAAAAAGTAATTACATAAATGTAAATTTTATATATATATATATATATATATTTAATATGTGCATTAAGACATTTTTTACAAAGTTTATACAAGAATACAAAATTTACAATTACAAAGCATTCATACAAAATATTTTGATAATTTTGATAAGAAAAAAATTTAAGAGTTAGCTTATTTTAATACATAAACATGAAAATAATTATCGAGTTACATTTAGTATATACATTAACCTGAGAAAAGCAAGAAAACTTTTTATAAAATATATATTATACTATGTAATATATATAAGCTTCTTTATATAAGTAAATACAGGTTTATTCTCTTTTGTGGAAACATTTCTCTCATTCATAAAATTAAATAATCAAATACAATTCATATAATTTATTGTGCATTTTATTAAACTTGAAACAATTCTAATGCAAAGGAAGATTTTATTATTGCTGACAATTATTTCAATAGCCATCAAAGTGTCTATTATCTATAAATATTGCAGCAAAGAATATATATAACAATATATCATTAAAACACATACATATATGTATATACACTTTAAATATTTAATGTATTTGAAATTTGTTTATACCTACATCATTGTTTTATGAATCGACATATTTATATACAGAAAAACATTATTCTCTCATTTAATGAAAAATTATAGAATAACTCTGGTAATACATATCATTGCATCATTGTTCTCTCTGTGCCTTACTCAATGATATTTAAAGAACAATCATTCCTAGATATATTTACTGCTAATTCTATAATATCGATTAAAGCGAAATCTCTTACTTTAATTGTATTAAATTAAAGATTGAGAAGGCACTTGTGTATGTGTAAGAGTGTGTTAAATGTACATTTCTCAACCATACATATGCATCCCTGAGTTCCACTGCAACACCATTCATCGACATCTCTTAGACATTGTTATATATATTATAATAATTGCATTAAAAAAAATAAATATACAATTATTCAATACAATAACGCATTAATTTATTATAATAGTAAAAACTATTTAAACATCACATTGAAGTCGTTCCCACATTGAGGCCGCTTAAGGCGAGACATCGTTCTTGCAAGCGTTTCATATGTGCCGTTAGATATGCGTTTTCTATGTACAAATCCTTCACTAATATGTCAGCACTCGCTAATTTATCAGCCTATAATTGGGATAAATCATATGAATATAGAGATGAAAAATATTATGTATTAGAAAAACTTGAATATTTAAAACTTTATTATTATAAAGGTCTTATATTTAGTTCGTCAACTAAATACTGTTTGCATGATTTTTCACATTTTAAAATGGCTGTGTTTTCTCAATTGATTTTTTTAAAATAGCAAATTTCAAGAAAGATATCTTTTTTTCTTAATATAAAATTAAATAAATGAAATTGTTGAATAAGAATATATTAAGTAAATTAACACAATTGTGAACCTGTATGTAGATATATAATTTAAAATATACCTGATCAATAGTTGTCTGAACTTGTATTTGAAGCCTCTCTTGACTATTACGAAGAAGGCACTGTAATTCACACACTTCTGACTGATGCTGCACCATAATATCTATAAAATAACAAATAACAATAAATATATAAATACGAATAAGTAAGGCCTAAGAGCCATACACGAATGTTCCTGTGTACATTTAATAAACAAATTGTGCACGAGGCACGTATTATTTTTGGTGTAACTACCAAGACTTTATATAAAATATCTCATATTTGAGCCTTACTTATTCGTATTTATATATTTAATATTAAAGAGCCTTGATATAATCTTGTTGTCAAACAACAATATATTTCATATCAAAAAATTGAAAAAATATAGTAACATATTTTACAACATATTACAAACACAAAAACTTATTACATTTTTTAATATCATATCACACTATTGTAATGTAAAATATAAAAAATACTTACGTTGCAATAGTTTCTCAACAGACTGTCGTTGCTGTTTAACATAACGTTGCAAATATCGCTTCTTATGTTCTTGTGTGTAAAGTTTCATTTTTAAATCTTGCAAAACGCTTAAATTGACACAACCTACATGTTGCTGTGCATTATTCTGTGTATACGGGCAGCTGATTTCTTTTATTACATCATGTGCAAATTTTAATTCCGAGTCGCACTTATTTTCCTCTTTCATGCCTATCATAGCCTTAGCGTTAATATGTGAATTATTTTGATCTATTTCTCCTATCTTCTGATGTTTGTTCATAATTTTTATTTCTTTCATTTCACAACATTTGGTACTACACAGATTATGACCATCTACATGATCTTGTTTTAAAAGTCTGTTGGAATCATTGGATAGTAGAAATTCCATTGAAGAAGTATGAAGCGTTTGGTCAATCGCGCCGCATAGATCCATAAATGGCTCGTTCGTAGACGGAATACTAGATGTACTGGAAGATTTGTAATGCGATGAATCTGACATTGTCGGCAAAAAAATTTCATCTGGCACTTGTACATAGGAATCGTTTGTAATTGGCTGTTCTACCAATCTTAATTTTTCACGCAAATCTCCAATTTCTAAATTCTTCTGCGAAATGTCGTTTTCAGTTTTTATTCTCCATTTCTCGAATTCTTCTTCAAGAGCTATATACTGCAACATAAGAACCACAAACATATATACACATACAACTAATGAAATAATCAATGTCAATATTTAAATTACTTGAAATACTTAAAAAAAAAAAAAAAAAAAAAAACTTTTCGATTTTTTTTATGTATAAAGTTTTATCTTACTTGTTGTTCCAAGGTAAACTTTTCTTCGATAGGAGACAATCGTCCGTCGCTATTTTTCGATTTATCCGAAGGACTAATTAATTCCTCATATTCTACTATTTTATTAATAAGCTCGGCAAGTTTATCGTCACTCATTTTTTGTTCTTGCTCAAAGAGTTGTCTTTCCTCTTCCAATTTAGCAGCCCAATAATCCTCACATTCTTCGTACTCTGCTTTTAATAAGTCTAAACTTCGTTCAAGTTCTTGGCAACGTTCGATTAATTGTTTCTTCTCAATTTCGAATAATTCTATTTTTGTCATCACGGATTTTGGAATGTTTTCGGCTTCGGTAATGCTGGAAGAATTAATTTTTTCCTTATTATTTTTACACTGATCTACGGAATGTTCTTCTTTTCGCGGTGGATAATCTCTAAGACTCGTCATCTTAGTTTGCGTTATGTTTTTCACATCTTGACTAGTAAAATCTTCCATGCTACTCGACGCCGTTATACGTTTCGCATTAGTATTAGACTTTGGTGTTTTCGAAACGACTAAATCACGCAAGGATTCGTTAGTTCGTTCCTCGCATTCCATTTCAAGTTCAGAAGCTATACTCTTTCCGAAATCTCGCGTGGAAGAGGAACGAAGTATAAAATTTGATTGCAGATTAGCAATTAATCTTGATATACTGTCTCGCAAAGTACATGTCTCTGAAACGCATTTTGTATTTGTCGATAATACATTTTCCAGATCTTTTATAATTGTATCTTCAAGTCTTTTGTGTTCTGTTGCATTAGAATTTGAGACATCGATCTGTTGTTCCGTCTCCATCGGTGATGGGAAATCAAACGACACTTTCGCATCGATCTGTTGATCCATTTCAAACTCTTGCATCGATGCATGATTTTCATTCCGATCGCGTAACAAAACAAAAGATTCGAGTGGCTCGACAGATGTTTCATATTTTATATCTTCACCGTAACATTTTGAATTTTCCAATTCCGTGCTGAGTTCATCATTTTGATCACGCAAGAGAATTATTTCTGACTGCAACTGCTTGATACGATCGACGAAGAAATTCACTTGCTCTTGTTGCTTTGCTTCTATACTATGTATTTCGTCCTGTTCCGCGTCTAATACCTTTATCTGAGTTAACAAATCATTATTAGATTGGCGCAGCTTTTCAATTTGATTGAGAAGAGATTTATTTTCCGCTTCAAGCATTTGATTCTCCTGTAACATATTTACAATTTTATTCTTCATGTCGTGATTCTCTTTCTGTAATGCCTGTAACTGATCATCTTTTGATTTTAGTGCTGCAGCATTAATCTCTCGTTCGATATTAAACTGATCCGATAATTCTTTTGTAATTTCAGCATAACGTTGTTCACTCTGCCTCTGTAGATTTCTTTTCGTTTGTTCCAATTGAACTTGACATTCATCAATTTCCTGCACTAATAAATTCGCTCGTTCGTTAGCTTCCAACATATCAATACGCATCTTCTCTCTTTCCACTTTTATGTTCTCTATTGTAACATTTAGATTGCGTTGCTCGTCCTGATGAGCAACAACCATTTCTTGCAGTAAGGTAATATGAGCCTGAATGATATGATTATCAAACGATTCATTCAAATTCTTGAGTTCATTGCATATGACACTTGTTATTTCGGCAAGGCTAGTATTCATAGCACTGAGATCTCTGTTAGATGATAGTACAGTTATATTGGATACACCAGCAACTTCCTCCTTATCTAAAGTTCTATTAAGCTGTACCGAGCTCATTCTACGAGACTTGCATAGAGTAAAATCTAAAGTATTAACATCACAATTTACAATATTGGTGTCAGTTTCATTATTCAATTGCAAAGCCTCTATATTTTTTCTATTTTGAAATATAATTACGAACTCGTCAAAGTTTATCAACCCGTCGCAATTTTGATCAAGTCTTTCAAAAATGGATTCTGTTATTTGCTTTGGAAGTTCTGGAATTCCTAAACAATTGGACATAAATTGTATCGCTGCAGGATCCATGTTACTTCTTAAATAAACCTTTACTTTTTCGCACATGTGTGTCAATCTATTCTCATCCATTGTTACATTGGTTTTCATATTTTGAAGGTGAATCTCTGAGATATTCTGTTCACTGGTCGAGATTTCGCTCTTTTCAGCATCGCATGTACCTGAGTTATAGCACGGCTGTACAATATGCTGTTTATCAGTGGTCAATCCTTGGAACTTTTTCAACAAAAGTAATAAACCGTCCCGAAATTCTTGAAAAGATATAGTTTGCTTATCCGGACAATGTTTGCGAATACATGATTTCAATTCCTCAATTAATCCATGGAGATGTAATTTATTGCAGATGGAAAATAAATCGTTTTCGTCTAGTTCATCCTGCCCTTTTGTCAAACAGCTCTCAAACACAGCAAAGAGCTGCCGTTCATAAATATAATCATTGCTGTGTTCAGCCATATCTTCTCCTCATGCTTTTTAATTAGCTTAAAATAATGCTAATTTCCATAAGTAATAGACCTAAAAACAGTAATAGCATTAAAAACTAGTAGCAATGTTTTTGCATTATATTATCACATATTACAATAACAGTTCATTAAAAGTTATATTATATACTTATACAAGTAAATAAAAAAAACTATGTTGAACTTATCGTAGCACATCAGTTAAAATTTATACAATGTTGCAATATTTTGTGATTTCGTTATTGATAGTTGTTTTAAGTTAACTTTGTATCAAATAACTGAATATTTCATAGATGAAAAATTTTCTACAACTGATTATTATCTAACAAAGTAATCTATAAAGATATTTAATTTTCGATATTTCTTGCATACAAGTGCATTGTTGTTTTTTAAAATATTGCATACACCATTTTTTTAAAATTTAACCTTTTCACAATAATGTAACAAAATAAAATTATTATTGTACAATACGGTAAAATATTACTCTATACTAATATTATTTTCCAGTAAAATTATAATACAACACTTTATTGCACCATAAAAGCATTAAATTAATGATAAATTGATACACACCACAATATTTTATATAATACACTAAGTGCTATAATAAACAATATATTAATGTTTTATCTGCATCAAAATTGTGATGACCTTAAAACTTGAATGGTGCAAATAACGTAATACAAAGCAACAAACTGCATCAATTATTTTTAATGAAAATAAGATGAGATATTTATAATAAATCTTATAAAATTAATTAAAAGGACAAAATTATTTGTCATCTACATTAGAATGTTCGAATATATTTCCTGTATCTGTGTTTCTATATATATATATATATATATATCTTTTTATTTTCATACAGTTTTTATCATGCAAAAAGTTGTATCATTATATTACTGAATAAGTACACATTATAAACAATTTTTATTAATTATAATTTTGAAATTTCTATTATAAACTTTGTTGTTACATCGTTAATCTCTGCGATCGTATAATAACTAATAAAATAAACAAAAATTTAATTACATTACTTTGTTAAATATTGAACAAAACACACAGTTAAAATACAAATACAAAAAATTCATAATAAAGAATTGAAAAATAGAATGTCATAAAGGTCAGTCAATTGTTGTCATAGGCCCGTTTCTACCAACGTCGATTAAATTAAATCTTCGATTAAATTATATATATTCGTCTCTTTTCAAATAAGTTCTAAAAAAGAGACAAAGATATAATTTAACCGGAGGTTTAATTTAATCGACGTTGGTAGAAACGGGCCATAGATCAGTTTATAACCTACTAACCTATCAACTCTTCTAACAAAGTAATAACACATAGTTATACGATGTATTGCAAGGATTATTCTTTTTATAGTATTAAATGTTACGCATTGTTTGAATCTTTAAACAACTTTATGCGTAAATAATGTCATTTATTTTGACGGTAAAAGAGGACACACCATTAAAAATTAAAGGTAATAAACACTACTTTTTCACTGACTTCAGATTCGAATTGATTCGAATCGTGTCATAAATGACAAAGGTGAAAGGCTGATATCTATGTATCGAGGGAGCGTTCCATTTCTTGTAAATAGCCATTTATATCGAACGATGCCTAGGGTAACTAGCAACGATCGACCAATCAAACAATCGTATTTTGAATTAGCCAATTGGCAACGTGGAATTTTCTTTGCCTTGAAGATCGAGTCTGAACGAGACTCGACCAATCAGAACGAAGAAAGAAAGCGCAAAAGCAAAGTATAGCAGGTGCTAGAAAATATGAACAAATCTTTGGAGGTATATTTGAAAAGCACTCCTACAGAGAGATTTCGAGAATGGAACGGTCAATCTTATTATGTTTCCAACGGTCAACGATCAAAGAACTTAATTTGATTAAAATTACATTTTGAAAATAGTTTGAGGTAGGTACCATGACGATTGTACCTCCGATAAATTGAGATTATGGTTAAGATTATTAATAAAGTTAATATACATGATAAGATATATCATAAAGACGTTTATTTGTAAGTAAATATACACGCGCGCGCATACGACACACACACACACATATATATATATATATATATATATAAAAGCATCACAAATTCTTATACAACCATCAGCGATAATAGCCGCGGTAACGACAATTTTTCATATTTTTATTGGTTAAAAAAATTATAGCTGTAGTAGATTAAAATTTATAAATATCATATTTTACAATCTATCAGATATATTATTAGCATTCTCTTTACCATTTGCGATTCGCGAGCCAAACTGAAAAGCTCTTTTCGGAAAGTTGGCTGTACTTTGAAACCCAAGCTTGCAAGCCAGCAAGCGCAATAGTAATTTGTCTCCTAATCCACTTGGCATTTTCTCAGTCGGGTAACATCTGCCAATAATTTTATATTCTTTCATTACTATATCGACTAATTGTTTAACATTAGTTAAATTTACCTTTCCCATGGTTTTATATTCTGTACATATTTGACGACGTTCTCGTCCAGATAAGGTAAACGGGATTGTTTACCATGATCAGAAATAATCCGGTCGTCTCGACCTAAATTTCTCTCGGAAATTCTAGCCAATTCGATATTTAACTCTTGCACTAGCGCATCCCATCCTTTATGTTTCAATATAGTTCTGTGCCTCATGTATCCACCGAATAATTCATCCGCGCCTATACCCAAAAGTAATATTCTGCATGGTGACTCGTATGGTTCATCAACTGGATAAAGAACACCCTTTGCCCTACTTGCAAACCACATGGCGCATCCTAAACTTTCATCCAGAATTGTACATAAAGGATACAGTAAATCACAAATTCGCGAAGCACGATATAATTGTAGTTCCATCCGTGTGATATTGCACTGAAAGCACAGAAATTAATTAGAAAAATGATTGTACATTTTTTTCTTTCTAGTAAAGAAGATATCCAATAAGGTAGAAATATTTCAAATGTAAAGAGATATTGATAGATACTTGTATAAAATTCCATTTCCTGTTGGGACAAATTCGTAATAATTCAGAATATGTTTGTTGGCCAGTTTTCCTATCTGGCACGTCATAGTTTTGCATCATAATATTTTCCTTTTTACTATTTGTAGGACTTATTCTTTGGTTATTTACAGATCTTTCAAATGCAACATTAATGAGATCGATACTTTCGTTTTCTGGAATGTATTTGTCAGCAATCGCTGTTAAAATAGCTGAGTCTAAGCCACCAGAAAATAATATACCAATCTTGGAGTGAGTACAAGTAATACTTTCATTATTTAATACAATTTTTATGCAATCTTTACAATAGTTTGGTTTTTTTTTCACTCTGACTTTCACAGATTGATGTAAGAGTTCTGTTAAACATTCAACTCTTTTATTTACTTCTTCGTTTTCCAATAAATATTGCAATGTCTCATTAAAATTTATACTATTTGGTATATTCTCTAGATATTCCAAATCTCTTGAATCAGGATGTAGATGTAAATTTGTCAACAATGAATTAGTATCCAATATAGTTTTTCTAATATTAATATCTACATTTAAATTTGTTTCCAATGTTTCGATAACATCTGTGAATCTCAAGTCAGGTTCTCTCCATGGATAACATGCTAAATTTATCTGCGAACTATTTAAATTCATTGCAAAAATACCTATAGCTGGTACTTCTACGATTCCTTTCATATTTTTGTTTGCAACTGAAGTTAAAGTCAATGAATTGGTTTTGCTATCTACTTTTAAAAGCAAACTGTGCCGTCCTATAATATCTCGTCCAAAATATAATGTATTGGTCGATTTCTGATAATATATTAAACTATAAGGACCTTCAATCTTACAAAGTACAGATATGAAATCTGTGGTTGATTGCAATTCATCCAATATCACACTTGTATCGCAAACATCATCTTTTGCCTGAAATTAATGCAATTTATTATTATAAGATTTACAAATATCCTTAGCTCCTCTTTCTTTTACTTAAAAGATGATTTTTTTTTTTAGAATTTTAACAAATTAGAAGATAAATTATTAGTTGTTTTTTTATTCTATAAAAATATTGTATATTACAATTTACTAGATAATTGTAAAAAGCTGACACCAGCATTTGAAGTAAATCGATCGAGAACATTTAATAAGTGCAAACTACATACATACCAAACAACCTGAGAAAAGATCTCCATTCCATAGTAACAAATTATTATTATCATCTAAACTTGGCTGTGTTATTATCTCTGATCCTTGCATCCATAATACTGAAGCAACAAAGTATCCATGCCAATGATGACTTAATGATATATATTTCTCTGTTAAATGATCGGGACCTCGCGCAACTATTACATCTTTGCAAATATTCCACTGCAATATAATGAAAATGTACAAAGAGAAGGTATGCAATTCATGTTTTTATTATTAACAAAATAGCATTCAGTAATTTATTAGCGTCCAAGTCTTTTATATCGTACATTACTTAGGACTTTATGTTAAAAAATTGAAAGAAATATTTAAACCAATGAATAATTTGTAAGCTTATTTTGTTATTTTATTTTGTAAGTTGTACACACAGACCTGTGAAAAGGATTCAGTGTCGTTTTGAGCTGGATGTATACAACAAAATATTCCACACATTGTGTCGCCAACGAATGGACCTGTTAAATAAATCTATTAATTATACCGTAATTTTCAAATTGCAAAATGCATAAGATTAAAAATCAAGCTAATAAATAGGCATATTTTTTTCAATATTTTAGGAAATGCTTGTTAACTTTTTTTTATATAATTGGGAATGCTTGCAGATATGTCAGTGACGATAGGTTATATATAAGATTTCATAGCTACATGGATACATAATAGAAATAATTTATATTGCTAGAAAAAATTATTAAATAAGAATGTGATTTAATTCAACAGTTTTACATAAGAATTTCGTAATAACTTGTGCAAAATTATTATGTATGCCGCAAAATGTATTACCATAATCGCCGGCACACACACATATATTTATATGACAGTTTCGATCATATATGGGGTTTGTTCTTTATTGCTGCACTAATGAATTAGTGCAATAAATTCACCAGTGCATCAATAAAGAACAAACCCATGGTTTCCAATTTCCAAGTGTGAATTCCAATTAACAATACTTCTGTCCCTAGGAAACAAATTCTCCTATTGGATGTCGCCTGCAAATCCAAGGAATGCAATATATTTTCAAAGAATACTATCTATACATATATCTCGTGTCTGACAAACTCTCCAGGAATTATGGATTGGCTATTATTGCAAGAAACTTTTGGAAATACCTAGAAATTCTTCATATATAATCAATCGGTACGTACGATAGATATAATATACTTAATATAATATTATTCTATATATTTTTCAATATAATTTGGCAATAATGAGTTTGAATCGATGGATTGATCGTTTTCAAGTTCAAATATTCATCAAGTTAAGTGCGGGGGGTACTCTTTCTTTTTAAAATTTTAATATTTGGAATTTTTAATATCTGAAAATATTGACAATAAGCTACAAATGCTAGAAAATTTCAAGCATAAGTACTTTTTCAGACGAGACGGAACAGCCCCTGTGGCCTAATGGATAAGGCATCGGTCTCCTAAACCGGGGATTGTGGGTTCGAGTCCCACCAGGGGTACAGGTACTTTTTACGATTTTCAATTTGCCTTTTCAGCCAATCTTTTTTTTTTTTTTTTTTTTTTTTTTTTTTTTTTAATCTCCATTTATCACTGTATGCGATTGTGTGTAAAATGAATTGTCAAATCGATAATTTTTTACAAGTAAATTCAATTTCGTGTCGCTCACAATGTTGAAATGTTTTTTGCAACAAAGACTTGCATTTGAATGTTTGTATTGCATAGAAAAAGAAAGATTTTAAATTTGAACATAAAGACTTTTGAGGGCGACGGTCGATAAAATAGAGATCCTCGGTCGATAAATCACAAGTTCCAATAACGACGAGTAGGTGGCGCTAGGATGGCGTCGAACGGCAAAGTCGGGAAATATCGAGCTCGCTTCCCGCTCGTTCCCGCTAGTGGCGGCACAGTGGCGGAGTTGACCGGAGGTTGACTCGTCGGCGTTTCCACTCCTTTTTCCGGTTTACCCCTTTCGGTTTGATCCGTTCCGTGGGGGAGAATCTCTGTGCGCGGGCCGATATTATATATTCGTCGCGTGTTCGCGGGTCGCAAGCGAGCAACTATCTCCAGTTTGGTCTTCCGTATGCGGCGAGGCGAGTCGAGTCGTTCACGACGACGCGAGACGTGAGTGTGTCGACGTAATCGAGTCGAGGAGATCGCGATACGGACTCGTCGCCGGTGCTTTCGAGATACGGGTCGAACGTCGAACGGCGCGCCGTGGCTGCTTGGGGGCCAGCTCGGCTGAGTCGATTTGAAATATGTGGCCGGAACGCGAATAGTCGGATTCGCCGGAAAGGGACGCGAGTTTGCGCCGGCCGCGTCACGGCCTGTAAATGCGCGGTACCATAGCCACCGAAAAGGGCTACGTTTCGCTGCGGCTCTCCGTCCCCGTCCTCCGAGAGTGTCGAGAGTGTCCAAGAGTCTCGAGTGTGAGTGAACATCACCAAGATTCGAACCCATCGTCGTGTTGCCGTCGACAAGAGGGGGAGAGAAGACATCCTTCGAGGTTAGAGAGAAAACTATGGTGTTTTGATCATGGCAAAGCGCCCTATACCTAGCTCCCTAATATACCTAGCTCCATACTTATATGTATAACGTCCGATTGAAAGTTTTAACGTGCATACATGCGTGTATGTACGTATATATGTATGTATATATATATTTGAGTTGATTCGCCTTGATATTATTCATCCTTTAGCGCGAGGAGGCGAATTGGCGTAGTGCACCGGACCCGACCGGTCGATATCGTCGCCTCGGACAAACGGTTGTAAACGCTTGATGAAGCCTCCGTGAGAAAGAAGGACGCAGTGGGATTCGCGCTTCGTCAAGAGCGCGCAGCTGTTTGACCGTAGCAAGAAAGGCGAGGTCCTCTTACCTAGACTCGCACTCTTACCTAGACTCTAGATTCTGGATGATGTACTTGTGCGAGGAAACCTAACCTCCTTCGCGCGTGCGATATGTGCGTGCAAGTCGAGCGCGAATGTGACAAAAATCTATCGACCCGCTAGCTTATCACGAATACATGACCGGGGTGTAGTATATTTACAGTTGTACGCCTTAAGATCTTAAGATAACGACAAACTTTCTACGTCTCCCCGTCTTCTCGATTACGTCGAGACTAGACGGGACGCAGACGAGATCTGTTTGATGAATCTTGATTAGAAGATAAACGTACAAACGACTTTTTCTATTCATTTCTATTTAAACGACGCAGCGCGGCTATGCTCCTTTTGTATCTTTTTGACGTTAGCGTGATCACGTTGCCACATTGGTCCGTCGCATTATCGATTATTCCGCATGATTATTGTAACACGTGGCCGTGACTTTGTGCGACAAAAAAAATTATGCATAGACGGATTGATTTCGAGTCTCGTGACGCGAGTATTTTTTATCGTTTCGCAATCATCGTCACGCGGAATATTCATTTCGCGCACATGCGTAATCGAGTTTATAAATTGCACTTCAAAATTATAACAAATCTTTTAATTCTTCCTCTCGTTATCTCTCTTTCTCTCTAATTAATTTTTCTATTATCGCATTTATACTTTGCATATACCGTTTTAAATTGCTGTTTTTAAATGGCAAAAAGACAACGAACCGATGTAGATCAGTATATCGATACGCTCATCAACTGTACACAATTTCGAAAATGTAAAAATATTTCTTACAAGTACGGAGAGAGCAAACGTATGACATTATAGTTTATTCGTGTTGCTTACAATCTCTAAATTTCCAAAAATTTAATAATACAATAAGATACAAATATATTTTTGAATGTTTTGAGAGAGAGAGAGAGAGAGAGAGAGAGAGAGAGAGAGAGAGAGAGAGAGAGAGAGTAAAGCATCTGACAAATAAGTACAAAAAGTACACAAACAATACAAATAGACTTATTAATATACATACACGGTCGAAACTTATCTCTTTCTAATGCTGTAATTTAAAGTATAAAGATTGTTAACGGTAAAGACATATATATATTTACGAATGATACTCGAATGATAAATTAAAAACACTTCGATGACATTATTGTGTCCACAAATGGCTCGATCGCTAGATGTGATAATGATGAGTGATGCCGGTACTCGACAGTCTAGTTTATTGAAAACACGTGGTGAAAACGCAAGTATGTATATATCGTCGTTGGAGAGCATAATCGTCTCTACGATTTTATGATCGTACAGCGTAGCGATACAGAAACCATCGCTATAACATTATTTCTAATGATGATGCATAAATGACATATCGTCGTTCGTTTTATATGATTTGTCTAACGTCAATTTTCTTTCACATTTTTATCGGCTCGATAACGATATCTTTTCGAGTAAGAAAGCTATAATTTATAAATTATTTTTTTTCATAAAAAAAACATAATATATATATATATATATATATATATTCTATTATGTAAGCATTTTGTAATTGTCAAAAGAAGATATATATTTCGCTGGTATACTATATGCACAAAATTGGTCGGACGACACGATAAATAGCGAGGTCATGAATATCGACTAATTAGTTGCGATTGTTATGCAAGCGAAAAAGAAGAGTTCTTAGAAAAGAGACAAGTCGAATCATGTATATATTGACGACGTGTTATTTACAACAACGCGGATATGAACAAATTGTTTTGTTTAATCTTTTGTTTCCTCGTATAAAATCGTCACCCCGAGTGTATCATAAAAACTGTACGCAACGATATAGATGTTGCTTGTTTTTCTTTTAAAAATGACATTTTCGTGCAACTTGGCTCGACTTGGCAAGTCGAATAACGAGATGGTTTGTGGTAGTCGAGACTGTTTCGAACACCCGTGGCAGACAACTTGGCGACAGAGATTTACCAATCAGGTCCAACTTGTCATTCTCGTTCTCGATAACACTTTGTGGAAATTTTTGGCAACACGTCCCCGATGAAATTCGCATAACTTGACATTATAATACAGTTTCAAGTTTTTTCTCTCGCATGTTAAAGCGGTGCAGAAACGTACAAGGTAGTTTTTGATTTATCAATATTTCCCAGGGTTTTTTCGATAACGTTTAATTATTGTAGATCTTGGAAAAAAATGGTCTCAGGTAACATTACATTTACAATGAGATGAATCTACACAGAGTTATTACAAAGTTATTATAAGAGTTTTTCCGATTAATATATTTTATATCTTATTATGATAGATATTAATATTTTTATTGTGGCAAATATTATCACGATTATCATGATTTTCAGATAAAATTCTAAGAGAAAATTCTCTCCGTGTACATGCAAAATTCTCGACAGAATTGTCACAGTAAATAATAGTAAATTAGTCGTGTGAAAATAATATTAGAGTCTGGTGTCGAAATATAAAATTTCCGCGTTAGAAACGATACTGTTTATCTCGGCCTTCCTTTTTTCAGCAATGTTTCGAGAGATAGCGATCTTGGCCGATTCGCGTGCAGGATTCTTTCGCTCGCGGTCGCTTTACTCATTTGGACGATAATTGATACCGAGCACGTGCTTACCATCATCGTCACGCGCTCGAGTCAAGATGGATCGCCCTGTCGTCAGCCACTTGGATGACCACGCGTCCAACAGACGCGTATATACAGTGTGTACATAGTGTGTACTGGGTCGCGGATACACGCGATAAAATCCAACTCGAGTCTTGTTAGAATACTATATATTAGAAACATGCTTTACGTTTTATATATATACACAGTAGTTTGCCTGTTACATCATAACTTCATGTACGCTCGCATTTTATATTTTTATATACTTTTAACTATGCTATCGAATAAGAAAACAAGCCGTGATATGCATAAAATTTATATATATTTAATCTTATCGCGAAAAACTGACCATAGCGACGTTAAAGTTTATTTGCTTCGTTTAATGGATCACGAGACAAAAATGCCAATTAAAATTTATATAGTTTAGTATATATATGTATATGTAGAGATACATCCGATGAGACACACATCCTTATTTCGCAGCTTCTTTTTTCGTTGCGTAATCATGACAGAAACAGGCGATCGAGATAAAATACATGTACTTTATTCTTATCACGATAGAAATTATAATCTGTTTTCACAAAAGTCTTCTTATCGAATAATCCAAGAAGAAAAATAATTAATTTTTTTTTTTTTACAAAAGTCTCTTAAACCGCTGCTTAATGTTAAAACATATATCGATCATTTTGTCAGTATTATAATTGATAAAATAAACGAAATTGGATAGAATTTTACAATTGCTCGTATGTACAGGCAAACATATAAATGTAGACGTTTTTAAAAATATGCAGAGAATTGCATACACGCACCCTAAGCGCGATGCGAAAGTAAATTGTGATTGCATAATGAGGTTAACGCTTAACGGTTCAACGCGCGTACGACGAGTGGGCGTCCACCTTGAAACAGCTGTTTGTTTTCAGTGCCGACGGATATTAATATATCGCGTATCCCATAAAAGACATTGTACGTATATGCATACTCCCGAGTTACGTGTGAACGCTTCGTCAATTTCTCAGGTATTCAAGAAAAAAGTTGCAAAAAATTGTTTCCTATATAGTTGCCGACACATCGGGTACAACACCTGTTGATCAAATACGAATAATTTCGATGTAAATTGTATATTTTTTTATTTTTTTGTAAATTTAAGTAAATTTATAAAACAGTTTCTTTTTTACAGAATAATTTACTTTGCAGCGCTTGTTGCGACATTTAATATTTAATTACACATTTAAGAGAGGATATATAACATAATTACGATATATATTAAATGATTGCATATTGTCGTCGTGATTGTGCATTAATGACGTATATGTATGTATATATGTATGGCACGTTTGCATTTTATCTGTAAACAGCGAAAATTATGATCGTATCAAGCAGCAATTTAATTCTTTACAAGTTTTAAGAAAAAGAAAATTACATTTCGTGTATATATATATACATATAGGCGGAGTGAACACGATATATACGTCACTATATAAATAATAATTCTGTGATAATCTGGATTATTCTTTTTATATATTATATTTACACATTTTTGACACATACAAACAATTTTTCAACTTTGCTCGAGTCACGTGTTTACATCTGTAAGCTCTCACATCAGATCGGTCTCAACGAGCCGGATAGCTTTTTACGTCACTGACCAATACGGCGGTAAACAAGCATATACGCACACAGACGACGTGCTTGGCATTCGACCAAAGAATCGCTAAAGTTTCATTGCTATTGCTTTCGTTTTCGCGAGCTTAAATCTAATAAATACATCTGGCCTGTGACTCGAGCGATATTGTCATTCTCCGCTGAGAATAGTGAATAAGCAAGTGATTATGAAATTCGTTTTCCGAAATTAAATGGCTGATGCTATTTAATCAAGTCCACTTCTTTTTCGAGGGATCTCATTGTCAGTTAGAGCACTCGGAGTAATTTATAGATAACGCGCTATATACATATACATATGTAATATAGGAATACCTGTAGACATTGTCTTTGGCGCATTGCAGTAAGTGGTAAAACACCCGTTCTTTATTTCATGCCAAACTCCTTGACTATAAGCTTGCGTTTTGCTCTATGCACATGCTCTATATGCTGTATACATACATATGTATAGAGTTAAAGTATTAAAACTGATGTACCATTTTGTTTACGAGCTCTTGTTTCTACTGAAAATTTAAAATGAACATTTATATAGTCACATATATTTTCTACACAGAGGGAATTTTCTCTTACAATTAGAAATTACCCTGAAAATCATGATAATCGATAATATGGGATTGGAAGAATTTTATAAAAGTTTCTCTGATTAAATATCTACATTACACAATAAGACAAAATATGTTCAATTAATTTACTATGTAAATAGTAAAATTTATTATGTACGTATTAATATTTTTATCGTGGTAAATATTTATCTCAGAGGATCTCATAAAATTCTTCCAATACCGCCCAGTCCCATGATTATCCTGATTTTCAGGGTAAATTCTAAGCGAAAATTCTCGCCGTAATAGCTATATTTCATCCTATTGTTTTGATATTATTTCAAACTTTTAAACAAAATGGTAAGAATGACAAAAAGTTTGAGGAAAATTAAAATTTCCAGAGAAAAAACTTATATCGTCGTAGCATTATGTTAAGAAAATGAAGCGAGATATCACATGATATCCATAATTTACTCTTTCTTTCAGCTTCCTCGATGGAGAGTACCGGTAACGATAAGCAAAACGAGTCGGACGAGTGTGACGTGAACGGGGATAATAAAAAGCGAGACGGCAACGACGACGACGACGACGACGACGACGACGACAACGACGACGACGACGACGACGACGACGACGACGACACGACAACGACGACGACGACGACGACGACAACGACAACGACGAAGACGAGGACGTCGTCGACGACGACGACGACGACGAAGACGAAGACGCCGACGACGACGACGACGAGGAATCGACGAAGCAGAGGGACGTCAATCGGAAGATGAAGGCAGAGGGCAAACGCGAGTCTTTAGAAAATATGAATTTGAAAAACGAGATGAATACGCTGAAGAAAACTTTGTCGGCCGACGAAGAGGACGAGAAGAGCAAGGAATCAGCCGACGAAGAGGAGCGCAAGGAAACGCAGACGAGCAGTGAAAAAAAGGAGCAAGAGTCGTCTAGCGATAGCACGTCCACCAGCATCTCCGACGACGAGTCCGAGACAAGTTCGGAAGACAAGACGGAGCCGTCGAAGCCGGAAACGGCCAACACGGCGCAAGTGGACACGATGAAAGAAGAATCGAAGGAAAGCGCGGCCAAGAACGAAGACACCACGGACGATAGTGACATCGAGGATGATCTGATTTCGGCAATCAATTACAATACCATCACCTCTCTCGCGGCACTCAAGGATATGTTACAGTCCTCCGGGGAGGATTCCGATGGCGTGGACAGTTTCTTTCATCATTATTTCCTGTCACACGTCAACCGACTACCATCGAGGAATCAGACACACAGCCCGTATCCCTGGGGTAGAAGATTGTCGGAATGCCGTGAAGAAGATGAATACGAGACTGAGGAAGGTGAGAAAAGATTTTTTTTCTCCCTTTTGTAATTTCAAAGAGCAGAGCTTTGAAAGCTGATCGCACGGATAATTACCGAGAAAAGCGTACAGTTACGAAATACACATAAGCTATTACGAGGAGCTCATCCAATGAAAGCTAACATTAGCCCGCGTGTTCGTGTTTGGCAAAGCACAACGCGAAGAGTCACTCCGTAACGATCGCTTAGGTGTATTTATAACACGTCGTTTCTCTCCGCCCCCTTTCCATCCCTCTGCGACTCTGTGAGGAATTCGATCCTTGACCGTTTACAAGGACACGATTTCTGTATAAAATATCAAAATATCGCGATGAAATTTTTCAGCTTTATATGCACATATATTACTTTATTTGGCGTATCTATTTTTGTTTTTATTTGATTGCAACGATTGACTTTTATTTGGGCGCGCACTCGTGAAGATTTGTTTTATTTGCGTCGCCGCGAATTTTCCAATCGTTCAACGAGGTCACAAAGGCGCGCCTTTGTGTCGTTCTTCGACCTTGGGGGCTTGTACGAATCGGATAATGAAGTTTTGTTACATTGTTACGTGGCGTTTAGGACTTTAGATCGCGCTTATCTGATGTTTCAGGAAAAAACACCGATAGCCCGAGCGTCGACAACAAGAAAGACGCATCGACGACCGAAAAGAGCGAAAAAGCCGACAGCGTCTCTTCCAAGACGTCGAAGGCATCGAGCCCGTCGTCCTCGGAAAATTCCAGCTCTGAGAAGATCGACGAAAAGTCCTTTCCAACGTCCAGTGTTTCGGACGCAAAACCATCGTCACCATTATTAACGACGACGACGACGACTACTACTACGACGACGACAATAACGACGATGACGTCGCCGACGGCAACGACGACGACGACGACGACGACGACGACGACGTCGACATCGACGTCGACAACAGGCACTATCACCTCGATAACGATGACAACAACGACGACCACGGCGGCGACGACGACGACAGCGGTGGCCACGACGTCGACCTCCGGTAGATTTACGACGTCGACGGTAACATCACCAACTTCTACGACAAAGCCTCCTCTTCGGAGAAGACACACCACTGGCCCAGGCATGACTTTTCCCGCTACGGATCCTCCTTCGTATTCCACTAGTATGACCTTTTCGAGAACCAGCCCGTTACCGAGCCCACATCTCGACAAAAGATTCTTCGACAGCAGTTTGATCGAAATGAAGAGTCAAGCGAGTAGTACCAGCACTCTTGATTACGACTCTACGGAGGAAGTGTGGATACGCAGAGTGGATTTCGTGCAGGAGAGAAAACGGCGAGTGAGTGTCTCAATTTTTAATGCATCCATTCCAAACGATATTGAAAAGATTGCTCATCTACATACAATTGGGATTAATCAATTATCTTGCGAATAATCTGTCTATTTATTGGTTGTTTTTTTTTCTCAATCGAATCACGATTATTCGGTCAATCGCGTACATAAAGAAATAAAATTAGATTCGTCGTCGTATTTGCGCGTATTTCTTCAACATTTTATTATACGATATCTGTGTCGGTTTATCGATGATATTTGTGTACGCATCGTTATTATTGCTGCAACAAAATGTTTGAAAATGCGTATAACAGCACTTCGATACACAATCCCCAAACGGGAAGGATAGTCGCGTGGGTGAATGCTCGTTTAATGCGTCATTCGTATCGTTTTAAACTGCTCGTTCGTCCATCGATCGGCATTTCTTTTAACCTTTGTTTCTTTTTCCGCCCATCTACTCCCACGTCGTTACACTCACAAAGTGCAGATTCTGCATTTTATTGCCATTCTTTTGTATTTCATAAACATCATAAACCATCGTCAAAAAAGTCGTTACTGAGAAGATTCGTTACTATCTTGCACTCCAAAAAAGAAAATATCGATTGCAGAGAACTTGAAGATTTTTTCTTTTTTTTCTTCTAAAAAGAGTAAATCACATTCTGTTAACAGAGTTTCTTTTTAAAGAATCAATAATCGATGAAAAACGAATTGTATTATATATGTGTGTGTGTGTGAATTTTTGATTATTTTTGAACTCGACAAAAATGAGCTTTGATTATGAATTATGCAAGTAGCAAAGAAAGACTAAATGACATGTTTCTAAATGCTATAGTATCGTTTGTCCCAGATCTCCAAGTAACTTTAACGTCTCGTGGAAGGGGTGAGGCAAAGTGAGGTACAAGGCTTCCTTTAAGCTCTATCGATTCATTCAAAAGAGGAATTACCGATATTGTAAAGAAGTCTTATGAAGAGATATTTTGACGTGTCTTTCCATGTGTCGTCTTGACTGTAGAAAATACTGTAGAATAACAACATAGTGATAACAAAAAAAATTTAGAAATTTATGACGTTACATACAGAGAGCTTGGACATTATCTTGTAGATTTTTTCTACATTTTACTATAAATATAGTATATAGTAATGGATTGCTTTCGAATAGTACATTGCTTTTGCAAAGTTTACAGGCATATTTTTATTTTTATTTTGTTATATAAATATTAGTAACTTTAATAGGAAAATTGGATTCTGTCAATAATTCTAAGTTTTGTTACTGATAATTGGATTGCTATTGATTTAATTGTATTTTTACTTTTAATGGCGCAATTACACGCGGCAAAATTAAAGATACATTTTCACACATTTTTTAGAAAATGAATAACTATATCACACAATAAAATCTAATAAAAATAGGTCGTCACGCAAATATAATGCATGAAATTATCTTGATAATTAACGCGATAACACCAATGACAATCATCAAGGAAATACCGATATGATACCATCAGTGATGGAAGTAGTAGATACGTGATCGCGATTTTAAATACTCTACGTTTCGTTAGTTTGCATCACGCTTTTAATATGAATGCAATTTTAAAGGTGTTTAATGCGAATATCCAGTTATTTAAAGTAAAGTTAGTTTAAATTTTGCCGATACATTTTATTTACGAAAAACATATATATATATATATATATATATATATATATATATATATATATGACAAGTATCTTTAATACATATATAATTATTATAGGGTAATTTTGTTGTTTGGTATCAAAGTCCCGAATTGAAGTAAAGACTGTCTTCGAGAAACAATACCTACTTGTGAATATATTTTGTCCATCAATATATATCGCAACTATTGAATCTGACATTACATAAACAATATTACTGATGATAAGTACCATCGTCCAAAGGAAAATTCTTATCGATAACGAGCTGCGAAAAAGATAGTGATTGCGATACTCGATACTCTCATTGCCGGAATACTTTTTACTTGTCGTTGAAATCTCGTGGACATACAATGTATTCGCGGGATAAATATTTAAGAACCATATTATTTTCGATTCAAATGTGACAAGATGTCGGTATCTCTTGGGAGAGTACGAAAGTACTCTCTGGTGCCATATTTGGATCGTTGTCCGGAGTATCATGGGACTTATAAGGTATTAAATATATATCTATATATATATATATATATTTTTTGTCAACTTAATTAACATTTCACTCTGAAATTGGTATAACGGCAGCTTAGTTAAAACGAGACTTTATGCGAGAGAGAAGAGTGAATAAATGAATGAAGATGAGAACCTCTCGAAGGAAGGTCGCCATCCTGTCGCAGTTTTCTTCGATCTCATCTCCCATTGTGCTCTGCAAAAATTCACATGAATACGCATAACGAATAACACCACGGGGAGTCTATCAATATCCTCTTATTTCGCAATTATACTCGATTCACAATTCATTGTTATACTCTCTTTTCGCCATATTTTTATTGTCGTTAATGAATATATTTCTATGTGAAAGATCATATTATATAAACGTGGGATGACGAAAGCCATCATCCACAATTTCAGAAATTTTTCTTTGAGCATGTGTTTGCCAAAAAGAATAAAAATATTGACGTTGCGTAATGTAGGAGATGATAGTACAATAGTTTTATAATTCGGAAATTGCATAAAGTTTGTTATAATGTTTAGTAAAAATTGTCAACTTTAAGTAAATAAAGATAAAAGAGATGCTTTCACTATAATTGACATATTTCAACTGACAACGTATCATAAGAAAACAGAAGTAGAATCAAAACTTGCAAATACATTTTAAGAATCGCAAACAAAATGAAATGATCGTATTTGTATGTCTGTCGTGCACCTTTTCCGAAAAGTTTTTTTTGTTGAAAGTATTTCAAAGCTATATTTTTTTATATAACTGATGTGTGTGTATATTTTGTGTGCGATCGCAGTCTTATCTATCGTTTTCATGCTAAAATAAATTAATACCAAATTTTACATAAAATATCTCATGTTGCACTTGATAATGTGTGAAAAGCTTGCGTAAATGTAATCGCGCTATCGTCTATCGTGCGATTAAACAGCGATATCTAATCTTGCGCCGTCTTCGGCTCATGGTTTATAATAACTCTCTTGTAGTCATTGAAACTGCGAGACATTCTTGGATATTTAAAATTTTGTATTGACATTTTTTTAAACGTGAAAAAACTTGATTTCTTTTAGGAACTTGGTTCACAACCACTTCCAACGATCGTGACTGAGGATGCGGATAATTCCGGCCATGCATCTCAAGGCCACAGGCCACGAGCAGGTGAGTTAATAATTGACAATTGTATATGTGCAATGCAATCATTACATCTTTTTCTTTCGAAGCACGCGAGCAGTATTCACGTTTAGCTAAAATATTTGCGCACATTATACATTATTGTTAATAATTTTTATTTACTAATAAAAAGTAATTTTTATGTAAATTAGTAACTTTTATATAAAGGATAAGATGGAATTATAATACCCAACATGCAACACTATTTAAAAAAAGAGAGAGTAGCAATTAAAAATAATTATTATATTAAAAGTTATCATACATTTTTGAGTAAATGAAAAAAGAAAATGTAATGAGCATAATATTGAAATAATTTGAATTGTAGATACATGGGGCTCGCACTCGAAAACGATCAAAAAGTCGAGTTATGGAAGCGCACCTAGTTCTGGAAAATCGACACCCCTTCCGCAACCGACTGAAGCGTCGAGCTCGTCCAGTTCTGGCAAGAGCGGTCGAAAGACTTCTGGTACTCGGTCCGGTTCCACCAGCCGTAGCAATAGCCGTAGTAATAGCACGGAACGTAGAAGAAGCAGTGGTGCTACAGACGACACCGCCAGTCCTACGAGAAAGCCGGCGCTCTTTGATGCTTTCAGGCCGAGAAGCAAATCGGACGCTAGCAAGAGAAAACCTAGTATTATAGCTAATATGAAAAGTGCCGTTCAGGTAAAAGAAAAGAAAAGTATATTGAATATGACTTTCATTATGATAAGTAGCAGAAATTTCATGACAAAATCTATATTTTAGAATAATGTTGTCACACGTGCATTATATAATTGCATACATTATATCAAGTTGTAAAAAAAGAGAGATTCTCTCAAGTAGTTGAAAAACGTACGGTAAAAAAATTTTAATATTTATATTTAAACTTGGAAAAATTTATATTTGAATAATATTTTATAATTATATGTGTGTGTATGTATAGACGCACACGCGCGTGCGCACACGCGCGCGCACACACACACACACACACACACACACACACGTATATAATATTTTTAATTTTTTTTTCTCTTCTCCCATTGTATAGCATTCCTTACATAGAGGATCGCACGGGAGCTCGTCGATAGATGTACATACAGAGAAAGAATATCATCGAGATAGTCAGAAGGAACAAAAGGAAAATAAGGAACAAGGAAGTGGAAGGCCTAGAGCTGGATCCGAAAGTAGTAGAAATCCTGTTAGCAAAGTCATGGATCTTATCAGGCACAGGAGTCACAGTGCCTTGAGCGCAGAGGATAAACGAAAAGCTGTAAGTAATTTTTTACATTTACTGAAACTGTATTTTAATTTATTTATCGATTCAATGACATTGATCAAAATATTTTGAATTGTGAAAGATTAGGTTATTGCTAACTACTGATCTACTTTTATTGATATTTAATTTAGAATCATAATAAATTTTTATTTATGTTATAATTTGACATTAAATTATTCATGTATAAATAATACATACACATAAACACACACGTATATTAACATATTTTGGAAATTGTCAGATATATTTCACAGGTCATACAAATGGTATAATCTAACTAAGTAAAAATATGTTAGCAAAGATAAATATCTTCTTTATCACGCATAAGTAATAGAGAGAGTGCAGGCAAAACCGTTTCCTATCTTTTTGCCTGTCGATTCTTAATTAGCAAAGAAATTATTATCAAATGTATCGTAAATAATGTCGTATTGTCGATAAAAATAAAGCAATACGTAACCGTAATTAATAATAAGGAAGCAAGTTAATCGTAACAAACGCTCGAAACATTGCAAAAATAAGCGTATTAAAAGTATTGTATGACAAGTATATTTACATATATTGTTTTTAATCAGAAGTAATTTAAGAATCACAAAATAATATATGATAGAAAATTTTCTTATGCGTGTTTCACGACATATATATAGTTATATATATGTATATAACATTCTACTATGATTTGTTGATAAAGCATTTATGAACCAATGTTTATATAACATACTTTTTTCTTATCTTTATTCATACAACATGATGAAATTTGGTCTTTAAAATCTACGCCTGATAGGAATGTGTTTCGAGCATTAAAAATATGTACATATTTTTCTCGTTGTTTTCTCGCATTTTTTTCTTGAAAATTCTTTGGTGCGACTGTTTAGATGTTTGTGCGATTTTTTTCGTACAAACAGGTGTCTCGACGGTATTTACAACAAAATACGAGTGAACAGCATAGCCATCGCTAGTGGGAGGTAACAAGTTGTGTATCAAGCAAAAAGAGACAGGAAAGAGGGGCACATCTCCGCTCAGTGACTCGCCGTACTTGTGACACTGAACACGTAAAAAGAGCGATCGTATCTGTTATTTTTGCAATAGTGCGTAATAGTGTATGTAATTGATTCGTGTACACATTTAGAAAAATTCGTCGGGTATCGGAATTGTGGATAAATTAAAATTTTTCTCTCAATATAATAAAAAAATCGTTAAATCGTTAAAGTTTCTTGCGACAAAAATTTTTAATGTTATCTATTAAACTCGATTTTACATTTGAAATAACTCAGGAATGTTGTGAATTTGTGAAAGCTTAAAATCATAAACATATAACATATTTTCGCAATGTTAATTTTGAAATTACAAACATGAAATTTCGATTAATTGCGTTAAAATTAATTTTTTTTAATTAGAGAAGAAAAGCGTATGGAATCTGAAAGATTTACCGATCCTCATTTCATCATTTAAGACTTACTATACTTTGATCTTTTCCTTACAAGTTACGGCAAGACGCTTAAAATGTCACGTCGGGTTACCAACAATACGAAATTTGCAATGGAAAAAACTCGAGCTGTTTATGCTAGCACGCTTTTCAAATCGCGGAACAGTATTTTGCTATCGGCTATCTTAAAAAAATTCCACGTGCCGTGGAATTTTTTTCAACTAGTGTAAAAAAAATTTTTTTGCCAATATATAATTCTACATGGAACTTTGATTAATTATAATGTCAAGAGTATCATATGTTATTTTTATTATTTAATATTAAATAATCAAAATTATAAAAACAATGAAATTAGTGACACGTTTGGCAATTAATTAAAAATACAAACAATAATTATATACCTATGTATATACATGGTGGAAAAGTGAAAGGAAAATATACAGAAAGACGATATCATCTGTAATCATTTGTAAGACTTGATGACCGAATTATAGCTGACACAAACATGTGCGCTGCACCTGTAGCATATGGGCTACACTGTATTAGTAATTGGTTCTTTCCCCTTCTTTATATCGTACAGACAACGCGATAATACGTTTATGTTATGTCATGACCACGCTTGAAATTCACATTACCTTAATTCAAGAGAATGGAAAATCCAAAGAAATATCGAAGATGAAAATGAATGAGTTTCTGTCAATCGATCAGGTTTCATAATTAGAATATTTTTTTTTTAATGAAGACTGTTTACAAAGATAAAACAGGTCTTGTTTATAAAGACCGCACATAATTTGTAATTAGGAATTTTGAAACTCAATTTGTTGTAATATCGACGCATAGAGTAAAACTGACTCTGAATGACTTTAAAACTTTAATTATTTAAATCTGCGATTTACGACGAATCTAAAGGGTGTTTGACAGAAAATTCTGGAATGTCTTCGTATTTTCGATGGATAAAGAGCGGGAAGAAGGACGATTATTTCGGTGCAAAGCCGAGAAGCCGTTCCTTAGATGCCAAGAGTCTCGAAGCGTCCGGTATTCGACTGATTTTCCAAAATGTATATATAATTCAATTTTTTCAACGAACAATGTCTATAATAATAGTCCTATCGATATTTTGGATACATTTTAGATATATGCTGTTATTTTTATGTTTTTTGAATTTATTGAAAAATTGCAGCATTTACAAGAACGTATGTAATTATCACACAATTACAAAAAATATAATAAATATACAACTAACAATTAATATACTTATAAAATATAGAAGTGAACTTATAAAACGTAGAAAATATAATTTTATGCATACACACACACACACAATTACATTTTTTATACCTGCATGATTTTCGATACATAAATAGGATATTTACATATATTTTTACATATTCACAGAAAAAACAGTATCCTTGAAAGAATGCAAATATGCCTTGATTCAAGTATATTTTATCCTTATAATAGCGTCAAATATAAATAATTTTGAATAAAGGATAATTTATCCTTAAAACAAAGTGTAAAATATTCTTGGTTGAAGCTGAAATTTACTTATAAATATTGCAAGGACAAGTGACAAGTGAGCATCGGATATAAGTGGTACTTTCAAGTATATATAATAATTCTTGGTTCAAATGTGATTAAGTTTGTTTTTACCATATGCGATTTTTAAAACAAGAATATATCTTAAGGATAAAATATACTTTACACAAACTTATTTATTATTAAGGCAAATAAAAATTTGTGATTACAAAGAGCATTCTATGCTTAAATCAATCAAATAGCGTTCAAAAATAAAAATATACTTGAATCAAGGATTCCTTTTTTTCTGTGTTCAATTAATTTATTATAAGAATCGTAGTAATAAATATGATTGCAATAATGTAATAAATATTGCAAATAATTTTGTTCATTTTTGTTTCAGAGAGCGGCAGTACAACATCAGACACAAATAACATCACAGAGTAAGTACCTTCTACGATCAAATTGCATTAATGTTTGTCTAATCTTATTGTTGAGAAAAGGCGCGCTTTGAGATAACCGACCAATGTGGTCTGAACTGATAACGCATTAGATTTCTATTTATACTTTTACGCTATTAAACAGAGAGTATAATTTTATTAGTTTTTTCTTTAATATATATATATATAATTCTTTTTCATGACTGTCAAATAATATATATCTCCACGTTTATATATACATACACACACAAACATGGAGATATATATTATTTAACAGTCATGAAAAAGAATTTTTTTGCAAGAAACTTATTTGTATTAGATACTACCATCTTATCACATAGCGAATGTGTCACGCGAATATCTCGCCATTTATCGATAATCGTTTTCATTTTCATACCCTTTTCACATTTTTTATGTACAAGAATAGTTAGTGAATAATCAGTTTATTTCAAAGAATTTTACAATTTATAAATGTTTAATTGAATATATTTATACAATTTCACATTTGTGCAACATTTACATTTTATATTTATGCAAACTATATTTAAACAAAGATGTATATGTATATACATGTAAGTATGTACATACATACCTAACATCTGATAATCGTATATGCGACATGTTGAAGTATGTTTTCAATGTTTGCGCCCTAAATAACGAAACTTTTAAGTTTTAATCTTTATTCAGATTTTCCTCAAACGATTATTGCTAATCACGTATATTATCGATTGATATATTTTTTCTATTATACATTTTATTGAACATACAAAGAACGATTTATAATCGCTGTTCGATCATTACCGCGCTCGCATGGTAATCGTGAGACTTTATCCATCGAGCAAATTATCGACCGTACTCTGGCGACTAAGTTTGTCGGCGCTTCGCGAGATGGCGCTGCTAGCGCGTCGGACGAACACACTCAACCTGTATACGGTATGCGCGAAGCCGGAGCAATGTCGCACGGAGGCAGTGCACGTTTTAACGGCGAACGTCGACGATCGCGCGCGAGACTCGAATCGGTCGGTGGATCGAGTCACGTTGCATTCCTCCGACACTTTTCATACGAAAATCACGGAAGTTTTTGCGTCTCTTCAGTCACTCTCGCGTTTAAATTGCCGGCGTTGTTGTGCCCTTTAAATGTGCGGCGCTCGTCCACGAACGTGACCAGCGTGTCAACAAAGACAGGATGAGACTTGCGTTCGTCGTAAACATCACTCATCGCTCGTCGTCGTCGGGTATCGCTTGTGCGTAGACGGAGCTTGTGTCTTAATCAGTGTGTGTGGGGCTCGTTTGTGAAGGACAAGTGGTGCCGCGTTTTCGATCCGGTAGTGCTAATATACCTTCTTTTTTTTTTAAATCGATGTTACATCATATATATATATGTAACTTGGTGACGCGAAACTTGTTTTTTTTCCTTTCTTATTTTTTTTCTTTTTTTTCCCCCTTAAAAAAGCAAAGCGAACGTGATTGAAAGGACCAAAGTAGGTGAGTCTTTATCACGTGTTTGTGTTGTACTGTCGAGACTGTCGAGAGACGCGTCTGTAAAAACCGGATAAGATTCGCATCATACGGTTATCGCTCTTCCTCGTTGCGTTCTCTCATCTCTTTAAATGAAAATAGAGAGCATAAATTTGTTGATAAATTGTAAACGCGGAGATGCGCGCACGCGAATCTTTCCGGCATTTCCTCGGCATTCGATGAACATTTCTCGTTTATTACGTAACATAATTGGATTACATCACGTTAAAAGAAATGCGAATTTATCGCTTAAGGGATTGGAGTCGTAACCGGCGACATTACAGTTTTTCTGTTCCGTTGACGTAACTACGTCATTCATCATTTTTCTTTTAGTCGCATTATGTATTATATGATATCTGGCATATTGAAGAAATAAACAATAGGTATAATATGTCTACGAGAATTAGAATTTTCAATTTCCCAAAGACAATTGAAACTGACAATAAATTCCTTTCGTTCGCGACTTTCGGCCAAACGATATATAAGAGAAAAAGAGGTCATCCTTTTATATGTAGAAGTATAACATAGCATGATGATACCAAGAATCGAGTAGTTCGATCTTCGGTGTGCGTGATACAAGCAGAGGGTTTTCGTTGGCCTTGAAAAACCGGTCTCGAAGATTCATACATTGATTGTTCCATGTTTGGAGCCGGAAACACTAAGTGCCTAGAAATGTCGACAAACACTCTCGAGAGTGTTGAATTATGTAAATGATAAAAATTATTTGTCAAAAGTCGTATCGAAAATTTACTATTCGATTTCAAGAGTTTTGTTCAGGTACACTTGATCACAAAAATATCGTGCATTAAATTGGGACGTTTTTAGAAATTGAAATGTTATTTTATAATCTTTTTTTAAAATATTTTTGACGTGTTTCGTGCATAAATATTCATACGTACATGAGTTACAACTGTAAGAATAATTCAGTTTCTGTTATTGTTTGACATGCTGCGAAATATTTAGATATAAAATTTTAAAAAATAATATAAATATATTATTAATCATTTTTCAATCAACAGTCGCGATGCACAAAAATTTAAACACGAATGCGAACGCTCCGTCTATAAATTCAATAAAACTTGTGTTAAGACTTTTTAAGTCGAATGTATAACATTATTTTTGTTTGTTTGTTTACAGTTATGCGTTTAATGTTCCTTGTGATAAGACTGCAACTTTGATAACATTTGTAGACGTAGCGAACCAACTGATAGACTTGTAAATTTCCGATAAATATCATATGACGTAATCATAGGCGTATCATTAATTTAGTTGGAGAGATTGGTTAATCGACGCCCACAATATTTAAAAATCAAACTTGGAGAGGACTTTACAAATAACAAGTGACAGATATAAATTGTTTAATTATTTTTAAATTATATCCCCACACACACACACACACACACACACACAATTTATATGTATATAATTATACCGAGAGATGCTAATAATAAGTAAAACAAAATTATTTGCCAACGAGAAAAATATATGTCCAAATACTTATTTCCATAAAATTCAAAATACATTATTTTTAGTTTACATTATTATAAAATTAAGTAACATGTACCGTGAGTTTTTGTACAAAATTATCTTAAGAGACAAGGAATTTTGAAAATATTTTTATTTATTACACCTGTAATAAATAAATATAATTTCTTAGTCTATATATTTCTTGCATTTAAATCGGATTATCAACTACATATACACGCATAAAATATATTTAACAATTTGTGAGATTTGTTTAAATTGTGTCGTCTCATGGGCGATTTTCTAAATTGAATTAACCGTGCGCTTCGTTGCGAGATATATAGATATACTACACGCGGTCTTCTATAGGGAGAGGAAAAGGGGAGAATTCAAGGTCTTTACAAAGCAGAACGTACGTAGTGTTTAGGATACGAATTTGCTCATCGTTATTTAAAAATTGCTTAGTTTTACATTTTTAAGTCGAATATTATTTAAATTCTCATATATACAATCATTTTTGTTAAATATTTTCAATCATTTGATATACGTATTCATTACTTATTTTTAAAATTATTTAAAAAAAGTTATAAATTTTATTTTCGTTTATTTCGTTAGCTCTCGAATAACGCTCGTAAAAAGTACGTAAAAAGTATTAAAATGTTGTCCTCTTGTTAAAACAAATATTTAAATTTTCATTTTTGTATACATACACAAGTCATGTATTAATTGCATTTGCATATAAATAATACACGCACGTGAGAGTGCAGTGTATTTTTCCGAGATCCATGTGCTGCAGTAATGCTATATTATTTTTAAAAAAGTTTGCAGTTACCTAAATTGTCGCACCTACCAGCTTTGCAAGTAACCAACAAAACAGCACTTAATTTTCATTTGCATATTTCTTACGCATTGTTCTCGCGCGCGTGTTTCGTTTATCTCGCGTATGTCGCAAAAACCAATATCAACGTCATCATTTAACAAGATAAACGAGACATATCCGTAGGTAGTATACGTATATAAGTCACTGCAACTCGCGGCGTAATCTTTTTAACTCGCAAATTTCCGTTGGACTCGATTTCGCCATCGTTTCGTCGTAGACGCGTTAGTTTGAGCGAAGGCAACAATCTCTCAACATTTGTCTCTCGGAGGGTTACGATCGATACGACCTACTTCTTCCTCACCCTCGACCCCAAAATTTATACCGTTTCGGAGACGCAATTGTAGAAACGGGACACTGTCAGGGTCACAACCCCGCTTTTAGAAGCGGAGTTTAATTATTAAAATCGAAGCGCGAATGCATGAAGAGCTGCATTTAGCTTTAAGATGTGAAAATTTGAGAAGAAGAGAAAAGAGAAAAGGGAAAATTAGCCAGCAAGGTAGAAATGATAACGATGACAATAATAGTCGTAGCAGTTTCACATTAGCAAACGGTAAAACTGTCGTTCTCGACTGTTTAATAATTGGCGGCACTGACTGCTTCCGCTAATCACGCAATCAGGCTCGTGTGTCATAAATGTTTCCTTCTGAATCTTAATTTTCTGCCTAGTGACGCAACTGCAGCCGCAGCCGGTGCACGTGCACTATATAATTGTACACTTTGTGAGATTTCAGATATTTGGCAATGCAATGTTGTCTATATATTTTTCGTCACGTTATATCGATCGCGTTTATATACAATTCGGTCGTTGCGATACGATCATATCACTGAGAAAACTCTGCTTGTTACAGTCTATTTGTAGCAGCTTGCGTTATTGTAGCATATTATCGTATTCGTTATTTTTACATATATATACGCGAGTTGTTATTTTTATCTGCTTGTATTATATTTTAATATTTTAATCTATTTAAAACTAAAGTTTTTGTTATTTGGACAATTTGAAATTGTTTTGCAAAGTTTCATTAAAGATTCGCCCGCGCTTGCCAGAATTTAATTGGCATCGGATGTCATACTTTCATTTTCTTCCTGTTAGATTTTTGGCTCAATTGACGTAATGTGCGCAGTTTCCTTCTCAAATTTTCGACGCGTAAATAGAATCGATGAAACTCTTCAAGTAGTTTGTTCAAATAATTTACATACAAGACCGAAGAAAATTATTTTTTTGCGCATCTTTTTTGCAAAAATTTTAATTTACAAAGTAGAAATATATGTATATTATTTTGAAATGCTTGCATCGGAATCATTTTGTTTTTAATTTGCTTCAAGTGAAGTTATCGAGAAATTTTCGCAATAGCATTTTGCACAATATTTTATTTACGTGCAAAAGTGTTTTCTCCCTCCAATGAATCATGCAAATGTAATCTTTTTTTCGAAATACGAAGGCGAAATACAAAAGAAATATAATCCTATAAAAAGATGTCATTGAATGGGAAAGAAGGAGCACCTTTAAACCCACAAATCAGATGTTAGAATTATGTATAGATGTGATTTTATTTAAAAAGCTTGTCAGACCTTTTTGTCGAATGCCGAGACTGATGCGCTAAACACTTGTGATATCCTCATACACGCGATACATGCGATAATTTGCGGCGAAATAGTGGAAAGGAAACGATAGATGGATAATTATTTCTTCGTGTTTCTCAACGATTATTTCGGTCTCGAAATTACTCGGCATCGTTCTTCGCAGATTCCGCGACGTTGATGAACGGTGCGAAACTAGTGCGGGCGTTTCCGAACGATATCAGAGTCATTGTTTGTGACATATCTGTCTGGTGAAATGCACGGAATAAGCCACCTTTTGTCTCACCATCACGGCTCCGAGAACGGTGGCAGCGACACCAGAAGCTCCATCTCCTCCGCGTCGTCGGACATCCGGAGTCAAGATACGAGGTTTCTGCAGGATCTGTTGAGCCAGAAACACGACAGCAAGCTCTACTTCCACGAGCGACACGTATCCCGTGGCTCGGTCAGTTCGGCGTATTCTTACGGCTCTTCGTCCTACGGCTCGTCTTACGGCTCCAACTCGTCCAATCATCATCATCAGTCCTATCAGTACCACACGATTAACAGCCACCATCATCCTTCTCACCATTATCATCATCATCATCGGATAGCGAGTAGCGGTAAAGCGTCACCCTCGTCACCTAGTCCGACCAACGAGCACGAAAAGCAACATCATCATCATCACAGCATACAGGAGATGATACGGCACTTTGGTAGAAGATTGGGACACATTAGACGGCAAAGCGAGTGTCACGAGAGTCCCAAGAAACGGGAAGAAGATTTCAGGAACAGAAGTCAGAGTTTGGACGGCGGTGCCAGGCATTCCGCCATCCTGCAAGAAACCGATTGCGAGACTACCTACAGGATTTATGAAAGCATACTCAGGCAAGGTAACTCACGCGAGCGAACGTGAGCAAATATCCTGACACGACAGGATATCATCGGCGTGTCACTTATGCTTTGTTTAATTATTAGGGAGACGCGTTCTTCTTGTTCCCATTGATATAAGAATAGATGGACGTATCTATGATAAATATGCTATTTTACTTTACTATTAATGCAGATATCTATCACACTTTTTATTGTAATAACTAATGAAACGAAAAACAAAAAATTCGATACTCTCTTCATCTCTTTATCTTGAAATCTTGGATTATTAGTTTGTGTGTATAAAGAAAAGCGTTGAAAGAAAAAGAGATATGGATAATTGACGATCGCGTGTCTCTCTTTACTAGACTCATTTGCCCTACTATTTCGATTTTCCGGCTGCCTTTCATTGCGCAATATGTTTTTGTAGCAACTACAAACGCGTGCGGAAATTCTCTCGCGTGTCGCTAAATTCACCATTCGTACAATATTGTATTCGTTACATATGTACTCTTGTCAAAATGCCAATTCATATTCAAATGCGATGTACTTATGCGAATATCATATAAAGAGACGCCGTCTGAGAGACGCGAAATGACGAAATATAAGTACATATAGGGTGCGGGGAGGATAATACGAATAAATATTTTTAAAAATATTCGCTAATTTTAGTATTTTAATATGCGCGGCAACGTACCGCGAAAGGCGATTGTTCCTTTTAACAATTTAAATCTATTACTAGTATCTTTTTATTAACATCTCGTCTCATTAAAATCTTAATCTTGATTATGAGGGAATTTATGGGCTTTCTTTTCTGCATCTTTACATTTTCAAGTATTGTAAGATATATTCAATGTGGTCAAATGCAAATATGTAAAGATATATGTATATATCAATCTTTTCTTTTTATCTCATTTCCATTTATTTACGTTTTGTTTCAATCTTTTGATTCAATTTCTGAATCGGTCACACCGACACGCTTTGTTCCGCGAGCTTTTATAAAACTCGGCAATTGCATATTGACACATGGAAGCTTGCCTTGACCCGATTATATAGTTATTATTATAGTTGTTATACTGCAAATGTGTCACAAGCACGTAAAAACTCATTACCCGATATCTTATGCACATTTATAAAAATGGAGCATTTAGGTATTAAAAATAAATCATAAATAAATTTTTATCATAATAATTTGATTTCCATTTCGTTATCTCGGTTTGGATCAAATCGAGATAACGAAATGGAAATAAGCAGCGTACGCTTTCGCGATCACATCCTAATCTCCGAGGCCGCTTTTATTGTACGCCGCGTTTTATTGTGATATAACAACAAATCAATTCTAATATTATTTTGACCGCATATACATAGACATGCATTTATTTCACAGTTTTATGCAGAGAAAAACGGAAAACTTGTGTGCTCTAATTGGATTAATTTGCGAATGTTACATTATCTCTTCACATATCATATTTGTCACAACAATTGGAATTTGCAAATTTGTAATTGGCAAACATCCGCTTCACTTTTGTACATATAAGCGCGATGCGCGCGTTCATGAAATAAACACCGCCGATAAAGCGGGATATCGCTTCAACGTCTCACGCTGAGGAAGCAGATTTAATCGTAGAAACGTGCGCAAACGGCCTTCGTTGAGAGAAAAACAAAATTCCAAGACCCCGGCCCGCGATGTCAAAGCGTTCTTCCTCAGCGGGTAGTGAGCTATAACTTTAGTATTCTTTTCTATTTCGCAATGGATAATAGTACTGTGGATATCGAAAATATTGTATTTGATAAATCGTATCGAACTTACTGGAAATAAACGAACAAAACATCGGTTTTAACAATCTTTTCGTTGGCAAATGTATTTGTGTAAATGAAAAGTTCAAGTCTGACAATGAGTTGCAAGTGATTATAAGAGTGAATATATTATTTAAAAAGACAAGTGTGATATTTCTTTACAGGACTTTGCGACAAATATTTATTATATAACGCAGTAATATTTTCGAAATATTCACACTGTTATTTATATTAATGACGGTCATAATTCTTATATTTTTATCTTGCTATATTATATACTACAATATAAGATATTTGTAATGTTATAAATAAGAGTACGTAATTATACGTATAATCTTTTTACGAGAAATTACACTTAAAACAACATTAATTATTTTAATTTATTGAATAAATTGTACAAATTTTTAAAGTAAAAGTTAATAGTCTATTTTTAAATACATTTTATATGCGCATAATAAAAATGTAAATAATACAAGTCACGTAATTCGCAAGAATAAAAAATTTTGCGTCTGTTCATGAATTGTCTAATGTTACGTAGGCTATTAAGAGCGAAACTTAGGAGAATTGGATTAATTGCAAGCGTTATGACAGTTGATGATGATAAAACACGCATGATATAATCGATCAAAGTCGATCGATGATAAATACATGGTTAATAATATAATGGAAAATCATTTTATACACATTTTATATACATATATAGTATAGAATATTTATATTTATTATAAATTTTGTTTTCTAATTTCTTAATCTATTTGTTTTAGGTGCGCTAAGAAGAAGTTCATTGGATCCAACAGCACGAAGATTGTCTCTTGGAGCACCTGCAATACCTCACAGAGCGTCCGATGCTTGCCTGGATCCGGTTCACGCTGCCATACTCTTCAGGGATGCTCGAGGGGTAAGTTGATTCTCATTTTACTTTTAATTTATGACTTTTATATCTTGCATCACGTATTTTATATACACATACAGGAAAATTAAAAACTATTCAAGATTTATATAGTAGATTTGTATGGTCACACAACACCGAGTAAAAAGTTTTAATAAACATAGGTCGAAAACTTAATCGTTTTATAGAGATAAACAATTTTATATATAATATCACTATCATGACTGATTAGTGTCTTTTATATGAAAGTTTATCTTTGTATTTACAAATTTAATTTACAGAAGAATATTCCATATGGCCATCTTTCATTACAAATGGAATTTCTATTGGACTATCTTGTTACGGAGTTGCAAACTCGCAATATTTTAAGTCTTTGTCGGATTATTTGACAAGCACGCAACTCTGTAAAAAGAAACTGTCAAATATGCATTGTAATGGAAGAAGAGCATATGACACATTTGAAATAGATTTGTATATAAATACTGAGATAAATCTTCATATATGACACGTAAAAGTCACTAATCAGTTATGATAGTAATATATAGGTATATGGTATATATAAAATTGTTAATATCTCTGAAACGATTGAGTTTTTCTGGACCTATATGTTTACTAAGACTTTTTTACTCAGTATTATATATACTAGTATTATATGTACTATTCTGCCATAATAAATCTTGAATAGTTTTTTTAACAGCTTGTATGTGTGTGTGTGTATATTTATATTCATTTAGAAGTGAATTAGTTTTCAAAACAATTAATTTTTTTACATGTTTGAATAATGGTACAGATATTACGGTAAAAAAATCTTATCTCTTTATGGGATAATTGTGCACAAGAAAGAAGAAATGCTAGAGTATATTTTATTTGATACATTCAATATAAACAAATAAAAATATATTTTGATATCAACATTTTTAGTAACATCTTTTTTCATGTGTAAAATTATGTCAAAATACGCAAATACTTTTTATTTTTATATAAAAATATATATGATATATATTACTGGCTTTATAATGTAACTGAAATAATATAGATGGAAACAATATGTCAAGAAATGAAATCTCTTCTCTCTCTTTCTCGCGTACGAGATACATATGTACATCTTTTCGATAAAGCGGAAACGTTTAATAAATAAATCGTATCGTATCGATTCCATGAAGGACTAAATGTTGTAGATCTAGGTCGTGAGAAAAGTTTACTGACGAGAGAAGGTCGAGAAAATACATACATATCTAAGACTTCTTCGTACATATATTTCCTAAAGAATATTAAATAAAATATTTAATGAATGTTTATTATTCGTTTTTATCAGATTTTTGCGAAATATAACTATAAAAGTTGCAATATTGTAAACATAAATTTGTATCAATATAAGTTGTGTCTTACATATTTGATATTAAAATTCAAGACTTAAACCTCGTCGATAAAGAACTTTTCTTGCAACGATATACTAGAGTACAACTTTATCACGCGTCGACAATTTATCGCAGCATAAAGTTGGTGAGAAATAAAATCTGTTAAACAGACTCGAGTATTCTTGACTTGTTTGTATTTAAAAAGTTTGACATTTTTAATTCGCACGTGACAAAATAATCTTGTAATCTAAACCTTGCAGACATATAATTGATTCTGTTCTCTTTCTAATTTTTGGAGAATAATCTTTTTAGTCCACAAAAGTTATTTTAGTCCATAAAAGAAAATAATCTATGACTAATACATCGCACGCATAATATGCGCAACAAATTTTCTTTTCCTTTTTAAAATATGAAATTTTCCATAATAATTAGTATGTCAATTTTATTTCTCACAGATGAGAATATTACACTTTACGATCTCGATTAAGTCTCAAGTTTTCTCTCTACTATGTTTACTTTACTGTCCTGTTATACGCGCCAAGTACATATTTAAACGCTTATCGATGCTCTTATCGTGTGCAATGGTTGACTCTACACATACTTGCGAATACCATTATCTGTATGTACAAGACTGAGGAAATAATATTATTCAAGCAAGGAGTCTTGTTCTTTTTCTATATAAGGAGTACTTGTGTGAATGGTGAATCGTTAACTGGATTTAACTCGAATTAATTATTATTTAGGATAACAAAGATGCCGCGTACGCGCGAGATGAGGCGTCACGCGCATGTAAAGCGATGCGCCGTAAATTTCATACACAACGTGTCGCAAGCTCGACGAGAGCGAGAGCGAGAGCCATCGGGCGCCAGTCTGAACGGGATGATCCAGTTGAACACGGGCGACCGAGCTGCCGTCGACGACGAAGGGACAACATTCGTGCGAATTGTCAATCGACAGTTTTCTTTTCGTTATTTTTCTTTTCCCATGATCTCGAGATCTCGACCAACCGGCTCGTGTACACTCGATCGTTATCGAATAATATTGACGTAATATCCCAGTGAGATGCTTCCTTATTCGTGCCGGCATCTCGATGCGAGTTTCTGTCCGGTGAAATTTTCAAGGGCGCGTTCTTGTGAGAAGGTCAGCGAGTGAGTGCAATGAAATCGATCGATCGGTCGGAAAAATTTGCGTGGTTCGCGGTGATGATTATCGGCATCGATGGCGCTTAAATATTAACAGGTTTCCCTAATCGCGATGGAATTAATTAACTGTCATTTTGTTCTATGTGTGAGTAGTCGTCTCGATCACTTGACATTTTCACGAACGTGCTTATATACATAGTTTTATGCGTGTTTCACATGTAGCTAACAATCAGAGTCAACCAGTGTCTACTATCAGAGTCGTGGTTCGCGTTAAAAATAGAAAGTGATAAAAACACTGTTTTTCACCTATAAAGTAATAATGATAAAAATAATAAAAATAATAAAAATTCGAAAAAGTATCTTGGTGCTCCGATTGTCAATGAGCAACAACACAAACACTTGTTGCTAGAGAAACATGCGCGTGTTGTTATCGTGCGCAGAGCGCAGCGAATCCTTTTGACCTTTCGGCCCTGACCTTTTCAACATTTTCACTTACTTCCACAATCGATCGGCTTTGGATATCAATACGAATGAGATAATTAGCGCCTGATTTTTCAAAGATCATCCATGTTTTACCTCGATTACTAGAAAGAGTGGGGAATAACAGGTTTTCTAGTACGTGGAACACACAATATTTTTGTTGCGTAATAATTATAAAGTGCGCGAGGATAATCAAGTGCGATTTTAATTTATATATATGTATGCATATAAAGGGAACATTTTATAATTATATATGTGTATAGAATGTACTTGAAACGTTCTGAAACTTCGTCTACCGAATGCCAATGTCGGAGCTGTTTGTAAACAATTTGTGAATTATATTTAGATGCCCATTACTCGCGACTTGTGATCGACGAGTCGCAAATATTGGAAGCGGCTCCGACTAAATTCCACACGCGAATGTAACTACGCAATGCCTTCCCTCCCCCTCTCCCCGTTTATTTCAAACTTTATATTGTCAATTCTCGAGTTTTCTCACGTTTGATTGCATCTAAAAGTATAACATATCTGTACGCGTACTTGGAAAAAAAGTCATTTTAGTTTACACTAAGTTGACGCTTGCGCGAGTTTTCACGTGAGATGTTTAACAAGTATTACAAGTCAACTTACGGTGGACGTCTCGATAAGCTGATAATTGCATGGATAATTACATGGGTTGATAAACTACAGTATTTCTTGGCGAGTGCGAGGTCGAAGCAATGACGGAATTTTCGCGTGGGCGTACCATATATGAATCTTCAGAGACTCGTTTAAACTTGTACGTGTCGTATTTTTTCCATCGATTCCGCTTTTGTTTTACGGACGATCGCATATGAGGGTTTTCGCTTATTTTTCAATTCGCGACGCCTCATCAACAAGTTGTCGCCTCGGATGTCGCGTGTTCCTCGTCGTCGTCGTCGTCGTCACCGCCCATGACGCACGAGTGCTTTTTTATCTTATATATATGTATAACGGCCTTGCGAACGTCTTGTCCCGCGTTTGTATCAAAACTTTGTTACACGCCTACGTTATTGCAAAAATCCACGTTATACGCCATATAAAACAAGATAAGGACTAACATCGTGTAACGCTTGTTAGCTTATTTCTGTGTACGTTTCTTCGATAAAGCGAAACCATGTTGCTCGATGATATTAAGTTGACCGCTGATAGAAAACGCGGCCATCGCGTTCAATGGCTGGTCACTCTCGGCTGAATTTTCGCCAGAAACTCTGACTCTCCATCGTACAGTATTTTTAGATTCGGCTAGACACACGAGGCGTGTTTATTCGATTTCGCTTCCGTTTCGCGAGCCTTTCATTTTTTCTTTTCGCTACGATCAAACCGCTTAATTTTGACCAAATATCTCGAGTAATTGACAATATAATAAATATGGCGCTAAAGATGCTTGGCGCCTTCTCTCCCCACTCTTTTAACATACGTTCGTTTATTATACTTGTTACATGTCGGTTCATGTCTATCGTTTTACTATTCTTGGAGCGGATCGAATGAGCTAATCGTCCAAGTTAGAAAAAATGACCCTATAAGGGAGAGGAGGAAGCTTTTTCCAAACCAATGAACCAATAAAAATGGCGGGGTATCGGTTTTTTTCAAGTATAGGAAAGAGATTTTCTCAAAGTTTAATCATTCTGAATTTCGTAATCAATCGGATGCAACGCAATATAAAACATGATCATTGACAGTCTTTAACGAACACACGTTAGCTTTACAAATTTCCTTAAATTCATTACCTTAAAATACTAGATGTAAATTCATTCTTTGCTTCCTCATAGAGGAAGCTTTCTTTGAATAAATTTTGGCTCAATCTTTTGCAGAAAGTTTAATTGATTAAAAAAGTAGGAGATATACATAGATTTTGAAAGAAATAAATGTATAAATGAAGAAGACGAAGAGGGAAATTGCGTTATACACACTATTCGATAATCGTCCTCATTTGCTATATAAATTTAATTGCCAAAATAGCGCGCATCTGTTGAACTGTTTATCGACAGTCGTAATATCTTGGCAATCTGCAACTAGCATTTAGCCACAATCTACAACTGCCGTGAGAGAGTTATGCCACCGTCGAAAATATCTCGAATAATTTGCTCGCTGTACTATTTCACGAGTATCGAAGGCGTTAAGCGACGTGTTAATTTCTACATGTATTCACTCATCGCGACAATGTAATCTCGTCGTCACGAAGACGAGAGATCCAGCTTGGAACTGCGTTGAATATAACTGCTTTGGTCATCGCTGTCAGTTCCGAAAACAAAAGATGACGAGGAACAACAATGAAGATATCTAACGAGACTGTTGAATAAAGAAGGCCAGCTTGACGCGACGCGACGCATCGATAAACTTTGATCGAACGCAGTTTCTTGTTAAAATCCTTAAAGAGTGAACGAGGCGCTCCGTTTAAAATAGCCTCGCGTTGTCAGTTTTAATCGATATACGAGATGTTATTTCGACGTCAAACAAGCGAACCGACCGGAAGTATCGGTAGGAGCTCGGATGTGGCGCAGACTACGAGTTCCGGAGTTCTGACGAATTGGTACACGAAAATCAAAAGACGACATACCTTCAGCCCCAGATTCTTGCTGAAACGGACGGTATATTTTCTTACAGACAATCAGTGTATAACGCATCATCTTCCATAAAAATATTACGTGAGAAAGTGGAAAGCGAAATGAAAGAGAGACAGAGAGAGAGAGAGATAGAGATGATAAGTCTTAAAAATATATAAAAATATAAAATGCGATTCATTTATATATTCTGCTCGAAATTATTGAAAGAAAGAAGCATTCTTATATAATTTGAGAATGTAAATTTTACTTATGAACTTTAATAGTAACAGTAGTTTTCGAATTCCAATACATCTTCTTTCTTTCTAGGAAATTTTACTTATTTATTACTTAATTAATAATTAATATTGTTATCGCACGTAGTAATAAGCAGATGATTATGCAATATAATAAAACAAAGTATTAATTTTTTTTTCTTTTAATTTACAGCTACCAGTGGTGGATCCCTTCCTGGAGAAAGTCTCACTCTCCGATCTTGGTAAGTTAATTATTTTCTCTTAAGTTTTTTGTAATAAAAGTGATACCCCTTTTGAATGTCACTACAGAAGGGATTACAAAGTTTTTTCTTGTGTGAGGGACACTTTGTAAACCACTGTAATTTAATTTAACTAAAAATCTCGAATCGAAAGAACCTTACTCTATATTAATTACATCTAAATGTAATTGAAATAATTATGAAAGAAATAAATTGCAAATTCTTAAAGCACGGAATCACACGCATGCGTAAAAAAAATTTGGTTAACTCGATCTTGAAGGATGTCGATATTGAATATTAAATAAATGGATGCTGCAATGTTAAGAGAAGTCTCTATCGAAATAATGAATTTCACATCAACGTCTTCGACGTTAAAGAAGAAGGCTAATAATGAAAAAATTGGGCAAAAATTCTCGAACAAATTAATTTTGCGATGCCAAGTGATGGAAACGATTGAAATTGTTCGAGACTTTACGCAACTCGTTATTCTTTCTCCACTTGTTTAATTAATTAATTTGTTAATTAATTAAGAAAATTGAAAATTATATAGACGACTCGTAAAGAATTTCTATAATTTTTAGTATAATATTTAAGTGACGATAAATTTGTTAAGCAACAAAATAGTGTTTACATCTTAATGGATACGTTGTTCGAGTAATAACGTCGCAGCAGCTTCTTCCACGTGTTTTGTAAACTCCTATAGCTCTCCCCTTGAAATTGTGGTACTAGGTCTTCTGACATACCCTAGTGTACGGTCGCGATCGATGAGTTCCCGGGAGGCCAGCTGGCATTAAAGGGCGAGAGAGAGAGGGATTCGCGATACAGCTTCGCTTCATCGTACACTCGCATTCTACGTTGCACTCGCATCTGCACTTCCCATCTAGGTCTAGGTCATACGGGGGTGGGCGGATTACATATATTACAAAGTTATTACAGACGAAATTTACGTTCATTTCTTTCAATTTTTAATTTGTTATCTTAATCTTGGCGATCTCGACTTTATTAATAATATTAATATCTTTACATCGCACGTAGATCGAATTCGAAGTATGACCAAGAAATAAAATCTGAAAAGGGAATGTAGCGTTAATATATTCGATAGGACGAAGGACAACGCGTGTGTAAAATCAGAGCAGTCTCTCGACTTTACCAACAAGTAATTTGGAGTCTACTATCTCTGCTAGGGTGTTTCTCGATCACGCCCAAGCGCGATTTGTTTAGTTATTAAAAACAAATATCCCGAGGAAAGAAAGTGGTGCGAAGCTCGGTGCAAGCGCGCTCTTTTCGTTTTGGCAAGACGTACCAGTCATCTCGGGCTCGGTTATTCTTGGCACGATGCTTGAGGATGACGATAAAGAAATAGAAACTAGCGCAAGAGAGAAAGAGATTGATAAAAGAGTAAGACCCGAAGCGACTAGTAGACAGTCGTTGCGTTTGTCGGCGACGAAGCTGACGCTTCTCGAGAGCTACCTCGCGGAGGACAATAAAGAGGGTGAAAATTCGACATTGTTAAATTCATAAGAAGGAGATTCCAGATTCTGATGAGAAGATTTTCGAAAGAATGAGAAATTGAAAAAAAAAAAGAAAACTTCATCAATGTTGTACTAATGCAAGACGTGCCAGCCACATAATGAGTATGTTGATCTTTCCTCCGGATAAAGGGCATTCATATGAAAGAAATCTTTTCAGACGGGACCAATTACGAATATTTGGGACAATTTGTTGTAATCGTTGAGACGGTTCAACCTCGGAGTTTCTACGATGTCAAATAATGCTGACTTTACACTACTACTCAAATTCCGAAAGTGTTCGCGCCGCTTTAAGGCAGGTCACGGCTGCCTGGTGGAGTCAGGATGACGATCCCGTGTACTCGAAAGATCTCATCAAGGAATTTGAAATGGAGAACCCACCTCTCGAGGACGAGCTCGCTTGGATTCTCTCCAAAGGTATCGCGCGCAATCATTACGGGATTGCCAAGTTGTAAAGAATATCGAGGAGGAATAAATACTTAGAAGGTTTATATTATATGTGAAATTTATTTTAAATCGCGCTTCTTTTACTCAAAGCCAATGTCAACATTGGTGAATCTCGAGAGATTCCGCACACGTTATTAAATTGTTTTATTAATATGGAGTACAATTGACTGAAAACAATAAAACACAACAAATGCAATAAAACAATAATTGATACGAATACGGTGTTGTAAAGAGAATCTCGTGTTTTCATTTTTTGAATATGTCGATTATATTATAATTTAATTCAAACAAATTCTCAATTAAATTTGCTTGTAATATAATAAAGAGAAAGATCGCGCATTCTGAGAATGTTTATTATAATTAAAATCTCATCTGAGAAGGCAAAATGTATAGGGTTTCTTTCACGTAACGAAATATTGTAAACAGCAAGAGAATTTTTCCATGTAACATACGTGTAATGTCTGCGTGCATTCCCTTCAACCCGGATGCATTTCATGCCACGTTTACACATACACGCGTGCATCAACATGCGAATCGATGTATGTATCATCAGCTCGCTCACTTGGTTTGCCTCAGCTCTATACGTTTCCAATTCCGTCACATTCTTCTTCACCTCTCTAACCAGTCGTGCCGCAATCGTGTTCCATAATACCTATGTACATTTCTAACGGGTCTTGGATCTCCTTAGTCAGTACCGAGACTCCTTTAACATCGGTACCTTGAAAGAAACTATACTGAACACTTCCCAAACGTTGCGCATTGTGTAATAATTGTGAAATTGTTGGTGTCTTGGTGTTTTCTAATTACTGATCCGCGTGTCTTCTCTCTGTGTGCATATAGAAATTAGTGGACGGGTTCTCTTTAGATAATTTCCATTTTTTTCTTTGCTTTTTTATAAAAAAAAATAATTTAATTTACATAATAATAATAGTTGTTCGTGGATTTGAGCTTTCCTTCTTTCATAACGTTATGTATGACTAATATATGTAAGAGTTTCATCATTTCTTTCTTAGTATAACTCATTGTTTTCAACGAAACTGTGTATTAGCAGCATATCTTTTTTTATCTGTCTTGTATGTAAATGTTGCAATTCTTTCTTTATCATCTATTATATATTTTAAAATATCCAGCTTCCTACTCAGACATTTTATAAATATTATTGTTCTTATATAATCGAGATTTTGAAATGCTTAATCGCAATTTATCGATCATTCAATCGAGTTTCATTACTGCATCGTATAATATCGTTAGTTCTATGAGAGCTTTAAATTAGGCCATTGATATCCGTGTTACATTATCAAACGAAAGATGCAGATTAATAGATTTTAGATATTTATTATATTTCAATTGTGAACTTTATTAGCCTGGCAAAAGTGATTTTATTGACAATTAGTGTAGTGGATTTGTTCAAATTGATAAAAAATTGTGGAATGATCAAAACGAAATGACTTTTCTCGCTTAAATGTTCATTACAGTGACGAAAATCTATGCACACATTATTCTATAATTAATTAAATTAATAAAATATTAGGCAGAGACAAATAATCCCTACATAATAAACTGAGCGCCTTCGATACAAGTTTCTACGAGTATAAATCTTAGGATACACACGCTGTGTGATTTTTGCACGTCTCGAAAATGCTTCGTCGAAATCAAAAGGCTCTTCTCTACTGTCAACTATTTGGGGTTTCAGAGGAGGACGAGTCGCAGATCTTTGTTAAATTCTTCAAGTTTCACAAATGTTACGACCTAATACCGACCAGCGCCAAACTAGTCGTCTTTGACACTCATCTACTCGTTAAAAAGGCCTTCTTCGCTCTCGTCTATAATGGTGAGTTTGTGCTTGTATAAGAGAAATTTATAATTTTATTACATGAGAGAAGCAGCGCTCTTAATAACATATCGAAATATTTTCAGGTGTAAGAGCCGCGCCGTTATGGGACAGTTCTCGACAACAGTTTATAGGCATGTTAACTATAACGGATTTCATAAAAATACTCCAAATGTATTATACCAGTCCGTCAGTGACAATGGACGAGTTGGAAGAGCACGAATTGGATACATGGAGAAGTAAGAATTTTTTTTCAAGACATAATTATGCTTCAAATTTTAGAACAATATTTATAATTATATACATATATATATATTTATATTTTGTCGTTTAAAAAAATAGCTTCTGGTCGAGAGCGTTGAGAAATTTATATTTGGAAACCTGTTGATTTCAGAAGTTCTAAAAGATCAAGTTCATCCTCTTGTGAGCATAGGACCAGATGCGTCGCTGTACGAAGCTATCAGAACCTTGATACAAAATAGAATCCACCGATTGCCTGTGATAGACCCCGATACCGGAAATGTTCTTTATATCTTGACACATAAACGAATACTTAGGTTTCTTTTCCTATATGTGAGTATGCATATTCTTCTCTTTTTGTCTCATGAATTAATTAATGTCTATCTATTTTAATCTCAAACTCATAAATTACAGATCAACGAGTTACCAAAACCATCTTTCACCAATAAAACGTTGAGGGAGTTGAGGATAGGCACTTTTGAAAATATAGAAACAGCTACGGAAGAGACTAGTATAATTTTAGCTTTGAAAAAATTTGTAGAAAGGAGAGTTTCGGCATTACCAATTGTCGATTCTGAAGGAAAATTAGTGAACATTTATTCAAAGTTTGATGTTATTGTAAGTTGCATTTTTAAATTCATATCTGTATAAGAGATTGTATATACATAATGTACAGACGTTTATATATAATATATATATATATATTTATTTTTTTTTTCCAGAACTTGGCTGCGGAAAAGACATACAATAATTTAGACGTTTCTCTGCGCGAAGCAAACGAACATCGCAATGAATGGTTTGAAGGTGTCCAAAGTTGCAAATTAAATGAAACATTGTTTACTATAATGGAAAGGATTGTTAGAGCGGAAGTAAGGAAGAATCCTTTCAATATTTATATTTTCTGAGTATAATGTTCTTGAAAGAGAGAATGTTAAAACCATTAAAAAGATTAAATAAGGCTTACATTTTTTCTGTTTTATGTCTTTTTAGGTTCATAGATTAGTAGTGATCGACGATGACGATAAAGTGATTGGTATAATATCTCTCTCTGACCTGCTCTTCTACCTCGTTCTTAGGCCTTGCGGTACGTCTATTTTTTTAACAAGTTTTTTACAAGTAATTTATAATAATTATAGATTCTTTTTATTTTTAGAATTATAGATTTAAGGTATAATTATATTAAACAACTTGTTTTTCAATTTTTTATACTGAAACTTGTATTTTATTTATTTATTTTATTTATTTATTTATTTATTTATTTTTTCTCTAACGGTATTATATTACGTTTACAGTCAAAATTGAATGTTTTGGTTTGGAGTAAATTATGGAACATGATTTAATTTTTGCCAGATTCTCTTCTTATATTCACATTCTTATTTATTGGTTTCAGGTGAGGATGCTAGTAGCAATAAAGATAGTTCTATTTCTTTGCGAGCGCACGATTCTCTTCTGTCGAAGGCTCTCAGCTCCGCGCAGTCGGAAACATCGCTTCCCGTCGGCGAAGTCGAGCAGCAGGATGCCGTCGAGACAGTGGATCGTAATCGATCTGAAGAAGCGCCCGCGACACCTAGTCCACCGCTTAGTCCGGTCACGTCGGATCTCTCGGAGCCCCAGTCGACATTAGTGAATCAAAGTCAAGATGCAGCGTGGCGGGACGTGATAAACATTTGTGTCTCGGGTGTCTCAGGTGGAGAATGAGATGTCGTTCTTTTCACGTGCCGCCACGCATGATTAATCTCTGAACTGAATCACTGTTGTTTTAAGTACAACCGTGGACTGTAATAACATAAGGACTGAATATTTGTACATGCATTGGTACATGTCCTTTGTTGTTATCGCTCATACTCTTTACGAGTATATGAGTAAAAGTTGATTAACGACTCGCGCTAGAAAAGAAAGGAAAGGAAAAAAGAGAGAGGTATATGTATGTGAAAGATACCAGTTTAAAAAATTTAAGACGTGGGGCGCAATAGTCGCAGTAAAAGAAAGATCGCTGGGCGCAATGTATGATGTAACAAACACGTGATGAGATCTATAATGTAAAATTACTTAAGCTTAATTTTTTATGGTACAAATGCTACACAGACATGCTATACATTAGACATTTGAGCTTTTTGCCAGGGACGATAGATAGCTGCGCCATTATTTGCTCAGAATACAATTCTCTGCGCCCTTCAATGATCGAGCACTCAGAGGAACGATGAATTTCGAAAAAAAAACGAGTTTTGGAAGAATGATGAAAAGTCTTGAAGATATCCCAGTTTAATCATGATTATATTGTTTATATTACACAATGTGTGTTTAATTCATCTTTTGTATAATAATATATTACAAAATAATATAATAAATGATCTGTAAATATTCTTTTTGATCGTACGTAATTGGGATATGTCAAGACTAAAAAGAAATTAACTCTACAGAAAGAATTCTTTTTGTAAAAAATGAATTTGTTATACGCTGCAAAGTCTTTCATATTTTTTTGACTAATATATATCGTCAATTTAATTATAAATTTAAATTTCTTCCTTTGTTAAAACCCATTTTTCTCTTTTATCTTATCAATGTCTCTTAAAGATGTTCTAGCAAATATCTTTAATTACTGATCTTGCATATTGAACAGATCATTTTAGCATCATTGATAACTTATTGAGAAATACATATTCTGATGATGATAAAAAAGCTTTAGTCATCAATGGTATGTATGGTGTGGCATTAAAGTTTTATTGCCATGTATTTCAAAATTTTCTTTTTACCTAAATAATGAGCAAAACCCTGTTATTATATAAATGATTATTATCGTGTTATATAAATGATTATTATCGTGAAGAAAATACAAATTATGATATAAAAAATTTTTTTATCAGACTATATAGATATATCTTTTGCATGAAATAGTTTTACAATAGATTGGGAAAAGCGCTCTTATATAGTCGAAGATGATAACGATTCAGAGAGAAAACTTTTATTTAAAATTATGTAAAATCTTTTACATGTAAAATGTAAATTTTATACTATTTGATGCCAATCTTATTCGTTTTCATATTTATATTAAAAATGCAAGTTTTGTTATAAGGATAGTTACTCGATTTTGAAGGGGATAGTGCCTGTAAATGTAGTAAATGTATATAAATATATCTTTAAAGAGAAAGACACGTGGTCAGACATGGAATACAAATATAAATATTCTATTTGAGATGTAAGTGCAGTCGCGGGGAATACAAGTTAAACATTAGTATTAATTAACAGGAAGCATAGTTTGAACAAAGATTTTTGTACAGCTGAAAAGTACTATTTAATGTGCTGTAGTCGCGAGCGTTGTTTTATTTATTTTGTTTCTTTAGCGCAATATGCGTTTGTTGAAACATCTTGCGAGTTGCCACATTTTACCATCTTCTACTTAAAGTTACTAAAAATTATGCTGTAATGTGCAGTGTACACTGCAAACTTGGCTTTGACACAACTTGTTACTTGTTGAGGGCACAGTAGAAATAGTCGGAGAAAATATTTAGCGCTTCTCTTCATTCTATATAATATTAGTGAGACGAATTGAGAAGAATAAGCGATTGAACTCGGTACACGCTGAATCTAAGAACCAAAATAAGAACTATTGATAAAATATTAATGATAATTGTACAATAAATAATCAACAAATAATGCTTTTATGCATTACACAATTATAATTGAACTGATGTTTGGCATATTATCCCTGTTCCTTGTTCAATCCTTGTTTCTTTTTTAAGGTTTAAAACGTGAGACGACAGTCTTACCAAATAACAATATATACCTATATATTAAACTGTCGTCTCGCGTTTTGAACCTTAAAGACACACACACACACACACAGAATGTTTTATTTAATTACGACTTTCTCTATATTTCTTTCCTCTCTAGTTATACTTTCGAATTCACATAATTGATTGAGAAGATTCTAAATTTTGAATAATTTTAAAATAACTCGAAATATATTAAGGTTTTTGTTGAAAAGAGAATAATCTATGCATAAGCCAAAGTACCGTAATCTAAAATAAATTTTGTATAATTTCTGATTCGAGTATCGAAAAGACAAAATTTATAAAGTGTGAGGACGAATTTACAATACACAGGTACACGCGTATTTTTATAAGAGATTTAAAATTTCTTATTTATTTAAAATCACGTTGACAAATATTATTTAGAACCATGCTCGAGTCTTGCTTCCATAAAGAAATCCGATCTCATTATCAGAGACGTTAATCTTGATGTTAAGTAAATCTACAATATAAAATAAAATACGGATTAGAAATTTTTATGGCGTTTTAAATGACATTTTGTCATGCTTTGGCAAAAAAAAAAAAGAAAGAAATTACTTTTTTCAAGAGTTCTTTTGTAAAGATATGATGTATCCTCAAATATCTATCGAGACTAACGCTTGCAACATATGGATTATTCATACTGCAAGCTATCCCGGTTACACCGCCGGCAAATCCTTTGTATGTATTTAATACAGTGCTTGATTTTCTTAGATCAATGAGGTTCATCCTGCCTTTACCCGATCCCACTATAATATGTCTATAAAACATACATATCAATTATGACATGTTTATGGAAAAAAATAGATAATTCACAGACACTTGTATATAAGACCTACTTTTCTTTAGACGTCATGCTTAAGCAAGTCAAAGCTTCATCTTTAATTGTTAAATTTATTACAGGACGTCTTTGAACATGTGGATCATATAAGCGTACCTGTATAAAATCATTCGTGTATCAATAATGTCTTTTTTTTTATTGTAAATAAGATTGTAAAATTAGTAAAATGTATGTAAAATTAGTTTTATAAAAAAAATTGTATTTACATGCCCATATCTGCCGACTGTGACTATCTGTTTGGTTCCTGGCAAAAAATTCAGATCCGATATCCAAATAGGTACTCTTAATTCCAGCGAGTCATGTGGAAGATTTTTTTCACTAAATATTAGCTTTTGCTTTTCTAAATCAAATAATTTCAGCCTATTTTCCAGCCCTCCAGTTGCTATTATGGTTTTTTCCATATGTGAATGACACATTCCATTCAAATTTTCTCCAGCGTTTATTAATACCTCCTCTTTTCTGTCAAATGGCCATAAACTTATTTGTCCAGATTTGACCGCTGTTAAAATCGATCTGACAAAATCAAATTATATTAATAAATACTATTGATGCACATATCAATATATAAAATATATCTTTTAATTTTTAAATAACCTTTACCTGTCATATTTTGCTATGCCTATGATACTTCCTTGGCCTGTATTACAAGGAAACGAACATGTAAATGCTAAACTCTCGGAGTCGTATATTTTTACTCTGTAAGAATCATAAGTCACAAAGAAATTTTATTTTATTTAAAGAAGTAAAAATCAAACATTCTTTTATTATAATTGTGCACATGTTACCTTTTGTTTTCCTTTGTACCACATGCTATTAGAACTTCTTGTTCATCATTGTCGCCCCACGCGACAGTGGTCACTCGATCATTTTCCGTAATAGAGACCAAGTCTTGTATATTTTTAATTATGTCCGTTTTTCCTCCAATTTTTATTCCTGCACAATTTACATTTTATATGCAAATAAACAATATATATTCAGCTAAATGTAAAATATATATAAAACTGTAAGTTGTATAACCTATAATTTTTTATTTATAATAATGCATTTACAAAATTTATGTCATTACCTTTAAAAACACCCGATTTTCCGCCTACGAAAATATTAAAATTTTCCTTGTAACTCATTATGAGTGCGGAGAGCGAGGAATTTATTTACCTACAACACAACCTACAATCCTCCTTGCATGGTAAGTCGATTACTCGAATATATCGAAGCGTTGAAGCCTCTTTTCTGCGATGTTGATTGGATGCTTGCGATATACGTATTAGTCATTTACTTATACGTTTTGATAACAGCTAATGAAATTTTGTAATAGTTTGTTTTTCATGGCACAATAACAAATTGAATAATTTTGATGCATCACAAACGATGTTCCGAAAGCATATGATCCGTAAAGCGGTTTAGCCAAGAAGCTCAACGAACAAGTGAAATCGTCCAATCGCTCTGGAACGAATTTGTTGGATGTATTCGAGGATGTTTATTATTTTACGTGAAAGCTTATTGTTGACTCAGTATTGGAAATAAATTCTGGAAATGTGATGATTTTGTAATATCCATCTAGTCTTTATATCAAATTTGTAAAATGAAATACTTGTGACATCCGCTCGCAGTAAGTATTTATATTATATAGAGTGACCTAAATGTAGTAACTGCATAGCATTGAATTATTCAGTATAATTGCAATGTAATTTGTAAAATATATGTATAGCATACAATCACTAATGAATGCTATAAATATTTAAATATTGCAATGTATATTTTTTTCAAACAGATAAAAAGCTTAACGTTCTCTCTCTTTCTGTTTATAGGTTTTATATGAGATGATGCGACTGAATTTCAAAACAGTCTTGCTTGTATTGGTTGTCGCAACACTGAGTTTTTTACTCACATCATGGAATAATTGCGGAAGTGGTTTGCTCTTTCATACTGCAGATTGGAAGACAAAATACCAGCATAAAGTGAGAAAACATTGATATCTTTTTTTTCTAGTAGATTTGCAGTTGATACATATAATACAACAAACTTATAACAAGACTAAACTTTAATGTATTATTTTGTATTGATTTACGTTTAGATATGTACATTTTATTTATACATTTTTTTTATTTTGATGTAGGATCGTTTAAGTACAGAATCGGGATATCAAGAAATAGATTGTCATATAAATGGCGATTATTCGATAGGATGTCGTAAAGAAGGTGACGAAGTATACATACCATTTTCATTTATTCATAAATACTTTGAGGTAAGTTAAGTTTATCGTGTTAATGTTTTTTTCATGATATTAGGTAGATTACAATAATTTGATGGGTATATAACATTGTAGATCTATGGAAAATTAGCTACTTACGATGGTCTGGAAAGATTTGAATGGTTGCACAGTTATTCAAAGATTGTGAATCCTAAGGGAAAATATGATTCTCGAGGTGTATTTATGACTTTTGAAAATTACAATGTTGAAGTGAGGGATAGAGTTAAATGTATTAGCGGCATCGACGGTGTACCTATATCGACACAGTGGGAGAGTCAGGGGTACCATTATCCCACACAAATTGCTCAATTTGGATTATCGCATTATAGTAAAAATTTAACCGAACCAGAGCCGCATAGAAAAATTATTGAGGATGCCGATAAAATTAAACAAAATTGGAATGTTCCTCAAGGCTCGATTATGAGCAGAGTGTACGACAAGCAAGTTAATAGTTTTGTTTTAAAATTTGCAACACCAGAAACTAGCATTTCTGGGATTTCTTTAACATTAGATCACGTGCTGGATTTCGTTTTAAAATGGGATCTCAATATTAAAGATAATGGAAGTATTACAGTTGTATTAGAGTCAAGAGAGAAAAAGGAAACATATTATCTTCGCTATGTTACCAGCAATACAGTATTGCATAATTATAATAATCGTGTATATTATGGAATTGGTCTAGCTAATCATCAGTGGAGACGTCTTACTAGAGACCTTTTAATAGACTTACAAAAAGGTCTTTATTTAAATGATAAAAGTAGAAAGAAATTACCCCGATCCAAGTTGAAGGTGCGTGTTAAATTTTTTACATTATTTTACTAGGCATATCTTTTTAGGAAATATTGTGTTAATATTATTTGTCTGTATGTGCGTGTGTATAATAATCATGTCTGTACCTTAGGTAGTTAAAATTATTTTGTATGGTTCCGGTATGATTGACAATATGACATTGTCGACCAGCGAACATATGGAGCAATTTTACGATGCGGCAAGATGGTTTGTTGCTAATCAAAATGTTACTTCTGGTGGTTGGCCGAACCCCGTTAAGAGAAAAGTAGCGCCTGGAATGGCTATCCTTGAGCCTGGATGGTATTATTCTTATTAGGCATATTTATCATGTAACAGTATAATATTGATGAAAATAATTTTACAAAGAAATATACGAATTACAGGTATTCCAGCATGGGTCAGGGTCATGCAATATCAGTGCTGGCGCGCGCATATTATCATTCTGGGGATGCAAAGTACTTACAAGCCGCTATTAGAGGCTTGCGACCTTTTAGACTGTCTTCTGCTAAAGGAGGAGTGGCTGCAATGTTTTTAGATAAATATATCTGGTACGAGGAGTATCCTACAATTCCCTCCTCTTTCATTCTCAATGGTTTCATTTATTCGCTCATCGGTCTCTACGACTTGAAAATGATAGCGACAGCTAAAGACGCGGAAGAAGCGTCCAGACTCTTCAATCAGGGTATGACGTCGTTGAAAAACATGTTAATGTTATACGACACCGGTTCAGGTACAATATACGATTTACGTCATTTCACTTTAAAGACAGCACCCAATTTGGCTAGATGGGATTACCATTCTACTCACATTAATCAACTTCTTCTTCTAAATTCTATCGACAATGATCCTATTTTTATCACGACCGCGGAAAGATGGATAGGTTACATGAATGGCAAAAGAGCGGCACACAATTGACCCACTCTTTTAGATAGAATATTTATTTCATCCCTTTCTTTTTCTCATTATTTATTTATTTCAATCATTTTCTTATGTTTTACAGAATTCTTTTTATAGAAACATACTTTTGTATCTTAATGTTTCCTTAAAAACTCTGAGACACTCTGAGAGACATACTCTGTTTTACACATGTAATATAATTTTTATAATACTGCTATATTAGTCGCGTGAATGTAAACATGAAGTAAATGTGAGATTTGACACTATTTGATAAATTAATATCTATTAATATTGTATATAGTTTGAGAAAAATAACAATAGGATTTATGTCTATATTTGTAAAAAGTGAGGAATTCATAAATCTGTAATACTGAAACGGACGACGATATCTCTGTTTAAAAATTGACAAATTTCGCTATATAATGGTGCTGCCAATAATTGTAATAATACATATATATATAAATTATAATAATACATATATTACAATTATTACATTTTACACATATATAAAATCAATAATTGTAATATATATATATATATATATATATACATTTATATAGCGTGATTCTTTTGTAGCGCAAATGTGACATATTGTAATACACAAGATTATTATTTATTTTTTTAATAGTACACACTGGCAAGCAATTTGTCCTAAATTTCCCCGCTAGTTTTATAACCATTGTGCATTCCATTGACTAAATATGTGCATAAAGTTGAATTCTGCAATAAAAATTGTTTAGAGACATAATTAAACATAGTTTGTATTTTTTAAACATAGGTATTATAGTATTGCACAAATTTCTTTTTAATATAAGATTATAAAAATGTTGTGTATATGTAGAGACATATATTAAATCTATGTACGTAAGAATACAAGAACAAAAAATGATAGCGAAAATGGGCAGAAGTTCATCTTTATATTATACTGAGATATATTAAGATATATGATATAAATCGCGCGTCTATGCATTTATTTTTATATTAAAAGTTTAAACAGTAAGTCTGCGACCAGCCGCAATTGTAGAAAAAAATATATAGAACACTTTATTGAGAGATCTATGGTGAACACAGAAAAAATAGCATAGTATTATGTTATAAAAAAATAGATTGCTCTGTTACTATCGTTTATTAGAATAGAGACGCGGTCACTTTCTCGCATCTTACGCAAAAAAATATGCGTGCAACTATAAATTAAGAGTAAATAATTGATAAAATTAAACGAGAGAGAAAGAGAGAGTCGAGTATTTAAAAAAAGTGGAATCGGTGGTACCGTTTTGTGACTAGTAACGGTAACGATAGGCGCGGCCGTAATTGTACACCGATTTACTCTCGATCGGATTACAGGTATAAAGAGCGTCGCCTCTGGTTCCCTGCGGACACGTGCAGACTGCGATATGATGTCGAGGAGTACACGTAGCGCTCGGACCGCATTCGCGACCAGTGCACGGGTTGCTGCACGTGTAGTCAATACACGCGCGATTGTCGGAACAATCGCTGTCGGTGAAGCACTCCCCACGTTGACAGCTCGTCAGGGCGTTGCCGATGTAACCGTTGGGACACGTGCACACCGGCCTCTCCCTTCCGGTATTATCGTGGCCTGGAGTGCAAATCGCGTTCGAGCCGCAAGGATTCGGCTCGCAGAGATCACCTGAAAGCATAGAGACATGTTTTCTCTTTCCTTTTCTTCTCGACTCTGCCAATTAATAAGCAGGCAGAAATTAAGAGGAATATTGGCAACTTGACAGTCGCTGCTCGCTTACGCGGTTCGAATAATCTGCAGCTAACGAAAGGATTGCCAGTCATGTGCCTCGGACAGCTACAAACGGGTGTGATTCCGCGTAGGTTGCAGTCGGCGTTCACTCCGCAAACGCCATCGCACGGATTCACGCATTTTTGATAGAGACAGGCAGGTTTCGACGGTGGACACTCGGAGTGGGCGGTGCACTCCGGTCGACAGGAGACGTACGGATTTCCCACCCATGTCTGGAGCAAAAAATAACAGATCGTATATGGGATTTTGTTTCGTCATCCGGAGTCGCTTAGTCAGACTTGTAGATCTATTCTCTCGTCGAAGGATAAGGATATCTTACTTTTGGGCATGTACACTTTGCTTGGTGGTTTACGACTTCGCATTCCGCGTTGTCTCCGCATTTGCAGGGGCTCTCGCATCTGAACGATGACGAACACGCGAGATGTTGAGGGCACTCGCTGTCGGTCTCGCATTCGTGACGACATCCAGCCAAGGGGGATCCTCTGTAACCATGTAGACAAGTGCACACTGGCACTTGGTTGATCACCTCGCACTGAGTATTCTCCCCGCACGGACTTGGTTTGCAAGCTGCTTCTATATATCGGGCATCGAATATTTCTTTGATGATACCTCGCATTTTGGTTGTTTCAATTGAAAGTTTTATACATACGAGGATCCGAAACTTGACAACCCGAGAACGGATCACCATCGTGTCCTGGTAGGCACTGGCAGGTTCCTATGTGGTTTCTGGTCACACAATTCGCATTTACGCCGCATAGTCCCACGCAAGGATCGACACACCTGTTATTTGTACATACTCTGTTGTATGGGCAATCGTCGTTGACTGAAACATTGATAAACGTATTAAATAACGCTGTATCGACTTATGTAAATTTAATTCAAACAAGAGACATTATACATATATTCTCTTTGTTCTACAAAAGGATAATTGGAGGACATAATTGTAGTAGATTTACTCACTTAAACATTCAACCCGGACGCATCGCGCAAGAGGGTCCCCCATATGTAGATTGTAGCAGGAACATACTGGCCGTCCTTCGCTCATTGTACATCTCGCGTTGACTCCACACGTGTAGCTTTCGCAACCGCCTATAAACAGAATGACTCAGTATTAATGGCCATTAAATGGTTTGCGTAATATAAATATAACTTACCAGACGCAACAATTCGCGACTGAATATACTGACTGCCGTTGATCATCACGACGAATGGAAGAATGAGCAAGGCTGCGGCTTGCGAGTAATGCATTTTGCTGCTATTTTCTCTGTGCGCACAACAGTAATAATAATTTGATGGTGAAATAAAAAAATCTCATAACAAATCTTTACTAAATTATAGAAAAATCATATTGAGTAAAATGTTTTACTTTCTTGCGATTAGAGAAAAGTACATAGTAATAGATAGTAATTGTTTTAATAATATAGACGTATTGTGTTGTATATGAAAGAAGAAGCGATTTATAATTTATTCCTAATTGAAAAATACGCATTCTTATTCGAATCTTTAATACAAACCGTGAACATTAAACAATATATATATATATCTAGCAACATCTAACAGTTTTCTTTCAATAACAACTCTGCGTGTTTCAAGATTGCACAATCGGTTAAAATTGATATATTTGTCATTGTTGAGATTTTTCTTTGGAAAAAAAAGATGGAGAAAATATACTTTAGAAATATACTTTTTTCGTATTTTTGTATGACGCAAAAAACAATGAATAGCAGAGAAAAGTTACAATTCACACAGTTAAAGATGGATAAAAATGAAAAAATCCGAGTGAAATGTGCTCACCTTTACTTGCAACTTTATGTTCGGCGGAACCGCAAAGAGAAGACTAACGAATTACCCGCGATCACACAGGATGATGAAGACGCGAGGACCCCACCATATCCAGTATGTGCATGCGACCTTCAGCCCCACTTTAAATTTCGCCCACACACGGCCCTGATTGTTTTTTAAGGTATTCGATAAATTTCGCCTACGCGTTTTTTATAACGCGTTCGATTCCGATTCCCCTTTTTGTCATTATTATTAAGTGCGCGAATTATATTTTAAAATGTTTATAAGTTAAAAGTTAAAGATAAATGGAAAACTAGCACAGACGCAGATGGAAGAGATCATTATCTTCGATTTACAATTACTTAATGCATTACAATGCAATTCCATTTTCGCGTGCAATACAATATGTTAAAACAGGTATGAGTAATCACGTTGCAACTTCGTGCGCAGAGTTCCGTGATGAGAGAACTCATTCCGCGCCAAAAATGGATCTCCACGGATATATGCTTGATCCAACTGCATGCAACGCAATTTAAGTTAGTCTGATTTGTTGTTCAATTATCGTACATCGGTTTATATCGCGTTATAGCTCCTTCAAACTTTTTTTTAAATTGCATAACGCTAATCTAATTGCAAGATTAAAATGTCGATAAAATAAACAGAAAAAGAATGAGTTACATATATGTAAATGTCGCGTGAATAACATATATTATGATAATGAGAGCTATCTGATAATAATCGTATTCTCGGTTTTATTATCGTTTTTACCAATAAAATGTTTCACGAAACGTACAATTATTCGAACAATTATAAATTTTTGTCGAAAATTTTTTTTCTGACGCTTATTAATATGGAACACCGAACGGTAATTCCGAGAATTGTATAAGTTATTCTGCAGATTGTGGACAAAAAGACAAATTCTATTTTATAACGATAATGTATTAAAATTAAAAATGCATTTTCTATGATAAAAGATAACGCTATTTATTTGTCTCATGCATGCATACATACACACACACACCTATAAAAAAAAAACATATACAAGTATATATAAAACTTATCTTATATTTTTAGGAAATTTCATACATAATACACACACACGCGAGCACATTATATATATATATATGTATACATACTTAAATGAAATAACTTTAAATGAATGCACAAATGTTTACTATACAAAACATGTACCAATCGATCAGAAATGAGATATTTTGTTGAAGAATTTATTTAAATTTGAAGATACCAAAACTGAAAATTACAATTTGGAAACATTTCTAGTATTGAATATAAATTCAATAATTTTATACTTTTTAGCTCATCTCGACTAAAAAGTAAAAATGTTTTTCAAAACCCTGTGAAAATAGTGAAGTTGAAAAAAGATTCTTTATATATCATATTTATTTTTTTATATCATATATGAATTATATCTCTTCGTACCTTCAAATCTACTGGATTTATTTTATTATACTCTATATATGCTACATATATGCATATATGTTATTATGCAAACACTAATCATATCTGTACACACGTTAAATTGAAAATTACTCCATGTTTAGCGTGTATTTCTTTCTTATATATTGATATATTTTGCATGTATATATATGTACATGTGTGTGTGTGTGCGCGTGCAATGCTCTGTTCCTACCTTTAAAATGCAGATATTTTGTATTTGGCTTTTAATCTTCATATTGTAGAGTAGAGAGAATTCAATACCTTTCTTTTCTTCTTTTAAACACAAAATTTTTGAATAAGTATTTATAGTGAAATATTTGAGTCGTATAATCTTTACACTGAATTACCCATTTTATCGTGCACTTTACTTTGGTTTGTCTCTCAAAAATTCTTCGTAAGCGGCCGCAATTTCGTCGTCATAATTATCATCCTCAAATTCTTCTTCGGATAATCTGTACACATTACACAATAATAATATTAGTTACTTAGTTTTATAAATAGCATCTTTATTAGAATACAGTGCTAAATAAAAAACGTTGCCACATCAAATATTTATATTACGATATAATGCAACAATATACACACCGTTGATCGTCAAAATCCAATTTGATGTTATCTTGGAGAAATTGACTTTCCTCCGCAGATAGAACTTCGCCGTCAGGGCCATACATTACTGGTGTGTCCAGCTGTCCTTCTTTTAATGGCACAGTGTTAATTCCAAACGAATTATAATTAGATGCACCTAATTGATCCGGTTGTTGCTGTACTTTATTTGACAATGCATTGCTTGTTCCAGATAAATCACAATTAGACACTTTTCTTCCCCAATCTTTCCGTAATTCGTGAACGCTGTTTACCATATTTCCCACATGTGTATCAACTTGCCCATTATTAACCAGTTCTGTTAGGGCTCGCATCATATTTTCCATATCTTTACTCCTACTCTTATCCTTTTCCAATACATGACCTGCCAACTATATATGTACATTAATTAAATCAAGTATGCACACACAAGCACACGCGATAAGTAATAGATAAAAATTATATATAAAATTATCATAGCTATTATATATACTACTTACTTTAAGCGCTTGGCAGATGTATTTGACAGAGGTTGATGCTGGTCTCTGCAATACCATAGTAATAAACCATACTAAAATTTCTCCTAAAATAAAAGCAAAAGATTCATCCATCTGGGCAACCAACTCTGCTAAAAACAATATCAATCCATTGCACTTTTTTTGATCGCGTTCCTCTTCGCTTCGCCTTTGCCAATCGTGTTCTTCGATCCGGGTTTCCAATTTACATCTAACATCCATAACACAATATATCATTCATGTACATATAAACAAAAAAAGATACAATTTTAAAAATAAATTTCAAAAGTATTTAAACTTACTGGAAAAATAATAAATCTCTGAATAACTCTTTGGAGAACATAAATAGTTCTTTGCAGTCTTCTAAAGTATTATCGAGATATTTACAGAACCGGGCTCCATTATATCGAAAATTGCTTTCGGCTATGGACTAAAAATATCAATAAAAAACCAATTAGAACGTTATGTAAAATTACATCGACTTATAAATACATATTTGTAGATGAACATATTACCGATTTGATTATAATTGGCATAACCGCTTGTAAACAGCGCATGTTTCTGTCCCATCTAAGCTTGTTGACAAATGGTGGAATTAAGTCATTGAACTTTGCAGGATTTACAACTACAATATTGATAATGTCATTGAGATGTTGACAAATTTCAAAGTTGTAAGCTTCTTCCTCTTCATTGTGTTCTTCTTCCTTTTTCTAATTAAAATATAACTAGTACATAAAAAAATTCTGAAAATTTCTAAATAATATTAGATCAAGTTTTTACCTTGTTCAAATTGCATCGACTATCTTTATATCTATTATTTCCCATTTGTGGATCTTGTATGTTACACTGTTGTTGCAAAGTAGTTTCAAGAGTATTGTTCTCTGCTGAAACTGATACATTCGGTGGTGTCTCACGAGCGATTCTGATTCTATCTTGTATCGAAGGCTTTGAATATTGATGAATAGATTGCTATGGGCAAATTATTTAGAATTATGAGTATGATTAAATGTTGATGTTGTTAAAGATATGAATATACTTGAATTGCTTACAGGAATAGATGAATTAGATTCTGATAAAGGAGACTGTAAAATGGATCTTGGAACAAACTCAGCCGCTTGTGGTGACAAGGAATATTTCTTTTCTTCCAGATTATGGTCCATAGTTATTGGTGAGGTAGGTCCTAATATGAGAATAATTATTTTCAAGTTAATATACATGACGAATCTATGCAATTGTTGCAATTAAAACTGACCTGTACCAGGCTGATTATGAGCAACTGATGCACAATGTGGTCGCCTGAGTCCCGAATTACTTTGCGACCAGCCACGATGTCCACGTCGAACGCCTTGCCTTCCATCATCCTTATTAGTCTCCTTTTCTCCGAAATTCTCCATCCCCTCTCCTCACAAAAGAAAGCTATCGAACGAAGAAAGGTCCAATTTAGTAGAATCAAATATACGAAAATATCATATACTATGTAGCTTCTCGATATCCAAAGTATATCAAAATCAATGTATCAATTTGCCGTCGCAATTACCGCAATTGCTAGCGATTGTTCGATGATTTAATCGAGACCGATTAATGTGTCGCTAATGAAATATACCTTTGATGATTCAGATTTCACCGCTCGTGTATTCAAGACAGTACGATGCTTATTTTCGTTGTCTTTCGCCAATAAAAATGAGAAAGCTCCGATTGTGCTCGTTACATATAGACATTGTAAATGTAGCTCGTTCTCGATTATACATATTTCCCGTTTATTTTATTCCAGCGCCACACGGTGCAAATAACGATTACACCTAATCAAGATGGTCGCTGTTATGAAGAATTCACACTGCATCGTTCTACGTTTGATATCCAATAGGAAAGTCTCTTCTTTTTAACGATAGTATCTTGGAAAATTTGTTCAAATTTATTATTTCTGAATTACTAGGAGAATATATTTCGTGAAGAGGTATACTGTCCGTGAAGGGCGATCGAGCTAAAACATATTACGCATTTGATTGGCTTAAGGCAATAGCACAGTGCTATGTTAAAATCAAAAGGGACAGACATCCATAAAAGAAGAAGAAAGCGTCTGTCGAACGGATTTCACATCGATTTGTAATTTCTAGTAATCAGTTCTTTGTGCTTTCTCGCAAGAAGATAAATAAATATTCGGCTAGGCGCCATGCCATATCGAGATCGATCTGCGCTAAAGGAAAGTTTCTGTTGACGTGCTCGATTGACAGATATATTGATTGCAGATCGCAGTTGCCTGTGGCTTATTTAAGGTGCCCCTGGTCTCGTTTACTTTTCAATTTTATCTATACATTCAATCAAACCTATTCATCACTTAGGCTGCGTTCGCTTTGACGCTTTCAACGCTATAAGCATCTTTTTGTCTTCGTTGCACATCGAACGTTGCATATCAAACGAAGACAGAAGATGCTTATAGCGCCGAAAGCGTCCAAAACGAACGCAGCCTTATTAACATCTATAACTGGATTCAATTCGACGAACAAACAATTTGATATATATGTCTATTATATTTAGTCTTCTAATTATTTTTTAATTATTCTTCTTATCATGTCTGTTTAAACAATTAAAAAATATATAAGAAAAATAAAGTATGTATATATATATATATATAAATAAATAAAATAGGTATACATATAATATATGTATACACTATTAATATTGATAGGATGCATACGCTATGTGCGAGACAAAGACGAAGATCATTTTACATCGTGAATCGACCTATACAAAGATACGTAGAGTTAGAATTAATAATATAATGATAGTTTATAATTAGATATGTTAAATATACATTAATTATTATACATATTTGAGAATAAACAAACATAAAACAGTATGCAAAATATATTTAAAATTCACAAATATTTATCTCCCTATATATTTATAATATCAAGATGTAATTACTTCTACTTTCTAATAAACATGTAATATTAAAATGATAATAATTGAAGTTGCTTTATTTTTGATATTATTCCTCTTCTTTTATCATTATCAGTTTTCTTTTAAAATACAGTATTTTCTTTCACTAATCCTAATATTATCCTAAATATTATAATTGTTAATGACAACATTAATTGAAACATACCTTGCATTTTTATTATTGTAAATTTTTCACATAATAGCATCATTAACTCGTAAAAATTATTTTGCGTTATTTAATCTAAAACAGGTTATGTCTCATGCGGTCAAGCCTTTAAATATGCTTGAAAAATCGAGTTTGAGTTAATAGGAGAATATATTTTGCAAAGAGGTAGTCGCGCGATAATGCGGCAATAATGCCTCTAAAATGTCCGAAAAATTATTTTGAGTTAACAGGCGAACATGTTGTACGAAGAGCTATTAGGAGTACGCTATTAGGAGACTATATTTTCAAAGAGGTCGTTCAAAATTGACAGTCGGTAAATTATCTACGTTGGTAAATAACTATCATATATAAGTTCTCGCGTTGGTAAGTTACCATCATAATTACAACTCTCTCTCTCTATCTTTAATTTTCAACATAGTTATGTTTCATTTTATTTTTAATATATCTTTATTTCATGTGCGTCCCAGCAATGATATAAACATGATACAATAATATAAAAATCAATATGTAAAATAATATATGCTTTTAACTCATATTATTGTATTTATCTCTCTGAAAAACATTTTCCTTTTTAGAGACTAAATATATTATTTATAATATTCATATATGTATAAATTTTCTTTTTTTTTTTCGAAAATTCAGCGTTTTTATTCTGTCTTTAAACTTCAAATCCAATCCGATTAGAAGCACGCAACTATATTTTTCTCTTGAAATCTTCATTGGCTGTGGAAATACAATTAATTGTATGCGTATTCTGTTTGAGTTATCAATTCCTTCTTGCTAAATAAATAATTTTATACTTACAATATTGTTCAATACTTTTTGTAATACAACTTGATCAAGACCTAATAATTGTTGTAGGACTATAAAATCTTCGAGAAGGGCCTCTAAATCGCGATTAGATTAACTTAATGCAGTATCTCTTTTTCATTCGCATTTCTGACAAATGATTCAAAGATTCCTTCATTCCACGTCTCTAAGAAAGAAATTAATCGAATTTAATTTAAATACGTAATTAAATAAATAATTAATTAAAATTAAAACATAGTCAACTGAACTTGAAAAATATAAAGTGATACTGTCCTTATTTCTAAAGTTTTCATATAAATATTAAAATACATTTTTATTTTATTTTATATAATCAATACTGTGCTATATAAACAATCTCACTTTCTATTCTTTTTTAATATAAATAATACTTTGTAGTAAACTTTTACATAGTACTTCTCAAACAGATATACATGTTTAAAAAATGAATACTTACATGTTTTGTTTCCCTTAAATAATTTTCATCATAAGTAACTTCTGAATTTCCTAATGATCGTTTTTTGAACATGAACATTGTGGGTTCCAATAGTTCCGGACAACTCTCTCAGATTGAAATAAGTGCTCAAAAGTATTATTAAACATTCATCACCTGTTACACAAATTTCTATTTTATATTTATTCATATATATGAAAGAGGAAAAAACATAATTTTTTTCTATAAAGATGAATAAAAAAATACCTGCAAATATATATGTCTCTGTTTGTTGTTTTAGCTTCCTAACAACAAACGTTTTCTCCTGTCAGCCACATAATTTAAATCCATGTGACAGAAATTTGTCTTTAATTGATCAAAGCAATGCATCCAATTTGTTAATGCGATCGCACAATTCGTATGGAAAAACTGACTTATGTAATAATCAGAAAAATGTCTACGTGATACATCTGCACCTCTGTAATCCATACATATGAGTATCCTCATAAGAAATTGCATCTTCCATACATGACATTGATATTCATATCATGTTGCACGAAAAAGAGATTCTAGGCTGAGCTTCTGATTAAAGGCTGCTATTTGCTATAATGAAGTTCTATATTTTCAATTTCCATCCATTGTAAACAGAATTGTAAAGTATGCGATGCAACCAAGACTCTTCCATTGCTTGCGTCAACTCTTTTGTCTGAAAAAAACAATGTGTTAATAAAATCCTTTTTATCATATTATATTTGTTTATACTTACTACTATTATAGTTAGTGGCAAAGAACTGTTTATTTTATTCCACTTAGTAAACGTCTCCATGCAACTGCGTGTAACAATGTAACAAGCTCGACCTATACAAAGATATGTAGAGTTAGAATTAATAATGATAGTTTATACTTAAATTTGTTAAATATACATTAATTATTATACATATTTGAGAATAAACAAACATAAAACAATATGCAATATATATTTAAAATTCACAAATATTTATCTCCCTATATATTTATAATATCAAGATGTAATTACTTATACTTTCTAATAAACATGTAAAATTAAAATGATAATAATTGAAGTTGCTTTATTTTTGATATTATTCCTCTTCTTTTATCTTTATCAGTTTTCTTTTAAAATACAGTATTTTCTTTCACTAATCCTAATATTATCCTAAATATTATAATTGTTAATGACAACATTAATTGAAACATGCCTTGCATTTTTATTATTGTAAATTTTTCACATAATAGCATCATTAACTCGTAAAAATTATTTTGCGTTATTTAATCTAAAACAGGTTATGTCTCATGCGGTCAAGCCTTTAAATATGCTTGAAAAATCGAGTTTGAGTTAATAGGAGAATATATTTTGCAAAGAGGTAGTCGCGCGATAATGCGGCAATAATGCCTCTAAAATGTCCGAAAAATTATTTTGAGTTAACAGGCGAACATGTTGTACGAAGAGCTATTAGGAGTTCGCTATTAGGAGACTATATTTTCAAAGAGGTCGTTCGAAATTGACAGTCGGTAAATTATCTACGTTGGTAAGTAACCATCAAATATAAGTTCTCGCATTGGTAAGTTACCATCATAATTACAAAATCTCTCTCTCTCTATCTTTAATTTTCAACATAGTTATGTTTCATTTTATTTTTAATATATCTTTATTTCATGTGCGTCCCAGCAATGATATAAACATGATACAATAATATAAAAATCAATATGTAAAATAATATATGCTTTTAACTCATATTATTGTATTTATCTCTCTGAAAAACATTTTCCTTTTTAGACACTAAATATATTATTTATAATATTCATATATGTATAAATTTTCTTTTTTTTTTTTTCGAAAATTCAGCGTTTTTATTCTGTCTTTAAACTTCAAATCCAATCCGATTAGAAGCACGCAACTATATTTTTCTCTTGAAATCTTCATTGGCTGTGGAAATACAATTAATTGTATGCGTATTCTGTTTGAGTTATCAATTCCTTCTTGCTAAATAAATAATTTTATACTTACAATATTGTTCAATACTTTTTGTAATACAACTTGATCAAGATCTAATAATTGTTGTAGGACTATAAAATCTTCGAGAAGCGCCTCTAAATCGCGATTAGATAAACTTAATGCAGTATCTCTTTTTCATTCGCATTTCTGACAAATGATTTAAAGATTCCTTCATTCCACGTCTCTAAGAGAGAAATTAATCGAATTTAATTTAAATACGTAATTAAATAAATAATTAATTAAAATTAAAACATAGTCAACTGAACTTGAGGAATATAAAGTGACATTGTCCTTATTTCTAAAGTTTTCATATAAATATTAGAAATACATTTTTATTTTATTTTATATAATCAATACTGTGCTATATAAACAATCTCACTTTCTATTCTTTTTTAATATAAATAATACTTTGTAGTAAACTTTTACATAGTACTTCTCAAACAGATATACATGTTTAAAAAATGAATATACTTACATGTTTTGTTTCCCTTAAATAATTTTCATCATAAGTATCTTCTGAATTTCCTAATGATAGTTTTTTTTAACATACACATTGTGGATTCCAATAGTTCCGGACAACTCTCTCAGATTGAAATAAGTGCTCAAAAGTATTATTAAACATTCATCACCTGTTACACAAATTTCTGTTTTATATTTATTCATATATATGAAAGAGAAAAAAACATAATTTTTTTCTATAAAGATGAATAAAAAAATACCTGCAAGTATATATGTCTCTGTTTGTTGTTTTAACTTCCTAACAACAAACGTTTTCTCCTGTCAGCCACATAATTTAAATCCTTGTGACAGAAATTTGTCTTTAATTGATCAAAGCAATGCATCTAATTTGTTAATGCGATCGTACAATTTGTATGAAAAAACTAACTTATGTAATAATCAGAAAAATGTCTACGTGATACATCTGCACCTCTGTAATCCATACATATGAGTATCCTCATAAGAAATTGCATCTTCCATACATGACATTGATATTCATTTCATGTTGCACGAAAAGGAGATTCTAGGCTGAATTTCTGATTAAAGGCTGCTATTTGCTAAAATGAAGTTCTATATTTTCAATTTCCATCCAATTGTAAACAGAATTGTAAAATATGCGATGCAACCAAGACTCTTCCATTGCTTGCGTCAACTCTTTTGTCTGTAAAAAACAATGTGATAATAAAATCCTTTTTATCATATTATATTTGTTTATACTTACTACTATTATAGTTAGTGGCAAAAAACTGTTTATTTTATTCCACTTAGTAAACATCTCCATGCAACTGCGTGTAACAATGTAACAAGCTCGACCTATACAAAGATACGTAGAGTTAGAATTAATAATAATGATAGTTTATACTTAGATTTGTTAAATATACATTAATTATTATACATATTTGAAAATAAACAAACATATAACAATATGCAAAATATATTTAAAATTCACAAAAATTTATCTCCCTATATATTTATAATATCAAGATGTAATTACTTCTACTTTCTAATAAACATGTAATATTAAAATGATAATAATTGAAGTTACTTTATTTTTGAGATTATTCCTCTTCTTTTATCGTTATCAGTTTTCTTTTAAAATACAGTATTTTCTTTCACTAATCTTAATATTATCCTAAATATTATAATTGTTAACGACAACATTAATTGTAACATACTTTGCATTTTTTATTATTGTAAATTTTTCACTTAATAGCATCATTAACTCGTAAAAATTATTTAATCTAAAACAGGTTATGTCTCATGCGATCAAGCCTTTAAATATGCTTGAAAAATTGAGTTTGAGTTAATAGGAGAATATATTTTGCAAAGAGGTAGTCGCGCGATAATGCGGCAATAATGCCTCTAAAATGTCCGAAAAATTATTTTAAATTAACAGGCGAACATGTTGTACGAAGAGCTATTAGGAGTTCGCTATTAGGAGACTATATTTTCAAAGAGATCGTTCAAAAATGACAGTCGGTAAATTATCAACGTTGGTAAGTTACCATCATATATAAGATGTCGCGTTGGTAAGTTACCATCATAATTACCAACTCTATCTCTCTCTTTAATTTTCAACATAGTTAAGTTTCATTTTATTTTTAATATATCTTTATTTCATGTGCGTCCCAACAATGATAAAAACATAATACAATAATATAAAAATCAATATGTAAAATAATATATGCTTCTAACTCATATTATTGTATTTATCTCCCTGAAAAACATTTTCCTTTTTAGAGACTAAATATATTGTTTATAATATTCATATATGTATAAATTTTCTTTTTTTTTTCGAAAATTCAGCGTTTATGTTCTGTCTTTAAACTTCAAATCCAATCCGATTAGAAGCACGCAACTATATTTTTCTCTTGAAATCTTCATTGGCTGTGGAAATATAATTAATTGTATGCGTATTCTGTTTGAGTTATCAATTCCTTCTTGCTAAATAAATAATTTTATACTTACAATATTGTTCAATACTTTTTGTAATACAGCTTGATCAAGATCTAATAATTGTTGTAGGACTATAAAATCTTCGAGAAGGGCCTCTAAATCGCGATTAGATAAACTTAATGCAGTATCTCTTTTTCATTCGCATTTCTGACAAATGATTTAAAGATTCCTTCATTCCACGTCTCTAAGAAAGAAATTAATCGAATTTAATTTAAATACGTAATTAAATAAATAATTAATTAAAATTAAAACATAGTCAACTGAACTTGAGGAATATAAAGTGATATTGTCCTTATTTCTAAAGTTATCATATAAATATTAAAAAGACATTTTTATTTTATTTTATATAATCAATACTGTGCTATATAAACAATCTCACTTTCTATTCTTTTTTAATATAAATAATACTTTGTAGTAAACTTTTACATAGTATTTCTCAAACAGATATACATGTTTAAAAAATGAATAAACTTACATGTTTTGTTTCCCTTAAATAATTTTCATCATAAGTATCTTCTGAATTTCCTAATGATCGTTTTTTGAACATGAACATTGTGGGTTCCAATAGTTCCGGACAACTCTCTCAGATTGAAATAAGTGCTCAAAAGTATTATTAAACATTCATCACCTGTTACACAAATTTCTGTTTTATATTTATTCATATATATGAAAGAAAAAAAAACATAATTTTTTTCTATAAAGATGAATAAAAAAAATACCTGCAAAATATATATGTCTCTGTTTGTTGTTTTAGCTTCCTAACAACAAACGTTTTCTCCTGTCAGCCACATAATTTAAATCCTTGTGACAGAAATTTGTCTTTAATTTGATCAAAGCAATGCATCCAATTTGTTAATGCGATCGCACAATTTGTATGGAAAAACTGACTTTTGTAATAATCAGAAAAATGTCTACGTGATACATCTGCACCTCTGTAATCCATACATATGCGTATCCTTATAAGAAATTGCATCTTCCATACATGACATTGATATTTATATCATGTTGCATGAAAAGGAGATTCTGGGCTAAATTTCTGATTAAAGGCTGCTATTTGCTATGATGAAGTTCTATATTTTCAATTTTCATCCGATTGTAAACAGAATTGTAAAATATGCGATGCAACCAAGACTCTTCCATTGCTTGCGTCAACTCTTTTGTCTGAAAAAAACAATGTAATAATAAAATCCTTTTTATCATATTATATTTGTTTATACTTACTACTATTATAGTTAGTAGCAGAAAACTGTTTATTTTATTCCACTTAGTAAACGTCTCCATGCAACTGCGTGTAACAATGTAACAAGCTCGACCTATACAAAAATACGTAGTGTTAGAATTAATAATAATGATAGTCTATACTTAAATTTGTTAAATATAAATTAATTATTATACATATTTGAAAATAAACAAACATATAACAATATGCAAAATATATTTAAAAATCACAAATATTTATCTCCCTATATATTTATAATATCAAGATGTAATTACTTCTACTTTCTAATAAACATGTAATATTAAAATGATAATAATTGAAGTTGCTTTATTTTTGAGATTAATCCTCTTTTTTTATCGTTATCAGTTTTCTTTTAAAATACAGTATTTTCTTTCACTAATCCTAATATTATCCTAAATATAATTGTTAACAACATTAATTGTAACATACCTTGCATTTTTTATTATTGTAAATTTTTCACTTAATAGCATCATTAACTCGTAAAAATTATTTTGCATCATTTAATCTAAAACAGGTTATGTCTCATGCGGTTAAGCCTTTAAATATGCTTGAAAAATCGAGTTTGAGTTAATAGGAGAATATATTTTGCAAAGAGGTAGTCGCGCGATAATGCGGCAATAATGTCTCTAAAATGTACGAAAAATTATTTTGAGTTAACAGGCGAACATGTTGCACGAAGAGCTATTAGGAGTTCGCTATTAGGAGACTATATTTTCAAAGAGGTCGTTTGAAAACTTCAGTCGGTAAATTATCAACGTTGGTAAGTTACCATCATATATATGTTGTCGCGTTGGTAAGTTACCATCATAATTACCAACAATTATATCCGACCTTATCTCTTTGAAAATATATTTTCCTAATACCGATCTCTTCGCAAATATATTCTCCTGATCACTACTTCTTCGCCTAATATACTTTCCTATTAACTCAGATGATTTTTCGGACTATTAAAAGACATTTATCGCTACACTGTCGCCACTACCTCTTTGCTAAATATATTTTCCTATTGAATATAAATAAAATATATTATTGAATATAAATATTTGTAATTATTAATTTAAAATTGTAAATTTTTCATTTTCTCATATGGATCTTTTAATACTCAAAAAATTGTCTAAGTTAATAGGAAAATATATTTAGCAAAAAGGTAGTGGCAATAGTGTAGCGATAAATGTCTTCCTCTTTGCAAAATATATTTTCCTATTAACTTAGACGATTTTTTGAGTATTAAAAGATTTATATAAGAAAATGAAAAATTTACAATTTTAAATTAATAATGACAAATATTTATATTCAATAGGAAAATATATTTAGCAAAGAGGTAGTGGCGACAGTGTAGCGATAAATGTCTTCCTCTTTGCTAAATATATTTTTCTATTAACTTAGATGTTTTTTGAGTATTAAAAGATGCATATGAGAAAATAAAAGATTTACAATTTTAAATAAAAAATGACAAATATTTATATTCAATAATATATGTTATTTATATTCAATAGGAAACTATATTTAGCAAAGAGGTAGTGACGATAGTGTAGCGATAAATGTCTTTTAATAGTCCGAAAAATCATCTGAGTTAATAGGAAAGTATATTAGGCGAAGAAGTAGTGATCAGGAGAATATATTTGAGAAGAGATCGGTATTAGGAAAATATATTTTCAAAGAGATAAGGTCGGATATAATTGTTGGTAATTATGATGGTAACTTACCAACGCGACAACTTATATATGATGGTAACTTACCAACGTTGATAATTTACCGACTGTCGTTTTCAAACGACCTCTTTGAAAATATAGTCTCCTAATAGCGAACTCCTAATAGCTCTTCGTGCAACATGTTCGCCTGTTAACTCAAAATAATTTTTCGTACATTTTAGAGACATTATTGCCGCATTATCGCGCGACTACCTCTTTGCAAAATATATTCTCCTATTAACTCAAACTCGATTTTTCAAGCATATTTAAAGGCTTGACCGCATGAGACATAACCTGTTTTAGATTAAATAACGCAAAATAATTTTTACGAGTTAATGATGCTATTATGTGAAAAATTTACAATAATAAAAATGCAAGGCATGTTTCAATTAATGTTGTTAACAATTATATTTAGGATAATATTAGGATTAGTGAAAGAAAATACTGTATTTTAAAAGAAAACTGATAACGATAAAAGAAGAGGAATAATCTCAAAAATAAAGCAACTTCAATTATTATCATTTTAATATTACATGTTTATTAGAAAGTAGAAGTAATTACATCTTGATATTATAAATATATAGGGAGATAAATATTTGTGAATTTTAAATATATTTTGCATATTGTTTTATGTTTGTTTATTTTCAAATATGTATAATAATTAATTTATATTTAACAAATTTAAGTATAAACTATCATTATTATTAATTCTAACTCTACATATTTTTGTATAGGTCGAGCTTGTTACATTGTTACACGCAGTTGCATGGAGACGTTTACTAAGTGGAATAAAATAAACAGTTTTTGCCACTAACTATAATAGTAGTAAGTATAAACAAATATAATATGATAAAAAGGATTTTATTATTACATTGTTTTTTTCAGACAAAAGAGTTGACGCAAGCAATGGAAGAGTCTTGGTTGCATCGCATACTTTACAATTCTGTTTACAATCGGATGAAAATTGAAATATAGAACTTCATCATAGCAAATAGCAGCCTTTAATCAGAAGCTCAGCCCAGAATCTCCTTTTCGTGCAACATGATATGAATATCAATGTCATGTATGGAAGATGCAATTTCTTATAAGGATACTCATATGTATGGATTACAGAGGTGCAGATGTATCACGTAGACATTTTTCTGATTATTACAAAAGTCAGTTTTTCCATACAAATTGTGCGATCGCATTAACAAATTGGATGCATTGCTTTGATCAATTAAAGACAAATTTCTGTCACATGGATTTAAATTATGTGGCTGACAGGAGAAAACGTTTGTTGTTAGGAAGCTAAAACAACAAACAGAGACATATATATATTTTGCAGGTATTTTTTTTATTCATCTTTATAGAAAAAAATTATGTTTTTTTCTCTTTCATATATATGAATAAATATAAAACAGAAATTTGTGTAACAGGTGATGAATGTTTAATAATACTTTTGAGCACTTATTTCAATCTGAGAGAGTTGTCCGGAACTATTGGAACCCACAATGTTCATGTTCAAAAAACGATCATTAGGAAATTCAGAAGATACTTATGATGAAAATTATTTAAGGGAAACAAAACATGTAAGTTTATTCATTTTTTAAACATGTATATCTGTTTGAGAAATACTATGTAAAAGTTTACTACAAAGTATTATTTATATTAAAAAAGAATAGAAAGTGAGATTGTTTATATAGCACAGTATTGATTATATAAAATAAAATAAAAATGTCTTTTTAATATTTATATGAAAACTTTAGAAATAAGGACAATATCACTTTATATTCCTCAAGTTCAGTTGACTATGTTTTAATTTTAATTAATTATTTATTTAATTACGTATTTAAATTAAATTCGATTAATTTCTTTCTTAGAGACGTGGAATGAAGGAATCTTTAAATCATTTGTCAGAAATGCGAATGAAAAAGAGATACTGCATTAAGTTTATCTAATCGCGATTTAGAGGCCCTTCTCGAAGATTTTATAGTCCTACAACAATTATTAGATCTTGATCAAGTTGTATTACAAAAAGTATTGAACAATATTGTAAGTATAAAATTATTTATTTAGCAAGAAGGAATTGATAACTCAAACAGAATACGCATACAATTAATTGTATTTCCACAGCCAATGAAGATTTCAAGAGAAAAATATAGTTGCGTGCTTCTAATCGGATTGGATTTGAAGTTTAAAGACAGAATAAAAACGCTGAATTTTCGAAAAAAAAAAGAAAATTTATACATATATGAATATTATAAATAATATATTTAGTCTCTAAAAAGGAAAATGTTTTTCAGAGAGATAAATACAATAATATGAGTTAAAAGCATATATTATTTTACATATTGATTTTTATATTATTGTATCATGTTTTTATCATTGTTGGGACGCACATGAAATAAAGATATATTAAAAATAAAATGAAACTTAACTATGTTGAAAATTAAAGATAGAGAGATAGAGTTGGTAATTATGATGGTAACTTACCAACGCGACATTTATATATGATGGTAACTTACCAACGTTGATAATTTACCGACTGTCAATTTTGAACGACCTCTTTGAAAATATAGTCTCCTAATAGCGTACTCCTAATAGCTCTTCGTACAACATGTTCGCCTGTTAACTCGAAATAATTTTTCGGACATTTTAGAGGCATTATTGCCGCATTATCGCGCGACTACCTCTTTGCAAAATATATTCTCCTATTAACTCAAACTCGATTTTTCAAGCATATTTAAAGGCTTGACCGCATGAGACATAACCTGTTTTAGATTAAATAACGCAAAATAATTTTTACGAGTTAATGATGCTATTATGTGAAAAATTTACAATAATAAAAATGCAAGGCATGTTTCAATTAATGTTGTCATTAACAATTATAATATTTAGGATAATATTAGGATTAGTGAAAGAAAATACTGTATTTTAAAAGAAAACTGATAAAGATAAAAGAAGAGGAATAATATCAAAAATAAAGCAACTTCAATTATTATCATTTTAATTTTACATGTTTATTAGAAAGTATAAGTAATTACATCTTGATATTATAAATATATAGGGAGATAAATAATATTTGTGAATTATAAATATATATTGCATATTGTTTTATGTTTGTTTATTCTCAAATATGTATAATAATTAATGTATATTTAACAAATTTAAGTATAAACTATCATTATTAATTCTAACTCTACATATCTTTGTATAGGTCGAGCTTGTTACATTGTTACACGCAGTTGCATGGAGACGTTTACTAAGTGGAATAAAATAAACAGTTCTTTGCCACTAACTATAATAGTAGTAAGTATAAACAAATATAATATGATAAAAAGGATTTTATTAACACATTGTTTTTTTCAGACAAAAGAGTTGACGCAAGCAATGGAAGAGTCTTGGTTGCATCGCATACTTTACAATTCTGTTTACAATGGTTTGAAAATTGAAAATATAGAACTTCATTATAGCAAATAGCAGCCTTTAATCAGAAGCTCAGCCAAGAATCTCTTTTTCGTGCAACATGATATGAATATCAATGTCATGTATGGAAGATGCAATTTCTTATGAGGATACTCATATGTATGGATTACAGAGGTGCAGATGTATCACGTAGACATTTTTCTGATTATTACATAAGTCAGTTTTTCCATACGAATTGTGCGATCGCATTAACAAATTGGATGCATTGCTTTGATCAATTAAAGACAAATTTCTGTCACATGGATTTAAATTATGTGGCTGACAGGAGAAAACGTTTGTTGTTAGGAAGCTAAAACAACAAACAGAGACATATATATTTTGCAGGTATTTTTTTTATTCATCTTTATAGAAAAAAATTATGTTTTTTCCTCTTTCATATATATGAATAAATATAAAATAGAAATTTGTGTAACAGGTGATGAATGTTTAATAATACTTTTGAGCACTTATTTCAATCTGAGAGAGTTGTTCGGAACTATTGGAACCCACAATGTTCATGTTCAAAAAACGATCATTAGGAAATTCAGAAGTTACTTATGATGAAAATTATTTAAGGGAAACAAAACATGTAAGTTTATTCATTTTTTAAACATGTATATCTGTTTGAGAAATACTATGTAAAAGTTTACTACAAAGTATTATTTATATTAAAAAAGAATAGAAAGTGAGATTGTTTATATATCACAGTATTGATTATATAAAATAAAATAAAAATGTATTTTTAATATTTATATGAAAACTTTAGAAATAAGGACAGTATCACTTTATATTTTTCAAGTTCAGTTGACTATGTTTTAATTTTAATTAATTATTTATTTAATTACGTATTTAAATTAAATTCGATTAATTTCTTTCTTAGAGACGTGGAATGAAGGAATCTTTGAATCATTTGTCAGAAATGCGAATGAAAAAGAGATACTGCATTAAGTTAATCTAATCGCGATTTAGAGGCCCTTCTCGAAGATTTTATAATCCTACAACAATTATTAGGTCTTGATCAAGTTGTATTACAAAAAGTATTGAACAATATTGTAAGTATAAAATTATTTATTTAGCAAGAAGGAATTGATAACTCAAACAGAATACGCATACAATTAATTGTATTTCCACAGCCAATGAAGATTTCAAGAGAAAAATATAGTTGCGTGCTTCTAATCGGATTGGATTTGAAGTTTAAAGACAGAATAAAAACGCTGAATTTTCGAAAAAAAAAAAGAAAATTTATACATATATGAATATTATAAATAATATATTTAGTCTCTAAAAAGGAAAATGTTTTTCAGAGAGATAAATACAATAATATGAGTTAAAAGCATATATTATTTTACATATTGATTTTTATATTATTGTATCATGTTTATATCATTGCTGGGACGCACATGAAATAAAGATATATTAAAAATAAAATGAAACATAACTATGTTGAAAATTAAAGATAGAGAGAGAGAGTTGGTAATTATGATGGTAACTTACCAACGCGAGAATTTATATATGATAGTTATTTACCAACGTAGATAATTTACCGACTGTCAATTTTGAACGACCTCTTTGAAAATATAGTCTCCTAATAGCGTACTCCTAATAGCTCTTCGTACAACATGTTCGCCTGTTAACTCAAAATAATTTTTCGGACATTTTAGAGGCATTATTGCCGCATTATCGCGCGACTACCTCTTTGCAAAATATATTCTCCTATTAACTCAAACTCGATTTTTCAAGCATATTTAAAGGCTTGACCGCATGAGACATAACCTGTTTTAGATTAAATAACGCAAAATAATTTTTACGAGTTAATGATGCTATTATGTGAAAAATTTACAATAATAAAAATGCAAGGCATGTTTCAATTAATGTTGTCATTAACAATTATAATATTTAGGATAATATTAGGATTAGTGAAAGAAAATACTGTATTTTAAAAGAAAACTGATAAAGATAAAAGAAGAGGAATAATATCAAAAATAAAGCAACTTCAATTATTATCATTTTAATTTTACATGTTTATTAGAAAGTATAAGTAATTACATCTTGATATTATAAATATATAGGGAGATAAATAATATTTGTGAATTATAAATATATATTGCATATTGTTTTATGTTTGTTTATTCTCAAATATGTATAATAATTAATGTATATTTAACAAATTTAAGTATAAACTATCATTATTAATTCTAACTCTACATATCTTTGTATAGGTCGAGCTTGTTACATTGTTACACGCAGTTGCATGGAGACGTTTACTAAGTGGAATAAAATAAACAGTTCTTTGCCACTAATTATAATAGTATTAAGTATAAACAAATATAATATGATAAAAAGGATTTTATTAACACATTGTTTTTTTCAGACAAAAGAGTTGACGCAAGCAATGGAAGAGTCTTGGTTGCATCGCATACTTTACAATTTTGTTTACAATCAGATGGAACTTGAAAGTATAGAACTTCATCACAGCAAATAGCAGCCTTTAATCAGAAGCTCAGCCCAGAATCTCTTTTTCGTGCAACATGATATGAATATCAATGTCATGTATGGAAGATGCAATTTCTTATGAGGATACTCATATGTATGGATTACAGAGGTGCAGATGTATCACGTAGACATTTTTCTGATTATTACAAAAGTCAGTTTTTTCATACGAATTGTGCGATCGCATTAACAAATTGGATGCATTGCTTTGATCAATTAAAGACAAATTTCTGTCACATGGATTTAAATTATGTGGCTGACAGGAGAAAACGTTTGTTGTTAGGAAGCTAAAACAACAAACAGAGACATATATATTTTGCAGGTATTTTTTTTATTCATCTTTATAGAAAAAAATTATGTTTTTTCCTCTTTCATATATATGAATAAATATAAAATAGAAATTTGTGTAACAGGTGATGAATGTTTAATAATACTTTTGAGCACTTATTTCAATCTGAGAGAGTTGTCCGGAACTATTGGAACCCACAATGTTCATGTTCAAAAAACCATCATTAGGAAATTCAGAAGTTACTTATGATGAAAATTATTTAAGGGAAACAAAACATGTAAGTATATTCATTTTTTAAACATGTATATCTGTTTGAGAAGTACTATGTAAAAGTTTACTACAAAGTATTATTTATATTTAAAAAAGAATAGAAAGTGAGATTGTTTATATAGCACAGTATTGATTATATAAAATAAAATAAAAATGTATTTTTAATATTTATATGAAAACTTTAGAAATAAGGACAGTATCACTTTATATTTTTCAAGTTCAGTTGACTATGTTTTAATTTTAATTAATTATTTATTTAATTACGTATTTAAATTAAATTCGATTAATTTCTTTCTTAGAGACGTGGAATGAAGGAATCTTTGAATCATTTGTCAGAAATGCGAATGAAAAAGAGATACTGCATTAAGTTAATCTAATCGCGATTTAGAGGCCCTTCTCGAAGATTTTATAATCCTACAACAATTATTAGGTCTTGATCAAGTTGTATTACAAAAAGTATTGAACAATATTGTAAGTATAAAATTATTTATTTAGCAAGAAGGAATTGATAACTCAAACAGAATACGCATACAATTAAATGTATTTCCACAGCCAATGAAGATTTCAAGAGATAATTCAGAAATGAATTTTTAAGAGCATTTTATTTCGTAATGAATAGATCATATTTCGCGAAGAGGTATACTATCCGCGAATGGTGATTGATTACTATATACGTACGCATCCATTGCTTTGAGCATCGATCGATCGATCGATTCTGATGGACCGGATCATAACCAATAGGAGCCGAGGACGCGGTTTGATCGGCCAATGAAAACAGTGGATTTTTTATAGATGGCCTTTTCCATGCTACCTCCGGATCGGTCGCATACCTCTTTGCGAAATATATTCTCCTAATCACTCGGAAATCAATTTTTCCAAGATGCTATCGTCCGAACTGAATTGTCGACTTTTTCGCAATATATAGTTTATATATTTCTAATAATTTAGAAATGAATTTTTCAGTTATTTTCAAGTATTAGAAGCGCATATTATTGCACTTAAATCTAATTACTGGCCATATTTACTAATGTATTTTAATGAATAAACTTTATCTGTCAGCACCACAGACTTTTATTAATATAATATTGAAGTTTATGCAGCCTTTATTAGAACCTAACATTTCTAGACATTTCCGATTGGCCATGTTTGATAGGACTGCGCATGCATGGGACAAGATTTAGGAGCAGATATGGATACGTGTGGGTATATGTATAACACGAGTACTATACGAATATAAACGACTATCTTGTAAAAATTGCGAGTTTACAGGAAAATTAAATTGCAGTGTAATTGCCTACGTGTTCACTCAACATGGATCTAGATAATTGCCAGAAAAGTTCTGATAAAAGGTTAGTAAGTTTACACGCGCGCGTGTCTGCTTTCTCTTTCTCTTCTCGTTTCCTTCTCGAATGTATTATCTAACCTAACTTAACTTATATAAATACTAAATTTTCTCGTCGATGTTTATTTCATTGAATTGATACTAGCTTTGATACTGATGACGATTCCGATTATGCTATGATAAGACGAATAAAAATGGAACCAGAAACAATCTTCTCGCCTTCCGAGGATGATATCATGGCGCAATTGCAACAAGATAGTTCAGACTTGGAGGTAGAACCCAGTTTTACGTTGGAAGGCACCGTAAATGGCGAATATAATGAGGGAGTAATCATGCAACATATGGACATTAGAGAACCTTTATCTACATTAAGGAGTCTTTTGGAAGAGAGGCTTAGCATAGATTTGAAAAACTATTCGTTTTGGTTACAAAACGCACAGATGGTAAGCATCAAAGTGCATCATAGTTTTTTTCTTTTCTTTATTTCTTTTGATCTTGCCATTTTACGAATCTGTTATAATAGCTGGAAAGCCATAAAAATTTGGTCGATCAATGTGTCCAAGGAGAGGGGCTAGTTCAGATTAATGTACAAATAAAGCCGATGCAGAAACGTATCAACATAGCAGACGTTCTTAAGCCAGCGGAAGATTACATTGAAGTCGTGGAAAATAATTGTACGTTTAAATACATGTGCAACCATTTTCAATATTTTTAATCAGAAACTTTAGTATTTACCAATTAATATTTTTGTTATAATGCAGCACCGGTGCCTGTTGCTCAAGAAAACAAACGAAATGTTATAAAGTGGATGGTGGATGCACAGTATAAAAAGGATCAGGTAAAGCAAAATATAAAAATATTGTTTTGCATCATTTTCATTTTTACATTCAAAATTTAGATAAGATATAGCTTATTTTATATAGACATAGGTTGAGCAATCAATAAACTTTATATGGTGATTATTGTTTTTCATATAAACTTGTCGTATAAAGTGAGCTATCAATGTATATATATAGTGCTTAATCCATTCTTGACGATTATGTTCACATAAAATTAGTTACATGTTTAATCTGAAGATATATGTATAAATTTTTTTAAAGGACCGTTTAAAAATACCATCCGATCCAAAAGATTGGTCAGAAACACATGTCAAACATTGGCTGCAATGGGCTGTTCGACAATTTAATTTAGTATCATTACGTTTAGCTGATTGGAATATAACCGGGACGCAGCTGTGTAATCTTACTATGGATGAGTTTCATGCAAAAGTGCCTCTTGATCCAGGAGATGTATTTTGGACACATTTTGAACTTCTTAGAAAGTGCAAATTTGTTGGTATGTTTACAATAAATAAATTATTATTTAATATTGTTTAGTTTAACAACCACGATAAATCGAAATCTCTTTATAATTTTACAATATTGCCATTTTATAGCTGTAGTGCAAAAGGAAACGCCAGATTCTTCTGGTGAAGGCACATTGGAAAAGTCTATGAAAGTGCGAAATCAAAAAATAGCAAAATCGAGGCCTGCGGTGAGCCAACAGACACGTGTGGTTAACATGCCATTAGAGAGTGTCGATCCAACTTCTTCGATCACTATTGCTACTTCCAGTCGATCCGTTAATAGTGGCCAAATACAGTTGTGGCAATTTTTATTAGAGCTATTAACGGATAAAGAATATAGGGATGCGATTCAATGGATTGGGACTGAAGGAGAATTCAAGCTTAATCAGCCAGAGGCAGTGGCACAATTATGGGGAGCACGTAAGAATAAGCCGTCGATGAATTATGAAAAATTAAGTAGAGCTCTTCGATATTATTACGACGGTGATATGATCTCCAAAGTTCATGGCAAACGATTCGTTTATAAATTCGTTTGTGATTTGAAACAATTATTAGGCTATTCGGCTGCAGAATTGAGTAAACTTGTTGAGGAAGGAAGAAGGTATTTCTGATGAAGTCACATATTTCTAGTTGTTAATAAAAGAGCTGTAAATAATCTTCTGATGTGTCCATCATTTTATTTAACGTAATAATTTGTATGCAAAATATAGTATATATATATATATATATATATCAAATTTATATACTATATTTATCATCTTTAGTATATAATCAATCTCTTCCTCCTTTAGAATAATGTAAAATCACTCGTGTGTATTGCATTATTTTTCTTTATTCATGAATTTATAAGTTGCTTTACTCGTCTTTTCCAAATAAATTGATTAAGTAATTTTTCAACTCTATATCGCAAGCGATGCAAGTAGCAAAATATGAAATGATACTGATCTTTATATAGATTTTTGATACATAAATTAAAAGTATATTTTTAGAAATGTATTTACAAACTAGTATAACAATAATATTAAAGAAAATAATAATTGTCTACTGTACGTCCAATAATGATACATAATTAAAGATAATATTTCGCGTAGAGTAAGCAAGTAAATTTATAAAAAGATTTTGTAAAGAAGATGATATTATCTTTATATTACATACATATATGTATATACATATACAGAATTATATACTGACATACATATGTGATTTTGGCTGCATGTCACGACAGAGCTTAGTATAAATAATTGTATCACTTTTTAGAAATCTATATCAGAATATATGGTATTGCAATCGATTTAATTATGTAAAGAGCTTGTAATAATCTAGACATTGTTAAATATATAATTCAAGTCAAACATATTCCTCTCACTGATATTGATATATTTTTAATATATCTGAAAAATTTTTTGATAATATAAATATTAATATGTCAAAATCTCCAAACTCATCGAAGAAATGTGAATATTTTTTACAAAATACATAATTTCAAGATCATGATATTTTATATCTATTATATAATTAAAAAAAAAAAAAAGTGCGTTGCAGTATATGTATAAACATGATATTCTTTACAATTAATAATTGCACAAATTGATTATAAATTTTGTCTTTATATCATTTCTTAGTGACTTGGTTTATGATCTCATTAGAAAAGAAACAAAAGAAATGATGTCGTTTAAAATGTTTATTTCAAGTTTATATAATTAAGATAAATAATATTAAACAAATTGAATTTAATTTAATAGAGATCGGGATGAAAAAGTTTTGCAAGCCATCGATGAAGAATCAATAGTAACGAGTGTGTAATCAATAGTAAGCAACCGTTTTCCTCAATCATATAATGTAGGAAAATAAAAAAAAAATGCGCAATTGCGGCGTGACAGGCAAGTTGTAACACGTGGCCCGTTTGTATCTCTGTTGCTAAGACTGACTTTTGATCGGCAAAAGGCAGCACTCATCGCCAATACCAGAGAATCTAGCCTGTGAGATATCGGACGCGACGTCACAAGTTAGGGTCTCAGGGAACCGGCGACGCGGCAGGCTTTATAATCAGCCCGCCCGCCATTTTTGCCCTTTTTCTCTTTTTCACGCTCATCACCATTCATTCTCTCTTTATCTCACGTTTAGTTTTTTCTCTTTTATGTAAAAATTTGATTATTTTTTGGCTTATTTCTTATTTGTAGATTATGTAGATTATTATCCTAATGAAAAATCAAAGAAATTGTAACAAGATACAAGCTGGAAAAATGTCATCTTTTACGTAAATCAATACTTTTATCAGTGAAACTCTTCTTATTTCCGAAAAACCCAACTATCTTGTAAAATTTATCGAGATCTTTTAATTTGTACAGTCTAACTGGATGTGCAAAATTTACGCTTGAAAAATGAGTAACGAAAGAGCTAACAAAGAAATAATCTCTCTCTCTCTCTCTTCTTATGTACATTCTCATCCGATTATAACATGAATGCTCTGAAGAGACAGAGAGGAAGGGAGAAAGAGACAGAGAGAAAGAGCGCACAAATAAGTTTATATTCCGGTGAAGGGACTTTTTTATACGAATTATATTGGTTTAAACCCTCTTATTCGCAAGAGAATAAGGATATTGCATGATGTTTTTTCACTCATTCTCTCGCATTCATACACGCACTCGTGTGTCAAAAGATACGTGCGCGCACTCTGACATTACTAAATCGCGAAAAACTTGCCAATTGATACGCATTCGTATAAAAATGAGATTTCTTTCTTTCCGCAGCGAATCTGATGATTCTTGGTGAGTCGCGTAGCGTCGTAGCGCCGACGACTGGGAAAGTTAGCAAGTTGTACAGTGGACTTCGTATTTCGCGAATTTCCATTCCCTACTATACAACCTACTACCTCACCCAGACATCGTCGCGGGCTTCCTCTTCCTCGTCCATCGATGTTTCTTCCTTTCCTTAACTCTCGATTGATTTTGCGACGTGTTGTTCGCCTTAAATCTTCATTTTTATTTTTCACACTAGACTAGAGATTTTTTGTATCTACGCGATCCATTTAATTCGCACACCGAGTCCTATCTGTTAATACGACAATTAACAGTAATACACGTTATGATGACATTTCTCAATACTATGTCGTTGTATATATTAAGTATATAGATATAATTACGATTAAAATTATACAATAATATAGTCTTTTTGCGCATCGACAAATCTCAGAAAAAGATATATTATCTATCTTACAATATAAACATTTAACGATATATCGTGCTTCGATAGATGGTGCCCTTTTCACGTGCGAGAAAATTACTCGAAGTCAAGAAGTCTGTCGCTGATAACCGGAAGTGCCGGGAGAGCATTCTGGAGAATAGAAGGATGATGATGATGATGATGATGATGATAATGATGATGATGATGATGATGATGATGATGATGATGATGATGATGATGATGATGATGATGATGATGATGACGATGACGATGATGATGATGATGATGGTGGTAGTTGGCGGTGGTAATGGTGATAGTGGTGATGTTGGAGAAGGAGAGAGGAGGATCCATCGAAAAGTTTTAACGCCGGCCTGACTACATGTACCGGTAGATAGGAGCTTGCGGTATGCATATAAAAAAGCCCACAAGTTCGGATCTACGGGTTAGTGTCATCAAGTATAGTCGATAGTCATCGTCCCTCGGATATATCCACGTGGATGATCCAAGATCCGGAGAGAGAGAGAGAGAGAGAGACCTGCTTCCGAAACAGTCGTCCGATGATGGCAGCTTCCAGCAAATTTGCATTACCTGCGAATAATATTAACAAATTGATATTAACAACAGATTTATCTCGTTGAAATATTACTACTCTATTTTTATTATTATAATAATTATTCGTATTTATAATAATATTTATATATATATATGTATATGTAATACTAGAGCAGATTCCTGATCCGCTAAGCCAAGAAGAATGAAATTGCGACGACTAAATAGATGACCGAGAGAATTGATTAAAAGGAGAATGATGAAGCGAGAAAAATATTTGATACGGGTATCCCGAAAAATGACGTCAAGAGATTTTCCTTCTACGGCGATTTGTTGGTCGGTCCCAGCTCGGCGACGCCGTTGCTGGGCCGTTGCGAAGATCAGAAGGGCCGTAGAAGAAAAAGTCTGTGGATCCTACGAGAAACAAGAAGCGCAACAGAAGAAGGAGAAAGAGAGAAGGGGAAGAAGAAGAAGAAGAGGAGCAAGAAGAATGTAAGAGCGAAGAGCAAGATAGGTAGGTAGGTAGGTAGGTAGGTAGGTAGGTAGGTAGGCAGGCAGGCAGGCAGGCAGAGGCTCTCTCTCTCGCGAACGTTGTAAAAATCCCCTGCATCCTCGTTCGTAGACAGTTTAATGGCCTCTGCTGTTCTCTACTGCTCCGAGCCTAAGGGATGTAAAGCACCGTTTCCAAGAGACGAACGCTCGCATATTTCAATTTTATTTAATCACATTTCGAGTCTTTGAGTGATTAATTCGAAAATAATGAAATTAGCTACAAAGGAAAAGGTCGAAAACAATTTAAATTTTTTAATTCAATATATGTTGTAATCTTTGACATTTTATACAAGTTGTTTTATGCATACGCTTTAGATTGCAATTTTGGAGATACATAAAAAATATGCATAGAAAGGTATTTATAATTTTCATATTTAAAAAACAAGTAGTGTTATTACGCACACACGTAATTTGTGTGGTGGAGAACCGTATTAGCGTTGTGAACGATGCCTAAAAGGATCCGCGACTAAGATCCCCGACGTAAAACTAGTCGAACAAGAATAAGAAAAGTAAATTATTATCTCGCAACTCGGTTTCGATGGAAAAAAAAAAAATTACTCGCGAGCTATTGTAAACTGCATGCGATAACTAATTTCGTTCAAGCTTGTTTAAATGAGCATTGTCACTCGCTGACGAACGTTATACAATTTGAAATGATCGATAATGATATATGTGCGCATAAAGCTGTACATGTGCGCGCAAACTCTCCCTATGCGCGATAAAAATGACTTAATTTTGTCAATAAGTATATCATTAATGCGATGACGAGAATCCCTCTCGCGAGAAGCACAACAGCTGGTGTGTTGCCCGGTATGGTCGGAGCTGTTACAAAATGTGGGATGAATCTGTGGGGGGAGGGAGATGCATCTCCCGAGATGCGCGCGCGCGCGCGAGACGCAAGGTTTCTTCGAAGGGCGGCAGGGCCGTACGCGCACGGTCGGAAAAGGGGGAGGGCGACGCGTAATCGCAGGGGCGTTGAATTCAGGGGGATATCAGGAGGAGAAAGAACGCGCGGGAGGGGGGGGATCGACAATGGGGAACCGGGGTCACCGCCATATTATATTTAGCGAGACGCGACCGTGTGAATGAACTGCGTTTCTCAGGGGCGGGCCCACCGCGGGAAATTCTTTCTTTCCCGATTTCTTCCCCTTCCTCCTTTTTCCCCCTCCCTCTCTTTTTCCTCCATATTACCTAATCTAGTCTAACGAAACGTTTGCTATATACTCGTATTTATCGATGAACGATTCATATCGCGAAATATTTTACTGTTCGTTTAGCGACACGCGCGAGTTTGTCAACTTGTCGCATTTGCATAACGTTAATCGATTTTCATTTAGCAATTTATTTAGACTAATAGGTTTAAATTACGATTT